ATAATTTACAAAATAAATTTTTAACTAAGAAGCCATCGATTTTGATATTTTTTATACTCGTTATAAATTTTTTATTTTATGGATAGAGATAAATAAATAATGTTTCAAAATTTTATGAAAAATATAAAAAATAATCAATCAAATTCAAAATTTTGATTAAAAAATCATAAAATTGAATAAATTTTTATTCGGTTTTGATTTGATATATTTTAATAGATACATAATATAAAACGAATTATTAAATTAAAATAATTTTATATATTTTATACTATTCGTAGCATAATGCAAGTGAAAAAACTAACGGTAAAAGAAAACAAGGGAAATATTTTTTTCACAATTAGCCTTGCTGTACTGTAGCAACACAATTAACCTTTATAATCAGATTGGACAAAATCAATTTGTTCGCTCTTGTTGAGAACCCCAATTTTTCACATGAAAAGAAAACGTAGAATTTGATGAAGTTGAGATTTGTCACTAAGTTTTGAGATTACGTAAGCAAATAAGGATAATATATATATATATATATATATATACACACACACACCACAACAAATGTCGGCAAGCATTCGTTTGAGAACCTTCCAAGTTTTGCCATTTTTTAAATTTCAATGAGACATGCTTCCTTTTCAAATTATTAGATGTATCAATCAATTATCACATTTGCAGAGGAGACCAGGAAAGTGAAAGAAATACAATACAACCGGAATTTATTGACAGAAAATTTCGAGATCCCTCCAGGAGAAATTATTGGGAATTTTCTTTTGAGGACATAGCCTGTGATTCCATGAAAGTGTGACATTTTAAGTCCTTTTTTCCCATATTTTTATTATTTTTTATTTAATTTCATGTTAAAGTATGTTAATTTTCAGATTATTTGTATTTCAATTGAAAATAAATCTTTTTTCTAGATAATTTTAAAAACAGATTCTTATATCAATCTGATATATTAAGAAAAATTTAATAAATTCTCAAAATTCAAACTCAAAAAATTAAATAAAAAACAAATCATACCTCTTTTAATTTTGAGATCAACTTCCTTGAGTCATTTTTAATTTAATTTTAATATACTATGAATATTTCTTTCCATATTTTTTCTTTAATGAAGTTTGTTCCCTTTCCATTGCTAGTTCAACGTTCCATGCAATAAATTTAAGGACTCGAAGCTTAACGTTAGGCAGCAGAATTGTTTGACATTCTCATAACAAGAAAACGTTTTGACTCCATTCCAATTGATTATTATTAATTTACCATGTCTTTTTGTACAAAATAGTTATGCCTCACCAATCACACTACTAACAATAGAAAGTGCACCCACGATATATATATATATATATTGACCATTTGCTTCATCTAACTTTGTTATATTGGAAAATTAATAAAATAATTTCTTTGATTTAGGGTTCTACTTAATAACTATTTCTCCTCTTTTTTTTTTTTAATATATATATATATAAATATAAGCTAGGTCACTAGTTATTGAACTTTGGCCAAACACATGTGCCTAGCTCCTTTGACTTGGAAAAAAAAAAAAAAGAAGAAAGAAAACAAGAAAGGAAATTAAAATACTTAGTCGATGGCTATATACCGAATAAAATTATAGGGTTATGACCATTGATCTTTCTTCTTTTTAGTTTTGTTAAGCAATTTAATTAATTAAGGATTAGAAAGGCATGCAACGTGCAAGACAAAACAATGGTCATAATCTTTGTAGCTTAATTGTCAGCCAAAAAAAAAAAAAAACAAAAGGTGTAAAATGATGAAGTGCCATACCAAATGCATACATGTATCTAGTAGGCTTTACTTTTTTTTTTTTTCCTCCCAATACTAATTTTATAGTAATAATTAGAGATCGTCAATTAGACCATTTATTTATTAGGTTCATTTAACGAAGCATAAACATTCTACCATGTCTTAACACACATTTATTTTGATCCATCAAAAAGAGACTTCAATTTGCTTGTCCTTTTCGAAAGCTAAAATTCTACAGAATATGATATACTCATATTTATTTGTTTATTTGATGATACAAAAAGAAAATGGTGTTGTAGGTTTTGTTTCTGCTCTGAAAATTCCCAGGAAACTAATTTTTGGCCCACTGAAGTTTCTTCCTATGTAGCCTTTGCCTCTTTTTCATAGAGGCTGTTTGCTTTGGCTTTGCCTACTTAAAAAAACTTTTCCTTTGGTGTGTCATAATAGTTTCCTGGCTATACATGGGAATGGCATCTCGTAGGTGTAATGGCTGGCCTCCCAAGCACATGCAAATTGCAATAAGCTCATCAATCTTTCCATCTTAATATCAAATGGCAAAGATAGTCATGAAGTTGAGAGATGGAGGCATGGGGATTTCCTATTTGTGCATGAATGATGCATACTGCCATATGGTCTCTAATATAATTAGGAATGGCAATGGGGGCATCCCCGCCTCTCAAAAACTCTTTCCCGACCACACCTCGTACCCCACCCAGGTCAATATTTCCCTTACCATCCCCATCTTCATTACCAATGAGGACGGAGATTCATGCGGAGCACTTAATTCTTTGTACTCATCTCATTCTATTTTACCTAATATCATCTTGTATCAAATTTTAAACTATTGCAAAAAGATAATAACCCATATAAAAAATACAATTAAGAAAGACAATCATTTAACATCATATTCAACTACAAGTTTACAACGCAACTCATAATATATTAAATTGCTTTCAATCGAGTAAATAACATTCTTAATTAAGTTGATGAAATATCACAAATGTAATTAAAAAACACAAATCCTTACATGTCTTTACTGCTTAGAGATATCAAAGCTTACTCATTATATTGAAGACTAGTTTGTAACCTCAGAGTTTATACATATGTTGGGTATAATTATAATTTCTAAAGGAAAGGGCGAGGCAGGACGGGGCAGGATAGTTATGGTAAGGCGGGACAAGGAGGGCAAATATCATCCCCACTCCATCTCGATTCAAAGTCTGCTGTCCCACTCCGTTCCTCAGTCAACTCAGGGAATCCCTGTGTTGACCGAGATGGAGAGGGACGGGGAAATTGCCATCCCTAAATATAATAAAAAAATTTTAATTTATTGATGGACAAAAGGACTTTGTGGGGAAGGAAAAGAACAAATGATATTAAATCAGCTGGTGAGTTTGTGTTTTGTTACATTCAAACTTTAAAGAACATGTAAATGGATGTACTCCATCATTCTACCCCACCACATTACTTGAACTCGAAGCTAGGATTTCCTGTCTTTTCCCCTTTTTTCACAAACAATCTGTAACAACCACATTCTGAATTTAATATCGAGCATGTGATGATTAAACTGCAAAATATGCAGATGAAGAGAATTTATTGTGCAACTGCCAAGAATAAAAAATTAAAGAACCCAATTTGTGGAATTATATATATATACACATTAAGAACTCAAAGCAAGAAGTTTCTAATTGGTTGTAATTGAAATAAATGTTGGGAAACTCAACCAAGAAACCTTAAGGGAACTTATTTGGAAAAATAATAGCACTTTAACACTTTGGTAGAAGAGAGGGCTTAGTTTTGGTTGAAGTAGAAAAATTTTGGAGTAAATTATAAATTAGTCCCTCTTGTTTTGAAAAACAAATTAATTAGTCTTCCTCATTTTAAAAACTAATCATTTAGTCTTTTATAGTTAAGTTTTTGCCAAATTTGTCAAATTAACACCTAATACCAACATATCCTTTAGCATATATGTCCATCCATGGGAATATGTTTTGATGTTTGAGGAGAGAGAAAAAGAGTAGAGATTAATAAAATAAAAAAATGAAGATTTAAAGAGAGAAATGAAGCTTTATTTTGGTGATCGAAAATAGAAAAAAGAAACAGATGTGTGTAAAGAGGATAAATAATTCATAAAAAAAGAAGAGTAATTTGGAAAAAGATACTGCAATAAAGACGCCTCATCATCACTCTAATGGAATACTAGTTGTTGACAAAACGTAAGAAACTAAATAATTAGTAAAAAAAACTAATTAATTTGCTTTATGAAATGAGAAGGAATAATTTATATTTTACTCCAAACTTTTGAGATGACATCCCTTATCCTCGGGAAAAAAAAAGGACATTAGGGGAGACGAAAGAGGACAAATTCATATCAACTACTGCAGACATGGTTACACATGAAAACGAAATATATAATTTGAAAGAAGACGATTGACAGCTACACTTAAGAGAAGGGACAAATCTTCTTTACCGCCGGAATGGAATAGTTTATAAATGAATAAAAAACTATGAAAAGATACAAGGGACAGCTATACTTTAGCAGTAAGAATGACAAAACAAATCCATCTTTACTGCATGCTGGAACCATGTTTTTGTTACTTGTTGCACAGCCAAAAATTTGTAGACAGTACAGCACCAAATCTTTACCACTGAAATTGTTTACCAAATCAATCGATGAATTCGATGGTTTTATGACCTTTTTTTTTTTTTTTTCTCCATGGACAACAAGAGAAAGAAATGGACTTAAAAGGGTTTCCAATATCTTTTCTCTCTTTAAAACCATGTGCTGAGTGCATGTGAGATGTTGGATTTCCCCCTTGATTTCAACCGGGAAATTAGGGGGTCCATGCTCCATGATTAAGAGGCATGATAATACGGAAGATTTTGCTTTTGAAAAACAGGAAAAAAACAATTTGTAGTGTGTGATTTGGTGATCTCAGTGGAGAATATAACCAAGAACACGTTGTGTCCCATGCATGTGACTTCTTTTTCTTCCAAGCTTTCCAAGATATGGCCAAGTTTTTCCACTCCCAGGCCCAACAAGGGACGGATGGTGGTCCAATCCAGTTAAAGGATTCAAGAAGAGAATGGTGCAACAGCCATTTCAGGAATTCAGATTATAAACTGAGACTGAAAAAGGGAGAAAGATGGGAGTAGACTACTTTTGAGGCAATAATTCTTCATGATAAACAAATAATGGTGCAAAAAAAATTCAACTTAAAGTGGTCATTTGTACAGTGGTGTACATACCATTATGTTGATTCGACTTTCGGTTCCTGACTTGTATGGTCAGTAGCATCCTTTGCATCTGGGAGGCTCTTTAACACCTATGTAACAAGAAGAAAATTGATGTCAGTAACATCGCCAACAACAGCATTAAATCTGATAGTAGGGAAATAATATGATGTCTGTGAAAGAAGATTCATTCATGGGTATTTACTTGGTATAGTTGCCAAGAAGCGAAAGCATCAGTAGCCGCATATTGTAGTTGTTCTTTTGATAAAACAGCTGCTTCCCAGTTTCCAAGTCTGATTCTGTTGGGCTTTTGAAGCTACGAAGTTTCAGTAACTTTATTAGAATTTCTGAATGAAAAACGCATCAAACATTTGTAGAAAATAAATGTTACTTAAACTCAATAGTAAATGAAACACATGTTATTAATACGACTACGAGAAATTAGTGTCCGACCAATGCCAACTAGAAAAACCACATACCAGGGTATGATAGGGCAAACAGACAACAAAAGGACTGATAGGGCTAGGATAACTCCATTACTTTTAGGTATCAAAGAAGAAATATATCGATGAGATAACAATGTACTTGTAACATTCAGAGATCTGGAGATTCTTCTAAACAACAGAGAAAGAAAACTCCAAACGAAGGAATACTTCATTCTCTCTGAATATCAATCGGTGAAACACCCCTAAAAGCCTGAAAAGCATCATGCCACAATGATGCAAGAAACACCGTCCCATCCACTAAATACTTCTCAATGAGAATTGGAACTTGAAAGTTGTAGCATTCTGCTCCATCCAAACACACAAACAGAACAGAACCATAAAGGTCTGGTAACTTTTCCTCCAAATCCACTATAGCAAATTGGCAACAAATCCCACAACATACCAGGAATCACCCAAGGCTCACATCTGCTTGAGCTTGAGTCCTCTTTGTGTAATGCTTCAGCATATAACGCTTTCCATTTTCTTAGCTCTACTCCACAAATGCCATTCAACTGGGTGATGGAGAAAAAACTGGCTCAATTGGTGACACAACTGATATTAGGAAACGAGGCCTAATGAGGATAACTCCATTGCTCATAACTAATCTTCCTAATGATGCAGATATGACGTGCTCTACGCCCAAACTATTTACATAAACTAATATAAGCCTGAAATGCATGGATCTATATTTACTGACCTATCAAGGCAAGTTTGGATTTATTACAAAGATAGGCTGGTCCAACATTGCCATAGCACAGCATGGGCACCAATCTATATTCCCACTATTTTAATACAGTTTGGACAGTGACAGTCCAGTGATTCGATAAAATTGCAAAACAAGCATAAGCAATCAGGAATGAGCTTGAGAAAATATTACTCAAAGAACCAAATAGATGTCCTTTACTCAGTAGGCATCTCAGCAAGATGTGATAGATACCTCTTTGCAAACAAGAATCTCTGCTAGAGCTTGAAGACCCCAAGTTTTAGGTTCTCCCCCAAACTTTTGATTTGCATGATAGGAAAGGTCCTCCACTGATTTAATTGAGACACTATAATCTCTAAAAACCTTAACACAGTCACCACCTATGCCAACACCAACCTGCACATATGGCATGCATTCAAAATAGAAAATTAAATCTTTAATGAAAAAAAGAAAGACAAAAATAATAATAATAATTCAAATGGACATAAAGGAGAGACAGAACTAGTCCAAGAGATCTCACTAACTTTTACAAGTGTAGAATCCTCTAGAAGAAACTGCAGACTTTGAGTGATTCCAGAATGAAAAATATGCATCACATGACAAAGACTAGTGTTCCCACATATCTGCATAACTGCAGCTTTTCCAGGCAACATACCTACAGAGTTCAAGATTACTGTTCCAAGTGATGATCCATCAAGAAAAATCTATTTCAAAAGGGAAAGGCTGAAAGCCTGCACGGGAAGGTAAATGCTCTCAGAGAACAAGATTTTGCTTCATTTTTCATTGAAAACAAAGTAGGAATGCATTTTTGGTCACCTCAAACCCCACCCCCTCACCTCTCAAATTTTCAACATTAATTTAAAATGCCATTCAGAGGAGTTGAGGAGTTCCACAATTCCAATAACTCAGTGCTAGTGACAAATCAAAGTCATTTGTACTAGAAACCTAATTGAAAATTCTGCTAGAACATTTGACAGTATGCAAAGTACTCCAACAAAATGCCATGGAGCCCTACCTTTCTCTTCCAGAAGCACCGGGAAAGCAAGGAAGTCAAAACCAACATTTTCAGTAATATACTCTGGTTGAAGTCAATGAGCAACTGTCAATTGCATTTATTTAATGCCATACTGAAAGATAACAGTTGCCTGGTTGGCTATAAATTTCATGTCCTTATGCACAGTGAAGGTGTTTATACCAAGCTACAATCCATGAATGAAACTTGAGCATCAACAAAGAACAAGATTGCAATGTATGAGTAAGAGATAAATTTCCTCCAAGCCCTATAAGAAGTTGCAAATGGAATAGTAAACTTGCTGTCTACAACAAGAAATTCCATAGGAGAAGAAATCATGGCATACAATAATCAATAATCCTAATCAGTTTGTAATTCAAGTTCACATTCCCAAAGTTTTCCTCCGACTCCAAGAAAGCTTCAGGATAAAACATTAAACAACAAACAGAAGCTCTCATAGATTTGATGAATCACAATTGCATGAGCATAATTGAGTGAGAAAAAAACACATAAGATCAATGACAAGGGTGTTTAAAAGAAAACGGTGAGAAAAACATGCATAGGTTATATACTGTCAAAAAATAAACCAAATTCAGTTGTTCCCTGAATAACTCTTATAATAAAAGCGAAAAAGATTTTTAGAGTAAGAGAATCTCCTTTTTATTCTTATAATTCCATCTATCCAAAACAGAGCATTTACAACATTGACAACTTCGATTGCTTGTTATGGCAGCACAATGCATCATAATACGTTTCCCAAAACTCAAACAACTACCAACGTAACTATCAAACAAACCTTTTTTAAATGTGGGCTTCCACTCAATATCAAAACCAACAATAACTGGACCTGTTTCTCCCTTTTCAGCTTTAAGACTCTGTAAAAGCTCCCCTGCAGCTTTCTCTACCTCTATAGCAGTTCTGCTATACAAAATTTGACCCCCGAACTTCATTGCAGGATATCTCATCTTCACACTACCTGCTACACAAAACACAATAAATACATTGCCATCCGAAAAAATAATCAACACGAATCCTGATTGAAGTAAAACAAAAATGTATGTGTCAAACTTAAAAGTTCAAATCTTTGTACAAATTACGGACCTCAGCAATAATTGATAAGCAATGCACATAGAAAAATGAATATGGAGCCTCCATAAATGGTTTTTTTTTTTTTTTTTAATGTGTGTGTGTGTGTGTGTGTGTGGATATGACTGATGATAATATGTAAGCAGAGCTTTAATTAAAATTATATGAGCATAAACTTTTTCCAATTACACAATTATCAAATGCCAAAACAGAAGTAATGCAACATTTCTAAATTCTCTTTCTTATTAAAGCTTAACTATCAAAGGAACCTCACAGCAATGAAATGCAAAAATACTAACAAAACAAACCCAAAAAAAAAAAAAAACATTATACTGCTAACAATTGAAAAGGAAAAATCCAAAACCCAGAATTTTTAAAGAATTCAATAAATGGATTTTAGAAAGAAATGAATATCAAATACAAATAAGATAAAAAAAAGAAAAGATGGGCATAAAAGAGTAACCTTGACAAGGAGAGAGGGAAAAAGGTTTGGAGAGAGCAAAAAGAGAACTCGGCAATTGGCGTCGAGTTCTTGGAAGTTCTTGATCGTTTTGTGGACTTGAATGTCGTTTCTTGAATATAGAAGAAGAAGGAGCTGTTGCTGTTGATGATGATGATGATGATGGTCGTGGTGGTGGTGTGGAGGATTGAAATGAGGCTTCTATTGCATCAATGGCTTCAAGTTCTTGGTCTGTCAAAGGTTGATCCCAATCTAGGATTGAACAACAATTTATGTTGTTGTTGTCAGTCCCTTGTTGTTGGGAATTCATCGGGACGTTGTGTTTTTTTGTGTTTGAAGTGATTGGAGGGAACTAGACTTGAAGAGGGAAAGTGATGGAGTGAGAGAGCGGGGTGACAGGTCAAGGGACGACACGTCGTCTAGAACATCGTAACTTCAAGACCTGCCTTTGTCTAGCTGTGTTAAGCCTTCTTATATTTTGTCTGTATCGTGAATCAATAGTGAACCGCTGTTTCTTGGATCCATGATTGCCATTTTTGCTCAAAAAGATAGCTGCCAGAAATTTGGCAGGAAGATACACACAGGAAAAAAGGACCTCTGGCATTTTCCGCCATCAAAATCTCTCTCTCTCTCTTCCAAATGATCAAGAGAGTTAAACTATGAAAACAGGAAATATCCAATCTTCAGCATGCAAATACATCAGAACGGAATGGTCTTTGCTGCATGTTGTGTGAGAGAGAACCAGAAAAAAACACAAGCAATTTTGAAACTAATTTACATTATTCGACTTATTCCCAGGCAGCAAGTTTTACTAGCTTTTTATTACTTTATTGATAGAAGAGTAGTTGATATCCTGATTTACATATAAAATTTGAAGCATACCAGATTATACATGATTATGGAATAAATTCCAAACTCTATGTTGATATTACTCCATGAATCAGCTAAATCAACCTTTTGAACCTCATCAAGTATCGAGTATTAAAATCATTACTAGTGTCATCCTCTAAATGCCTCTAATCATCCGGAGCACCAGTTCCTTGCTCTGCTGAACTATGAGTGTATCACCATAATAATTTAGAAATGACAATAAATCGGATATCCGACCCATTGAGCCAATCTCATATCTTATCTATTAGAAAATATTATATTTATTATCTTATTTATTATCCATTAAAAATTACTTACTCGTTTATTTACCAAGCTCATACTCATTATATCATATTTTACCCATATATCGTCTATATCTCGTTTACCTACTAATTTTTTTTTAGATTGAAGACTTTGACATTCGTTTCGATGGGTTTAGTAAAGAGTCGCATGTGGACGATTCATTGGGTATATTATGAATCTAATGAAGATAGGTGGGTGACTCGGATAAAACATGTTATTACTTATATGTTAAAAGAGTTATCACATTGCAATTGTATGAATGTCTAATCGAGAAATCTATAACCACGGTAGGAGTATACTAATAGAGCATGATTAGTTTACTTTATAGCTAAGACATTTGGGAATCGAAAAAAACTTGTTTGATCATAATCGAATATATTATAAACCAAGTTTGAGATCATGTTATGATAAATTAACATGAGGATTGAATTGTATGGTAGCTATGCTCGTAAAAGATAAATGCGGATTAATTAATCCTCCTATAGAATTGGATAGTCATGATGTCTTGTTAAATGTCAATCTTGATTTATGTATCAAAAGATATAAGAGGTGTCTTTTATCTTCTTGATACATCGCCAACATATTTATGAACCTATTAAGTCACATGTATAAATTTAAACATTCACAAAATAAAAGAGGAGTAAAGATTTTGGAAAAGTTTTCTTGTTTTGGAAAGTTTTCTATTTTGAAAAAAAGTTTTCTAAAATGAAAAGTTTTCTATTTTGGAAAATCTGTTTCTTATTTTAAAAATCAATTTCCTAATTTGAAAGTTAGTTCCAAATTTTGAAGACAATTACATAAAAAAGAAATTAGTTTCCTAGTTTAGATTTAAGAGTAATTTGAAAAATTGTTTTCTAATACGAGCTTCTTAAAAATATATGACCCAAATTATTTGGATGGTCCAAATTAATTAATAATTAATTGAACCGGAAGAGTTTGGGCCAATAGGCTTAATTTAAAAGCCTCTTAATTTTTTATAGAAAGATAAACTTGAGCATTATTGAATAAGGTTTAGGATTCATAAGGATAAGATTAGACAAAGCCCACATAGGCAACTTCGTAACATCCGTTTGACCTACAAAGAGAAGTTACCATCCCCTATATAAATAAAGGAGAAAGAGGCGGCATACGAGGCAAGAAAAAGAAAAGAGACACGACAAAAGTTACGAAAATTTTTATAATACGTAAGGAATAACTAGTGGCATGTACGGTAGTTACTTTATGGATCCACTACGAGGAGAGAGATATACACATTAAATTACATCCGGATCTACCACAAGTGATAAAAAGATTTTCATGTTCAATCAATTTTTTTATAAATTTTTTCTCTCCTATTTCTCTCTCATTTTTGTGTGTGTGTGTCTCTCTCTCTCTTCGAAGTGGATCAATGGAGTAACTACTACACGTGCCACTAGTTACTCCTTGTGTATTATAAAATTTCTCCAAACGTTGCCACACAAAATTAGGAAAAGAATTGTCACACATACATCTCTCTCTCTCTAGGGTTGCCACAAAAAACCCTAACTAATTTCTTTAGAAAACAAATTATCTACACAAAAGGATTGGAGCTAGCACTATAGGATTTCGTTTGCTTCTTGTGTGAGTGTTTTAGTTGCTTGAATGATCAATAGAGGCCGGATACTTGAATGATTCCCTTTATACTTCAATTATTTTTGCACAATAAGATGTAATCTTTCACCCATTTTTATATTTATATTTATTATATATGATTAATTGATTCAACAATATGATATTGGGAACCCTAGATAGAGAAATTTTTTTGTTTATTTTGCACCTCTATAGAATGCATGATATTTCATAGACTTGTATAAAAATCAACAAATAACAAATAATAAATTTTTATTCTTATTTAATGCCGAGTAAAAAGATTAATTTTGAAGTTATCCGTGCAACGTTGCGTGTCGGATACAACAAAATTATTTCAAAATTTATAATTTTTTCATTTAATTATTATTATTGTTTTATGTTTTCATAAAATTTCTACTTAAAAAACATGATTTATTCTTCTTGATTAATCGATTGTTAAATAAAGACCCATAATAATTTAAAATGAAATATTAATTCAAAATTCAAAAACAAATACTTTAAATAACCATATTTTTATAATAATATATCCAAAAAATAAAGTTACAATTAATGTATAAACTTGTATAAAAATTGACTAATAAAAAAAAATTATTCTTATTTAATGTTAATGGAAAGATTATTTTTTCAAAGTATATGCATTTGATCTATATATATATTTTCTTGCAAAATAATCCATAATGTTAGCATAAAAAAACTATATTTGAATAATTGATTGATTCCTATAAAAAAATTATTTTATTTCAAAGAAATTGGTTTTATAATGTTAACAAAAAATATTTATAGCAAATAATTTGTATTATATGTAAAGATGTATAGTTAATTTTTAATAAAAACGATGATTCAATAGTTTTTTTTATACTTCTTAACCATACCCAGTGGAATGAGATAAATTATCTAAAATATATGTCTAACCTTTTAGATTAAAATAATTATATATTTTTATATATATATGTAACTAGCATTTAAGAATTCTAAGAATGCATGACATACATTACACCAATTTATTTTCTTTAAAAAAAGAAAAACAATCATGTTTTAAAATTTTATTCTAAAATTCAAATATAGAAAAAAAATAAATTATATTTGTCGGTAAATAAAATTTTGTATAAAAAAATATTAATTGAATGAGAATTTTCATAATAAATTATAAATTCAAAGAATAAATTTTAAATAATAAAAATAATATAAGCTAAAATATATGTTGATTTTAAATTATAAAATGATAGTAGATATATTTTATCCTCGTTACGTTGCTTGAAAAATACAAATAATAACATTTGATATTCCGTATTTTTATCTTAAAATTCTTAATCTAAAAAAAAAGAAAAAGAAAACAAGAGCCATGCCAATGTGCCCGGGCTTGGAGTACCGAGCTCGTGCTCCCGGGCTTGGGAAAAAAAATATTATGTATTGAATTCGACGATCTCTCGCAATTTCTAGCGACTTCGATTTAGCCAAAAAAAGTTGCCGAAAAGTCGAGTTTAATAATTTTAGCCTCTCTAAACAAAATCTATTCTCATTTTTGTTCAAAAACACCTTAAATCACAAAAATAATAGAAAAAAACTCTTTTAAAACCTCAAAACCTATTTTAATGCACAAAAGCGCATAAAAATTCAAATCAAGATGTTTTTGGATCTCGATTTATCTTTTATGACTATTTCATCATTTTCCATCACCACAAACAGATTATACTCATCAAGCCGAATAAAACAATAGTAACCTCAACCATTACGATGGTTGAAATGGACCTCGTCATCCATTTCTCTCCTCCCTTTTGCCTCCTTTGTTTCTCTCTCCTCCTAACATGTATGGATCAAAATGAAAAAAAACAAAGTTGTGGATCGAAAAGATGTTAGAGCAAGAGGGATAAAAAATTTTAAAAGGTATTAAATTTGCATATCAATATCCAAAACACACACAAAAAAATAAAAATTACTTAAATTACCACTCAATGAATAGAGAATTAAGACATGCGAATAGTTTGAAAACAATAAAAATATCATGCCTTTTGTTTCTTTTTAACGCGGGTTTGGCAACGGTGTAGATTTATTTTTTCAAGATTTAAGTGTTTAAAGCCAAAAAATCGAATTTCAATTCTTACTTTCCTTTTCGATATTTACTTTTTTTACCTTGATTTTTTAATAATTTTTTCATTAGGTTTATTTTTATCGTGTGTAATGAGATGAAAAATACATAATTTTTCTTTTTTTGAAAGATATGTAATCATCAAACGGAATTAACGGTTATACTTGAATTAAAAAAATAAATTAAATTAAATTAAATGTGAGGCATTCAAATAAAAAAATAACAAGAGATTAGTATCAAATATGCAATTTTTTCTTTCACAGGTTTTTATCAAGACTTAATTTTTACCATGTATCACGAGATAATGGACACATCAATACTTGATGAATTAAAATAATGATAGTCACTTACATAAAAAATAAAAAGTCAACAACTCAAATATGTAAAATTACTGGCAAAAAAAAAGAAGAAGAAGAATAATTAAAGGTTTGGCCAGCATTTGCAGTTTTTTTTTAAAGGAAATAATTGATAGGTATTGAACTTGCTACTTCACCTTTTTTTTTTTTTAAAAAAAAGGAAATAATTGATAGTCATTTAAATGTATGAATTACTTATCGTCATCAGCAGCACACGACATGGCGTCTGATGTAAACAGTAAGTTCCGCAAAAAAAAGACGGTAAGTCTAGAAGGAACCCAAAATAGCGGTCTAAAATGAAAACGACACGTCGTTGGTAAGGTGCTAAAACCCCTCCTCTCCCTCCCAAATTTCAACACCAGCGAAACACACACTGAAACACTCCCTCTTGAGAAGAAAAGACCATGCATTTCTCTCGTCCTCCTCCTTCTTCTATCTCTTCACTTTCTCACTAAGACTTGTACCTTTCCTCTGCTTCGATCAATCGATAAAAGATGAGTACAGTAGACAAGATGCTGATAAAAGGAATCCGGAGCTTCGACCCGGAAAACAAACACGTCATCACCTTCTTAAAGCCTCTCACTCTCATCGTCGGACCCAACGGCGCCGGAAAAACGGTTATTATCATCACTATAATTTCCTTTGATTATTGAATTTTTTGAAATATTAAAAAAAAAACGGTTTAATTTATCTTATTTTTATTTATTTTCCAGACGATAATAGAGTCCTTGAAAGTCGCATGCACTGGAGAGTTGCCTCCAAATGCTAGGTCTGGTCACAGTTTCATTCATGACCCTAAGGTAACTCTAATTTTTTCTCTTTTTTTTTATGAATTTTTAATTTTGAGAGGATTGGTTGTTTAATTGTTATTATTAGGTTGCCGGTGAAACGGAGACGAAGGGGCAAATTAAGTTGCGGTTTAAGACCGCAGCTGGGAAGGATGTGGTGTGTATAAGGTCATTTCAGTTGACGCAGAAGGCGTCGAAAATGGAGTATAAAGCTATTGAGAGTGTGCTTCAAACAATCAATCCACATACCGGAGAGGTTACATTTGGTGTTTTTCTGAATTTTTTTTGTTTTTTGATGAATTATTTTATTGCTTTGTTTTTTGGAATAGAAGGTTTTGCTGAGAGAAATTTAATAGTAGCTTGTTATGGTTCAGGTTATTAGTGCAAGGCTAATAGATATTCTTTCGTGGAAAAAGTAGGGTAGTGTATGGTGTTATATTTGGCGGAGTGATGTATGTGTGTTTTTTAACACTATCTTGTGGGAATCCTGATATGAACATTACTTTGGTTTTCTTGGTTGTTGTCGGAGTGCAGAAAGTCTGCCTTAGCTACAGATGTGCTGATATGGATCGAGAAATTCCTGCATTAATGGGTGTCTCGAAGGCCATTCTAGAAAATGTTATATTCGTGCATCAGGATGAAGCTAATTGGCCATTACAAGATCCTTCCACGTTAAAGAAGAAGTTTGATGATATCTTCTCTGCTACCCGGTATTCTTTGAGCTTTTCCCCTAAAATATTGAGATTTTTTCTTATCATCTTCTGTCACTAAGTGTGCCATTAGTTACGACTGCTAATAGCATTTTTCATTGTGGTTGATTGTGCTTCATTAGCTTCACTTCTATTTTCTTGCATTCTTTACTACACTGTATAATAATCTCAAGCATATGAAAGATGCATTCCTGAGCAAATAAACTATAGCAATCCCTTAGGTGGCTTGCTTATTTCTATTCCTAACTTTGCAAGTTTGACTTATTTGTCTTTTGCAAAAGGATAATGAACTTGATATGTTTAAAGTTTCACACCAGAATAAACTGCAAGAGTGAAAGCTATAGTTAAAAGACATTATTTGAAAGTTTGGGAAGAAGTGAGTGTGTAAAAATTGAATCAGATTGATGTGGAGTTCAAGTATCCAAGTGGCTTCCTTCTCAGATGATCAAGAGCCTGAAAGGCATCCCATTTAATGCTAATCTAAATACTAAATAAATCAAACCAGAATCAAAATGCTAATTTTTGCAAAATAATAACAGCAATTGACATTGCTATTCTTCTCTACAATCTATAGTAATTCTGCTATTTATTGACGTTTTAAGATCGAACGTGTTCACGACATTGATGATATATTAAAGGATGTGAAAAAGCATGTGCAATACAACATAAGGAACAAGAGCATGAGGGATACACCAAAGAAGAAAAGAGGAATGTAAAAGAAATGTACACCAAATTGTAAAAAAAAAAAAAATTGAAAAAAGGACTCCCAAGATTCACGAACAGATCCCATAAATCGAAAAAGGGTGCCACATGGAGAGCTAGGTGAAAACTGCTATATCCCTGAAATGATGATATATTCTACAATTACACACATCATTTTAGGGAAGTAGGAACTATGTTCTAGCAAAGTTCTCCTATCTCCTCATTTTCCGAAAGGCTGAATAACTGAAGCTAAAATCTACCTGAACAGCCCAACAAAGAAGACAAGAATGCCCATGCCTGCTATGAACAGCATAACAGTAAACTATCCCCTTCCACTGTACTTCCCCTCAATTTTACCCATTAAATATCAACTAACATGTTTTAATTATTTTTCCCCTTTTTCTTGAGTTTCTTCCTCAATAAAATAGCCACTTTCTAGAGAAACAGGCTTTTGAGAGCACATGGATCCACCTGACAGTCTTCCAGCTAAATGATTTATCTGTACAACCATGGAAATCTGTATTAATTAGCTTAAAAGGACTGCTAGTATTACAATTTTGAAATTAATTGATATTTTGGAGTTTTTACGTAGTTTTTGGTGCCTTGTTCATAATGCTACTATGCAGCCAATTTTTTTTTTTTTTTTAACTGTAGTAATTTATCCTTTGGTGCCTACAACATTTTATTTTGGTAAACATTTTGTTGATCCTCAGCAAGAAGCTAATAAGAGTTTCTGCCATGCTCAATTGAGCAGATATACAAAAGCCTTAGAGGTCATCAAAAAACTTCATAAGGATCAAGCTCAAGAGATAAAGACATACAAACTGAAATTAGAGAATCTTCAAACCTTGAAGGATGCTGCATATAAGGTTCTATTTCTTTTTTTCCATCTTTTACTTTTTATACCATGTTGGTTATATTTATTAGTTCTTCAGGTCTTATTTTTTGTACTTTTTTAAAAAAATTATTTTGGCTATTTTTTTTGGTATCTCATGAGGAATTGATAATCTGTCCTTCAGATGGTCTTCTGACTGCTAAGAAAGTTGTAATATCATTGTGTTTTTGGAATAAATGGTATCTCTATTTCAATCGTTCAGTCTCTCTCTTTCTCATAGAAGGCAGCGGCGAGGGTGTATACAGTATACTTGCATTCTCTGTCAAACTAGAAGTAGTTAAGAACCAGTGTGTGATCTTGTTTCTACATCAATGAACGAGACTATGGGCAGATTATAATTGCTCTTCTGCTTTATAACATAAAATCACTGTAGACCTTAAACTATTAGGAATATGACCTATAATGTCTCCTTTTGAAAAGCCTTTGGAAAATTCATTTGCATGGACAGTGAATTTCTTTTGCTTTGTGGTGCTTTCAGCACTTGTTTTTCTTATTATTCAGTAACTTTGTAGGATCCAGAACTCAGATCCTCATTTGCTGTTCCAGTTAATTAAATATCATGGGCTGTGTGGATATCACTCAATAGTTTTACGTATGAAGCTGTCAGACTTTTCACACTATTTTAAGCTTCTTTCCATTTAAGCTCTAAATTTTGTTCAGGCCTCACCTGTAGAATCACAGTCTGTTGTGATAAGTATAGCTTAAAAGTGACTGTGCCCTGTAGTGTAGGTACTGTGGTTTGGGTTGTCTACTATCAGAGACGAAGCATGGGCGAAGTAAGATTTCAGATTGATGGAGGGACCGTAGGATTCTGTGCCTTTGTGTTGGTGTTGCTTTCATTTTGGTGTATTCGGACAAACTAGGAGTCCTAGGATTTTAACATTTTTTCTTCTCAGGACAATTGGTGAGGGTTAGGATGATGTTTCTTGCATCATTGGAGTCTCATGGCACAGGAGCTTTTAGCGAGTTTCCCTAGCTTACATTCAGAAGCATTGGAGCATGCTTTATTTTTTAAGGACTTTCTTTTTCCCTTTGTTTGGAGGATGATTTATTCCTAAGCTTTTGTACATTCTTTTCTTTAATCAAGCATTATTCTTTTATAAAGAAAAGGCAAAAGTATTGGGTGGAAGCTCTTAAACTCATTATTTTGATTGAGCTCTGTCTATTTAAACATTCACTTACATGCATGCTTCTTGTTCCTTTTGCTAGATTGGGACAAGTAATATTGTAAAACTTAATGAGGATAAAGTTGGTATGAAGCCGATTCTATGTAACGCTTAATGGTGTCATGTTTTGTTTGTACAGCTTCGGGAAAGCATTGGTCAAGATCAAGAGAAAACAGAAACTTTAAAACTCGAAATTCAGGAGTTAGAAAGTAACCTTGAGAATCTGGATGCAAAAATTCATCATACTGAAGTAACTCTGAAAGATCTGAGAAAATTACAGGACCAGATAACAATCAAGACTGCTGAAAGAAGCACTTTGTTCAGGGAGCAGCAGAGGCAGTATGCAGCCCTTTCTGAGGAAAATGAAGGTATGCCATGCATGGTGAACAGCAATATATTTTTTCTGCTTAACTCATATTCTTATACATACATACATACATACATACATACATACATATATATATATATATATATATATATATATATATATATATATATGTCAAGTTTCACGTCTATGTGCTTATTACCATGCCTTTAGAACCAATTCCTTGAGCGGTGAATGGAGATGCTGCATTTCTGAAATCATTCCGTACTTATTTTTCATGTACAATTCCCTCAATGTTTCAGACACTGATGAAGAACTACAGGAGTGGAAAACCAAGTTTGATGAAAAGATTGCAAGTTTGGAATCGAATATCAGCAAATTGGAGAGGGAAATGAATGACACGGAGACAAAGGGTTCTTTTCTTAAGCAAAACACTAATGAGTATATCCGAGAGATCAGCAGGCTTCAGACTGAAGCTGAGGTAATGTTAATGAAACTATTCACATTTGATGCTTAAAATTGGTTTAACTTAGGGCTGACCTTGCTGTGACTTGCTTACTTTTGAAAATTAGGCCCATGCATCCCTGAAGAATGAAAGAGATTCCACCATCCAAAAAATGTATACAAGACATAATATAGGTCCTCTTCCTAATGCCCCATTCAGCGATGATGTTGCTTTGAACCTCACAAATAGAGTAAAATCAAGGTTGGTGGATCTTGATAAGGATCTACGAGATAAAAAGGTAATTCTGTCTCTCTCTCTAGATATATTGTTCCTTTACCTGTGTGCCTATGTAATAAACATGTTGTATCTGCTCAATTTCTGTTCTTCAAATAGCAATTTAAAGATTCCAAAGAGTTTCTTCGTTCACTTGAAGAATGAAGTTGTACTCTGTTAAATCTTTGAAGCTTTAAGATATGAACTTGATTTGTCTGTTATTTCAGACATCGAATGATAATGAAGTCAAGAGAGCAGAGAATTGCTACTGGGATGCCAATGAACGTTGGAAAAATACGGAGGCTCAAAAACAGGCTAAAGTAGAGATAAAGGTGCACACTATATGGGGGGTTCTGGAAGGGTTCATGTTTTATATCCTAGGGTTATAATTTTCATGCGCCTCTTGATATTGTAACTTTCTGCAGAATAGCATTTTAAATCGCATTACGGAGAAGGAAAGGGAGCATGCTTCATTTGATGAACAAATTTCACATGTTAATCTCTCTCACATTGATGAAAAAGAAAAGAACATGGTGAGGATGTCTCTGCATAAGCTGTACCCAAGTTTGCTTATTTTAACTGAAAACAATTGAAAGAGAAGCTCCTTGTGATTTTTGCAGCGAATTGAGGTTGAGAGAAAGACAAATCAACTATCTGAAAGAGAATTTGAATCACAAATACGACAAAAGCAGAGTGAGCTGTATGGCATAGAGCAACAGATTAAAGCTCTTAATCGAGAGAAAGACATTTTGGCTGGTGATTCTGAGGACAGAGTGAAACTCTCTCTAAAGAAAGCAGAGTTGGAAAACCATAAAAAGAAACATCGAAAAATGTAAGTTAAATCGTTCTTGCCTGCTTATAGGATTTTTGTTTCTTCACATCATCATCTCTCTCTCCTCTCTCAGAGCTAATTTATTATTTTTTGGTTTTCCTTTTTTTCTAGAATTGATGAATACAAAGATAAAATCAGAGGAGTGCTAAAAGGGAGGCTTGCTCCCGATAAGGATTTGAAGAAGGAAATTACTCAGACCCTAAGGTTATTGAATTCTCTTTTATTTGTTCTGTGCTCACAGATGACATCTCTACAAGAATCCATTTATGGATTTTATTCATACTTTCTGAATTCATTTTTGGTTAGCAGCAAATGAAACCCATGATTGCTTAATTTTCTATTGCTCTTTTTCTTTTCCTTTAATTCTTGACATTTGTCGAACTGGTGTTAGTATAATTTTTCCCTTATTCATTATTATTGATAGTGCTTTACAACCTCCTTCAAAAGTTGCGTATTTGTATTGAACACTGGTGACTTATATCTATTTTGAGATTTCAGTTATTTCCTCATAAGATGGTCTTTTGGAGCCTGCTATGAGCTTGTATGTGAGAGTTGCCTGGCAAACTTTCTGGGTGTTTTGACTTTTGTCAACACCTTCTTCACTGAGATGTTGACAAGTTGATGGTTCTTCTGCTGTAGGGCTCTTGGATTGGAGTTTGATGACTTGAATATGAAATCCCGTGAAGCTGAGAAGGAGGTAAATGTGTTGCAGATGAAAATACAAGAAGTTAATAATAATATGTCCAAACATCGCAAGGACATGGAGTGTGAGTATTGTTTCACATCTAAAAATAAAGTATTGTTTACATTTAACCCTTGGATCAGTCAGAAATATTAGGTTACTGATCATTTGTTATGTGGTTCTTGCTGTTAATGAATTTGGTCAGAAATTTTTAATGAGAATTTATCATCACTGCGGTGTTAGTAATTTTTTGCAGAACTTCTTAGGCTACTTTGGTTTAGGTTTTTTAAGGGTATATGTGTTTGGGGAGCAAATGGATGTATTGCACGAGACTGGACAAGGCTTTCTCACGAGAGTTGGGGGGCGGAAATCGGGTACTGGACAAGACAAAAAATATATTGTTATGTGTGCTCCAAACAACATTACAAGTTGAGTCATCCTGTCCAGTCTCAGTACATAATGCTACCTCAGTTTCTCTTAATTTTATTTATGAGTACAGTTGCGGCTAGGATTTTATGGCTGGTATTCTAATCTTTGTTTTAATAACAAAGTTAACCTTTGGCTTTTCAAGTTCTTTCGAGAACGTTATTTTCAGTTATTTTAGAACCTTTTCCTCTTAGAAACATAGGCTTCAGTGAAGTGTGCCTCCACTGAATTGTGCTCTTGACTCTGTGATTTAAGAATCCTGGAACTCAGCATTTCCCTGTTGCTTTTCCTTTCTTGCAATCTTTTGGCTCACAGTGTTTAAAATTTGTTTTATGATCTATATATTGGCACATCAATTGTATATAATGCAGCTAGGAAGAGGTTTATTGAATCCAAACTCCAGTCCTTGGATCAACTGTCATTTAGCATTGATTTATACCTCAAAGCGTTGGAGTCAGCCAAGGAGAAAAGAGATGTTCAGAAAAGGTTCCTCTTTTTTGCTTCTTACATTATATAAACATTCTGTGTATGGGCTATTGGACATGTTGATCAATAATTATGTGGCTATGATGACACTAATATAGGGCATGGTGTCACCTGCAGCAAGTACAATATTGCTGATGGTATGCGGCAGATGTTTGATCCTTTTGAACGTGTTGCCCGTGCTCACCACGTGTGCCCTTGCTGTGAACGCCCTTTCTCTGCTGAAGAGGAAGACGAGTTTGTTAAAAAGGTCTCTTATACAGAAGCTGATTATGCTTTGGGTTGTCGCATACATTTCTAAGATTATTCTATAGCGCATGGTCTTTTATTCAGATAGCCTGAAACTTGGGAGGGAATGCTGCTGTAGCTTCTTGTACTATTTTCTGAATATGCTCTATCTTCTATGACTTGCAGCAAAGAGTGAAAGCTGCTAGTTCTGCAGAGCATATGAAAGTGTTGTCTATGGAATCTTCAAATGCAGACACTCTTTTTCAGCAGTTGGACAAGCTTCGTATGGTTTATGAAGAATATACCAAAATTAGCAAGGAAACTATTCCTCTTGCTGAGAAAAACTTGCACGAGCTAACTGAAGAGCTGGAGCAAAAGTCTCAAGCCCTTGATGATGTAAGTATTGCTTCTGGCACTTTTAGCTTTCAAATAAATTTTGTTTGCTGAACTGAAATGCTGGACTTGTTATGGTCGAGCTGTCTTTGGTTTTCATATGCTATAGTTCAGAATGAGTTTATACGTCACCCGCATCAATAATATACTGTCTGCTTCTGGAAAGGCATGTGAACCAGAGTCTTTATTAATTAATTAATCCTTAAGTGGCAGAAGAGTTCCATTCACGACCCTCTTTTTTCCTCCCTCTGTTGTCAACTCATATTTTGGTATTTAGATATTAGACTGTTTTACATTGTCAAGAATTTTTGGAGATTATTAAGATAATGTAGTCATGACACTTGAGATCAGTGATTATAACATGAAGGATTGTTTTTTCAAGTGGGAGCGTTTCAAGAACAAAAGAAAGTCCCCATGTCACGACTTTCATAATTTCCCCAGATGGCATGCATTGAAAGGGCATGACACAAATATGAGCTCAACAAAATCAAGAGCTGGCATTGGAGAAATTATTGGAAAACAATTCTTGGAAGATGAGGACTGTCGTGCATATCTTTTGTTGAAGAAGCAATAGATGTCTCCCTGGATTGAAGTTTGTACTCAACTTTTGGATGCAGAACTGCAATCTTGGATTTTGAATTTTCAGCAAAGACATAGGTGTTGGATCTGCATCGTATGGAAGAGCCATATAGACGTAGTTCAAGACTGTAGAAATGCAGCTGCCTCTTATCACCAAAAATTGCACCTTGTGGAGCAAACCAGCGAAAATAAGTAAATAACCATGTAGCTGATCCGATATTGCTGTGAAGCCCCACATAGTTGACTGGATTGTTGTTGGGGTGATAGTGTTATGTTATGTATAGTGGGTTGAACTTGAATTTGAAATAGCCCTTTTATAAAAGTTTCTGTAACTTTTTTCTTTCTTGCAATTTTGCAGTCCTTTTATTCTATAATTCTCCTGTCACTTCCAATTGCATATAGTATCATTGCAGCTAGTCAATATGATGGGCCTCAGAACTCAGAAGTGCACTTTTATTGTTCTTTAATGTGATATTTGATAGCTGCTCATTGATTCTGCTTGATTATTGTTTAGTTACGAGTATGACATTGAAGAAAGATTTTGCTTGTAGGTGTTGGGTGTTTTGGCTCAAACCAAGGCTGAAAAGGACTCAGTTGAGGCCTTGGTGCAACCTGTTGAAACAGCTGATAGGCTTTTCCAAGAAATTCAGACTTGGCAAAAGCAAGTTGATGATTTGGAATATAAGCTTGATTTTAGAGGGCAAGGTGTAAGAACTATGGAAGAAGTTCAGTCAGAGCTGAGTAGTTTGCAGAGCACAAAGTATAGCAACTTATCCCTTGGTTATCTGTTTGATTTGTTTTTCAGCATATATTATCAAGTGTTTTGTTATTAGCAACCACTCACCTTCTCACAGTAAATGTTGCTTTGTAATTATTTTATTTTATTTTTTCTTTTTCAGTTCTGAAGTTGATTTATCATTTCAGGATATATCAGTACTTTTTTCTTAAGCTTTATCTCTCTCTTGACAGGGATAATTTGCATAATGAAGTGGAGAAGTTAAGGGATGAACAAAGGTACATGGAAAATGATTTGTCACATATTCAAATTCGGTGGCACGCTCTGCGGGAGGAGAAAGTTACAGCAGCTAATATGTTGCGTGATGTTAAAAAAGCAGAAGAAGAGCTAGAACATTTGGCAGAGGAAAAACGTCAAGTTGAGCTGGATGAGAAGGTTGTCTTTCTTCTTGCTGGTTAGGAAATTTATTATCTTGATTGTTTATAGTTCATGACTGTATATTTTTTAATTTTATGTCAGTGGTGATAGATTGCATGGGTGCCCGTGTAGAATATGCAAGTGCGGGTGTATAAACTTGAGTGTAAACTCTTTAGGTTTGATGTTTGCAAACAATTTTGAAATGCAAATAGCACAAATAATTTTATTAGTGCACTTGGCATTCATCATATGATAACAACATGGCAGCAATCCATAATAGCAAGCCATCCCAGATTGGAGGATTAGAAGTTGGGGTTAAGACCATGAAAATTTGAAACTGGTTTGATCAGGAATGGTCTGTATGCTAGGAAATATCTGTAAGCATATGATAATATGCAAGACAACTGCCGTTGGAGTAGAACTTTAAAGGGTGTTTGGTATCACTTCTGGCTATTGTTTTCTATTTTCATTGAATTTTAATATCTTACTGTTTTGTTGAGTATCTATTTTTTTCTGTTTCTAAAGATTTTGGAACTTCGGAAAATGACAAAATTTGAATTTCTAAAGTTATTGGTTTTATGTATTTATGTGTCAGTTTTCCTTGTCAATTAATTCTTTTCCAGTCTGGTGGTCTATGCTGTGAGAGATTTGTCTGAATGCTTAATGCTGCGACTTTCTTGGGGTGGTGCAGTATCCTGGTGTCGCTAGCAATATCTTGCTCTGATAATTAGTCTACTAAATGCAGTCTTAATCAAAAGCAATTCCTTTTGCTATAATATAATTGATTTTCGGTGGTCCCTTTCCAGCATTTGGCAGAGGCTCTTGCTCCTTTATCTAGGGAGAAAGAAAAACTACAGGGTGAACACAATGAGTTGAAAATCAAACTTGAGCAGGAATATGACGAACAAAAAAAACAACTAGATGGCTTTCAGCAGGAGGTTGACACACTTAATAGAATTGCATCCAAAATTAGAGAGTAAGTTCTGTGAAACTGAGGATTGATGATTTTCCTCATGCCATTTACATTGATCATCAATTTTGTTTACCAGGTATTATAATTTAAAGAAAGGTGAGAGATTGAAAGAAATTCAGGAAAAACTATCTTTATCTGAGTCCCAACTTCAAAGTTGCGATGCTAGGAAGCAGGAAATTTTAGCTGAACTCAATGACAGTAAAAACGCAGTGCGAAGTCAAGATAACCTTAGAAGAAGTATTGAGGACAACTTGAATTACAGGAAAATAAAGGCTGAAGTGGAAGGGCTTACCCAGGAGATTGAATCACTGGAGGAGAGAATACTGAAGATTGGTGGGTTTTCCACATTTGAAACCGAACTTGCAAAGCTTTTACAGGAAAGAGAGAGACTTCTTTCGGAGGTATAAATGAAACTGATAAATCATTTTCTTAAGACTGATGTTTTATGTCCTTACTGATGAGCCTTTTAAAGTGTACCTTCCTTTTTTATTCACCCTTTTATTTTAAGCTATTATCTTGGTTATCCTGCAAATCTGTCGTAATAAAACTTTATGCAGTGGATTTAAATAAAGTGTTAGTTTATACAGCAGATCAAATTGAGACAGTTATTCAATAATGCAATGTTGGTGTTTTGGGTTTGATTTATTTAATGTGTGGTGACTGGGGGCCTTTTCATGTTGTAACTTATATCTTTATACACTAGATAAGTGTTAGGATATACAATTTGATCCTACTGAGGTCTGTTAAGGAATAACACAATGGTTATGTTTTGGCTTAGTATATGGTAGCTATGGTCAGATGTTTAGGTTGTGTCAGAACCTGCTGTGTTGTTCCGTACATTGATCGTTCAGTTTACCTCATCTGCCTTTGCATGTTCTTGGGACTGAATTTTGCCATGCACATGAGGAGTTTCAAGGAATCGTAGATTCTTTTTTATGTGGCTCTGACCCTGGTAGCTTAAACACTGGTATTGCATATTCAAGTCTTGGCTACTAGAGAATTAGGAAATGTCTCTAAGCGTTTTATCATGTATGGGGTTGCTGGTTTGAACCTGGGATGCCTACTGGTACAACGGATGCTGCCTTCTCTGCTAGTGCAAATGTACAATCATATAAATATCTTTGAATTTTATAGTGTTCTGTGTATGATTGTATCTTATAAGAAAATGGGCTCCTTTTCTTTTTGTATTTTATTGCAATCATTCAAATTCGAAGATTAGGGGAAACTGATATTCTTGGAGGAGTAACAGTACTTGTTTGGTTGATTAATGTGCCAAGTTTTTTTTTTGTCTAAACAGTTAAACAGGTTCCGTGGAACAATGTCTGTTTACCAGAACAATATTTCGAAAAATAAAATTGATCTCAAACAGGCACAATACAAAGATATTGATAGACGATACTTTGATCAGTTGATCCAGCTAAAGGTGGGACATTTTGCTGACTGCTTGGATGTGTTCTTTGTTGCTCATTCCAATCTGTTTGTTAATTTGAACATCTTGTGACAGACTACTGAAATGGCAAACAAGGACCTGGACAGATACTACAATGCACTTGACAAGTGAGCTTTCCCAATTAAGTTTCAAATTGTTTTTTGGTTCACTTTGGCACCCATTTTTATTATAAGGGGTTAATCCATTCTCAAAAGGAGCTATATAATAAAATGCATCTGAAAACCATTGGCGCTGTTTGCTGGATATTATATAAGATATCACTGTACTGCATCCAAAGTTGAATTTGCAATTGTTTCATGTTGGGCTGTTGACTGCATGCACCATGCAAGTTCATACAGCAGCTTTGTCGTATGTTCTCATGACTTTTCTCAGTGTCCAAGCTCATAAAGCAATGTCTTGTGTTTATAATAATAATTAAAAAAAAACTACTTATGGTTGGCCAACTCTCATGAGAATTTTGCAGTACTACAGTATCTTGCAAATGCATATTGCTCATTTCTTTTTGTATCTTTGCTCATCTATCTCAACATCCGTGCCACTGCTATAATCTGCTGATAGAAAAATATTTTCTAATGTCTGCATGCTTTTGCATGTGCTTCTTAGGGTGTAACATTATCACATTTAACCATAATCTATTCTTGATGAAAGTTTGTCATGCATCATGTTGCCATAGTTGTAGCTCATGGGAAAGGGGCTTTTGCCTGCTAGTGTTTTCCAGTGGATTGTTTGAACTAATATCTTTAAGTAATTTTTGGAAAATTATTACTGAGTTTTTGCCATATGCACCTGCAACTGATATGTGTGGACCTGCTTTTGAGTTGTATATGCACTTTACTGGGAGATCCCTGTATTGCCTTTCATTTTTCCCAACCAATAAAAGGTTTACAATATACGCTGAACTAGAGTGATTATTCACTGACCATTTTGCAAAATTGTCACCATCCTCTGTGGGTGTGCATACGTCCAGCGAATAGTTGCTGCATTTTGTTTTGTTTTGTTTTTTGTTTTTTTCATCTAGGATTCACTGCCTCTTTGTGGTTAGGGCACTCATGCGCTTCCACACAATGAAAATGGAGGAAATTAATAAAATCATTCGGGAATTGTGGCAACAAACATACAGAGGACAGGATATAGATTATATTAGCATACATTCAGATTCTGAAGGTGCTGGGACTCGTTCTTACAGCTACAAGGTAAAAGTAAAAACGACTTTAACAACCAAGCTTGCTTCTCACAGTTAATTTTTTTTCTGCCTTATAACTGCATATCATGCTTCCATTGCATTCTACGCAGGTTGTCATGCAGACAGGTGATGCAGAGCTTGAAATGAGAGGAAGGTGTAGTGCTGGTCAGAAAGTGAGTAATATTTGAATGCCGTTTATCTTTTGTATTTTTATGATGAAAAATTGAGAACTTATGTTTTGTTCTTAGGTCCTTGCTTCACTTATTATTCGGTTGGCTTTAGCGGAGACATTTTGCCTCCACTGTGGAATATTAGCTCTAGATGAACCTACAACAAACTTGGATGGCCCAAATGCTGAGAGTCTTGCTGCAGCTCTTCATAGGTAAGATCAGAATATCAAGTCCGTTTATAGGATAACTAATCACATTTCCTCATCAACTGGAGGACAGCTTATGCAACTGCTCATAACTTTTGTATTAACTCGTCTTCCTGTTTTACATTCTCTCCAGAATCATGGAGGATAGAAAGGGCCAGGAGAATTTTCAGCTGATTGTAATTACTCATGATGAGCGCTTTGCTCAACTTATCGGTCAACGGCAGCATGCAGAAAGATACTATCGAGTCGCAAAGGATGATCAGTATGGCTATTCAATCACCGGCTCTAATCTGCTTTAGCATTCCATTTGTTATTGAACTTAATTTCATACTAATTTCTATGATTGAGACTAACTTCTCTTAACTCTCTTTTCAGTCAGCATAGCATTATTGAAGCCCAAGAGATTTTTGACTGACATTCCAAAATGAGGCAGAAACTTCCTTAATCCCTACGAAGCAATACATAGAATGTTCTGTTTGAAATGGAAGCAAAGCCCAGAAATCAGTCTGTTGCATGTAAAACTAATGTAATGGTTAAAATTAAATGCCATTTATCTTCCTTACAATGACGTCTTTCCCTATTATTGAAAGCTATAACAGCAATACATGTGTTTATCCTGCCTTCGTCCAATCTATGGCTGGACTATTGCTTCTTTGATATCCAAAATGTTGAAGCTAAGCTGAATGCATAATAATGCCCGCTTAATATGTATAACGAAATTGGCAATAGCCGTATCTATTTTTTGGTATTATAAAAAAATACTAGAGATTTATATGTATAACGGTTGTTATCTTTTATTAATGCTTAGATTTGTGTTTCAATCTTTAGTTAAATTAAATTGAAACATAAAGGAAAAATTTGAGTGGGAGAATCGGTTTTCGAGGAAGGAAGCTAAAAAGATGTTTTCAACATAGAAAGGAAAAAAAAGGAGGGGATAAAAAGGAACTGGCGTTGAAAGCCGTGTTCAAGGAAAAAGAGGAGACAGAGGGAGGTGGGAGAAAGATGTTTTTAGACATATGAGCATTTGACTTAAACCTATGGGCCTATGTTGTATGATTGGGTCCATACTTTTAAATGGTTCTAGTAATACGATCTTTATTGGACCTTTTTTTTCTTTTTCTTTTTTTTATACAAGTTTAATTGCACTTATTTTTTTTAAGTAATATTGGGCCTAGTTGTTTTTTTTTTTTTTTTTTTTATGCTTTGTATAATTTAAAAATTTTAATAATTTTTTTACTTTTATTTTATTGCACCCACAAAAAAAACTTGATTTTTCTTCCACTCTAGCAACCACTAACTAAATTATAATTTTGTTATAACATTTTATGAACAATAATTTGAAACTTAGGTTCAATTAAAATTTAATGTAATTAATATTGAATTATAATGGTGTTATATATATATAAAACAAGAACAATGCTATTATTATGTATTATGAAAACTTGTTACAAATCGCTAAATGATTCATAACAATAATAGTTTTGTCATCAAACTATCAAAAGATTCCATTATAAATTTCCATACGTTTTTAAAGCTTTCTATCAAATTTGTATTTTTTTCTTTAAAAAAAAAGAAACGAAAAAAAAACTAGAGGCTTTTCATTCAGACTATCACGTTAATTTTAGGACAAAATTGATACTCAAACTAGTTTAAATGCAAATGCAAAACTTAATGCACAAAACCAACATCTTCCAATTGATAGTAGGAATAGATGATTCAAACATATTCTTGAATAAGGATCGGAACATTTACTGTACAACTGCAGTAAGCCGATTCGAAGGCACGGACAGATAACAGTTCCTAATTATTGCTTTTGCAAGACGGCTTATAAAGCTATAATTCATTACTTTATTGCTTGGAGAATCAAATACATAATAACAGATCAACCCATTGCGAGGATGAACATTATCGGAACTTCAATGACATCCCAACATGGCAGGTAAAAAAAAAAGGCCAAGAGGACCAGCATAAACATAAAAAGTTATAATCAAACGAAAAATTGAAAGCTAACTACAAGACCAAAATCAGATAAAGATAGAGGCTTTTTCTTTGCAGTGGAGATTGAGGTAAATATTCGAAGACCAGAAGCTAGTGATAATTGAATAGCAGGACCTTAATCTTTGTACTTCATTTCGGACATCGAAAAGCCAGGCATGTCGAAGGAGCCTGAAAACTTTTCAACGTCAGCCTTGAGTTCCTCGATGTCCTTGTTGTTCACCAGACCCTTGTTGAAGTCCTTCAAGAGCTTTCCATATTCCTTTTGGATCTTCAGTGTGATGGTCACAGCACGGTGGAGGAACTCTCCAATCTGCTCGAAATCCTTCTCAACCAAACCTCTAGAAGTCATGGCCGGGGCACCTGCCAACAAAAACTCCAATTAATAATTCAAATCTAATAGAGGCAGGGGTTATCATTTCAAATTGTTCAAAGTAACGGAAAATGGTGGTGTTTGAAAAATATCGAAGGGAGCAACTTCTGATTCACCAAAAACGATTACATTTTGCTATGTTCCTAAACTTCATAACTTTACCCAAACAACTAACACTAGATAATGCATTCCAAGGGGTAGTTCTTACCGATTCTTACTCCTCCAGGAGCCAAAGCACTGCTGTCACCAAACACAGCATTCTTGTTCACAGTGATGTTTGCAAGGTCGCAGAGCTTTTCAACCTTGTTCCCTGCAAGAAGGTTATTAAAGGATCAAATCTCACATCATATGAAACCAACATGCATGACCATCAAAGTCCCTCAAGCTAAGCAATTCGATTCTTTTACCTGTCAATCCAAGGGGTCTAAGATCCCACAGAACAAGGTGGTTCTCGGTTCCTTCAGTAACGAGCTTGTATCCCTTGCTCATCAAGTAGTTTCCGAGGGCAACTGCATTGGCCTTGACTTGTTTGGCATAGGCCTTGAACCCAGGGGTTTGGACCTGTTTCAATGCAACAGCAAGAGCACCAATCTGGTGATTGTGAGGACCACCCTGAAGAGATGGGAAAACAGCAAAGTTGATCTTATCTTCAAAGTCATAAACTGCATCCTCTGGCTGACCCTTCTTTGGTGGTTTAGGCCCCTTACGGTAGAAGATCATACCAGCCCTAGGACCCCTCAAACTTTTGTGGGTAGTGGTGGTGACTATGTCACAGTACTCAAACGGGTTGGCAGCTTCCTACAACAAAAAAGAATGGTATAGATTTAGACCAAACCCATATCTTAATATTTTAAGTTCCATTATGATAAAAGCAACAAACGTGACAATGCCAATCTTTCAAATGTAAGAGATTTGCTCCCTTTTAATAATGCAAACTTATTTATTGGACTACCAGAGTAGAAGCTGAAATTCTGCGCACACTTTAAACTCAAATCAAAATTACAAGGCAGGACTTTATCCTAACAGTAATTTAATAAATAAAAAATGAATACCATTAGCTTCAATAATTATACATGCATACACATCTTCAGATCTGAGATTTCCACTAATTCAACATAACTGCAGTCACCTAAATAAATAATAGGATCAGATCTAATTCCATAAATTCAATTCGAAAGGACTCGACTCCATGATCCCATTAAAGACATGTTTCTTTAACATTTAATGCCTGCAGAATTAGTGCATTAATCGTATACTCAGATTTCAGCATGCAAATCAATTGGATTTTAAACTCTGATGTTTTAAAAGCTTTCAATTTGCATTTAACAAACTGCAAAGAAATGACAGACTAGTAAAAACAACTAACTCAGAATCCAAATGTCGACCAATCTTGCAAATTCGTTAAGCACATGCAGCACTACGTTACACCAACCACAGATCTAGATATCAAACCACAATCTGAATTACATAAAATCATGCTGAATCCAATAATTAAACCAGACCGCAAAAAACCCAGATTCAGAATTGAAAATGCACTTAAGAAACACCAAAATCAGATCAAATCTTTCAGAACTTATCCTCCTCTAAATAACCAACAACAAAACACCATCAAATCCAATACTAAAAGATCACTAAATAGCAAGTACGGATCCAACAATTAAAACCGATAAAGCAATATACCTGAGCAGCAACAAGGCCACTGATGTGAGCCATGTCACAAAGCAAAAGAGCACCACACTTATCAGCAACAGATCTAAACCTTTTATAGTCCCAATCTCTAGGATAAGCACTTCCGCCACAAATAATAAGTTTAGGCCTAAAATCCATAGCCTTCTCCTCCAACCTATCATAATCAATATACCCAGTTTGCGAATTCACCTTATAAGGCAAACTCTCAAAATAAATACTGGTAGCTGAAATCTTTTTACCCCCAGATGTATAATACCCATGAGTCAAATGGCCACCAGAAGGCAAATCCAACCCCATAATTCTGTCATGGGGCTGAAGAACTGCTGTGTAAGCAGCAAAATTCGCAGGAGAACCTGAATATGGCTGAACATTTACACCCCATTTCGTGGGGTCTAAATGAAAAGCTTGAAGAGCCCGAGCTCTGCAGAGATTTTCAATCTGATCAATATATTCATTTCCACCGTAGTAGCGGTTCCCTGGCATACCCTCTGAGTATTTATTCGTCAAAGCGCTGCCAAGAGCCTCTATTACGGCGAAAGATGTGAAATTTTCTGAAGCGATGAGCTCGATTCCTCTGCATTGGCGGCGTTTTTCCTTCTCGATTAAATCGTGGATTTCAGGGTCTACCGATTCAAGGGAGGAGTTTCCCCAGACATTGACTGGATCCATTCTGAATATAGGGAGGGAAATGACGGAGAGAGAAAGAAAGGAGGAAGGAGTGTGCAGAGAGGGTGGCTGTGTGGCAGAGAGAGAGTAGGATCTTGTGGGGTTTAAAAAGACGAGAGAAGTGGTTGCGTTAAGAAAATTACTATTTTGGGTTTTTGTTTTGGTTTTGTTTAGCTGGTTTGGGTTGGCTAGAAGTGGCGTTCAAGCTGCCACATTTATGTTTTTTTTTTTTTTTTTTTTTTTTCAAGTAAGCTTAGTTGTGATTTACGTCATTTATGTTTCATGTGATTTTTGTCCTTTGGAGCTTTGACTAAAATGGTGTTTCCTACGGAAAACAAACGGTGAATTGTATTTATTTTTATTAAATTCATTTGTTACATAAAGATGATTTGTCTAATATTAGATTTTCAATTGGCTGAAACGACCTGTCAATAATGAAATCGTAAAAAAAAAAAAAAAATTATCTATACTAAATTTCATTTTGATGTCTCATGTTATATTGTGTGTCTACTAAAATATATCAAATCAAAATCGAGTAGAAATCCATTCAATTTTAATCAAAATTTTATATTTGACTAATTATTTTTTATATTTACATAAATTATTTATTAAAATAATATAATTTATTTATCTCTATCCATATTTTTAGCTAAAAACTTAATTTATAATTTTTTAAAAAAATATTTTTGCCTTAAAATTTTTAATTAAAAAATCAGAGAAAAAAATAAGTACCAAAATGAAACAAAAAAGTAGGACTAAAATCAAATAAAAAATATTTATAAATTAAAAAATATTTTAAAAAAGTACCAAAGTGCAATGTTATGAAATTTTTTCATAATAAATGTCTTTACAATGTTTGAAAACTACAAAAAAAAAAATTGAATAATAAAAAAAATAACACATACAAGCCTGGATAAATAGTGTTTGAAACAATGCAATGAATAATAAATTTATGTTTTGGTTTTTTTTTTATAATATTTTTTATTTCACTTTTGTGAATTTTTTCAATTATTTTTTTGTGTTTTTATCTAATTTTTAAACATTTATATTCATTAAATTTTTAACACGTCGAAATTATAATTAAATTTCTTAAAGTACATACTTTGTACGAATTGAAGATGAAACGAAGGTATTGAAATAATAATTGCTACCAGGTATGGAAAAATATTTTGAATAAAAATTAAACTAAACTATCTAATTTAATATAAATATAATCTTTGATGAAGATTTGTTCTGCTTTGAAAACACTTTAAAAAAAACATATTTTGCTTTTAAATAAAATAACAATTTATCGTGGGATTTATTATTTTCTTAATAAAAAAATGTAAATTTTTAAAAAGGGTTGCACTTAATTATCAAACACTATTTCTAATGTACAATTATTTTTAGTTATTTTTTGTTTATATAAAAAAAACGTCTGGTTATAATATATAGACTTTCCATTCCATCCTTTTTTATCTCATGCTTGATATGCAGCAAAAACAGCAATTAACTTTTTCTATGGGTCCAACCAATGATCTATAGACCCAATAACTTTATCAAGTTATTGTTCTAAACAATTTTAATAATGCTGGTAAATATGCTGTGGATTTAAATTAGGTGATGGAAAATAGAAAAGGCAAGAATTCTAGATTTCCATTTAAAAAGACAAAAAAAAAAAAAAAATGGCTTGTGAATGGAAAAATAATGATTGATATTGATAAAAATCTACATATAGAATTTAGTTGCTTTTCTTTTACTAACATAGAACTCTTGAGGTTTTATTAAGGAAAAAAAAAAATGGAACCTCAAGTAATAATGCTAATTGAGTTATAATTGGTTAATTGATTTAAAATTAAACTCTTATAAACTCCTACATTTTCTTTTGAAAAAAGGCAACATGGTTGCAGATTGCTTGGCAGGTTCGGCATTTCAGCATACTTCTTGTAAAATTATTTTCTTAGTTTCTGATTTACCTTCTTTCTGTCGAGTTGCTATCTCAAATGATAAATTGGGTTTTTATAATTTTCATCCTCAGTAATCATTATCTTACTTCAGAAATCTTTTTTATATAATTTCAAGAAACTTTTCTGTTTTTGCTCGAGAGTTTAGGTTTTTTTGTCCTCCCACCTTATTGGATTAGGTTAGGTTGTCTTCTCCTCGTATTGTTTCATGTTTCATATATGCTATCTCATAGTACCGCCTATGTTCCAAAAAAAAACTGACAGTTTCAATTCTGGACTGAAATTTTTGCAACTTTGCTTTCTAGGCTGAAAATAGAGTAATTGGCAAGGTAAGGACATCAATCTCTAAGGTTGACAAATGGTTTTTTTAGTCTAGATGATCAAAATGATGGGTATCAAACTAGACGTAAAGCTTCTCCTAGTAGAATGACCGCATGATGTCCTCACCACACCATGTCGTCGTTAGAATTGGTGAATGTTAGGAGGCACTGGTGCTGAAAAGTTTCCTTTCATATGAAAAGAGAATTTACGTGAAAGTTGGTGGATTTGGGGGTTGTTGAGGATCCTTTGGTCATTTACATGACACCAACCCTCCTGATAACGACAACATAATATAATATTTTTTAATTTTATTTTAAGACTAGTAGAGAGTGACCGAATTTTATTAAAGTTGACAAATCGATGATGACTATAAAGGCAAAACCCTAAATTAGTATGCGTATTTCTTAATTCTCAGAAACAAAATAGTGTAAGAATTTGGATGATCAAATTATTATTGGTTAGGATTTTTCGCAATTTCTCACCAACTACACCAACCCCCGCTAGGTTTACATGACTCTTTGGCCTTACGAGAACGTCAATTTATCAACACAGGCTGCGGCTAATGGCAGCATATGATAAAAGAAAAAGAAAAAGAGACAGAAGTTTATCTACTTTGTAAAAGGATTCATATGAACCTAGTAAGTCTGGCTCAGAGGTGTGTTGCAGCTTTTTGTAGTCGTTGTTGATAATTCAAAACAAAACATGTTTGATTAGAATAAATGTAAGAAGAAATTTTGCTTGAATCAACGAGTTTGGATATAAATAATTTATTTAAAAGAGAATTATGAAAAAAATTGATCTCGATATACCAAAATTAAGCTAAAAAACCCTGACCCTAGAACAAAATTAAGAAAACATCAATCAAATTTACAAGCAAGTGTACGTAAATGCCAAAGGTTGTTGAGTCCGAATTTTCCGAACTCCAAAAGAGGTAGGGTTGCCCACGTTTAACAAATTTAAATAAATATAATCTCCAAAATAAAATGGTTATTTATTCTTTAATTCCCTTCCTTACTTCCTCTACCTAGTACGTATTTTTTATTTTTTTATAATCTAGGATGTTCGAGCTAACTTATACGTATCACGACTAATTTACGGATCCATTGAATATTTTACAAGCCCAATGAATAGGAAAAACACCACGAGAATGACGAGACGTGCATAAAAAAAAATCAAACCCGAATAATCATTAAATAAACCCTCAATCGTTAATCTACGACCTCAAGCGTAAAATAATTGAGATAAGTAATACGGACTTCTGTTCATATTGGAGTGCACTGTCTACCAAACTTCTCTTTGTGTCCATTTATGTTTGACTAATGTATAATATATAATAATAATAATAGCCATATATGAGTCATGATTAAACGTGCAAATCAATTATTTTGCTAATTAATTAGCACAGCCTAATCACTTCACTTCACTTTCTTGCCACTCCTCTTTCTTATTCCTTTATCTTTTGACAAGGTACCATGTCGGCAACAACAATGGTCTACCCTTTTGGCTTTTGTTTGCTCCCCAAGCCACGATACTGCTGTTTTTTTTTTTCCTCCAAACAAGTTAAAAACTTATTTGTGGATAAATTATCTTTTAAAAACTAATTACATAGTTCCTTATGTTTTAATTTTATCAATAATTTAGTTATTCCACCTGTTTATTATTTAATTATTAATTTTTGTTCTCAAATTGTATTTTCTTTGACTGAAAAGAGAGAAATGGAATGGATAAAGAAGAAAAATAAGTGAAGGAAAATTTTTAAAAATATATCATTAATCTAACAAAAGATTGATAAAAAAAAATCTTACAAAACTAAAACATAAAAAAATAATTAATTAATTGTTAAAATGAGGGGACCAAATAATTTGTTTAATTTATAATTTACTTTTTATTCCCTTATTCCTTGCTAAGGAAAAAGAAAACAGTAATTAATGTTGTTGCTTTTCAAACAAACGGCGGTGACGGTGTTTGCTCAAATCACGATCTGGATCTTAAAGGGGAAAAAAAGATCTGGATCTGAAAGTATGAAACCAACCTTTTTTTTTTTTTTTTCAATTGTGTCGACCGCCAATGTTAGGAGTAAATTATAAATTAGTTCTTCTTATTTTTAGAAACGAATTAACTCGTCTCTTTAGTTTAAAAAAATAAATATTTATTTTTTTTGTGTTAATTTTTAATTTATTTTGATTTTTTGCTTTAAGAAATAAAAAAATTAAAAAAAGTAAAAATTTTAAAAAATTAATGAAAAAATAAGATATTTTATATAATTAAAAATATTAAATTAATCATCATGTACTAATAAAAAACATTAAATGATTAATTTTTAAAACGAAACAAGAGAAATTAATTTATAATTTATTCCCACTGTTAGCATGACTGATTGATAAAAATGACTTGTCAATTTGTACCGAAAGCAACAAACGACATGTGAATCTATATTAGCGACCACATAATAATAAAATTTCCGCAACAATTTTATTGTAGGTACATGGTAGCAATTATTATTTCAATACCTTCGTTTCATCTTCAATTCGTACAAAGTATGTACTTTAAGAAATTTAATTATAATTTCGACGTGTTAAAAATTTAATGAATATAAATGTTTAAAAATCAGATAAAAACACAAACAAAAAATTGAAAAAATTCACAAAAGTGAAATAAAAAATATTATAAAAAAAAACCAAAACATAAATTTACTATTCATTGCATTGTTTCGAACACTATTTTTTCATACTCATATGTGTTATTTTTTTATTATTCAATTTTTTTTTGTAGTTTTCAGACATTGTAAATACATTTGTTATGAAAATTTTCATAACATTACACTTTGTTCCTTTTTTAAAATATTTTTTAATTTATAAATATTTTTTATTCGATTTTAGTCTTACTTTTTTGTTTCATTTTGGTACTTATTTTTTTCTCTGATTTTTTAATTAAAAATTTTAAGGCAAAAAATATTTTTTAAAAAACTTATAAATTAAGTTTTTAGCTAAAAATATGGATAGAGGTAAATAAATTATATTATTTTAATAAATAATTTATGTAAATATAAAAAATAATTAGTCAAATATAAAACTTTGATTAAAATTGAATGGATTTCTATTCGATTTTGATTTGATATATTTTAGTAGACACACAATATAACATGAGACATCAAAATGAAATAATTCTTCAAAAATAAATTTATGTATTTTGTTCGATCTACAGAGTAACGTGAGTGAAAAAACTAGTATTTTTTTAGTTAATTAGACAAGTATAATCATTATTGATTAAGAAGGACAAACATCGTAAACTTAAGTCAAGTTACCCTTGAGTATTGTTTGGTAATCGGGAATATACTAGACGAGAATAGAGATAAAAGTTTTATTCTCACGTTGTAACTGTTTTGATAAAATCGAATGAAGTGAGAATGAGAATGAAAATTACACACAACTTCATTTTCATTTAAAATGTCGGAATAAAAATAAAGAATTGCAATGAAATTTTCCTTTTCAAAATAATAAATATATTTTGTTTATTTATTATCTATTGCTACTATCATCATCATCAATAACCACTACCACCACCATCACAACCACTGAACCATCGCCACCACAACTACATCCACTAGGACTAGGACTATGACCATGACCACCATTACTTTTTTATTTTTACAGCTATTATAATTTGATAAAATTATTTTTTTAATTATTATTTTTATTTGTATAAAAAATCAGATATTAAAAAATTTAAATTGCATTTCGATTCTTTATTAGTATTTCAAACACGAGTATAACAATACAAATACCATTACGATTTCATAATTTTTATTCTGATTCTTGCATTTTTATCATGGACATTTCATTATTGATAACCAAACGACACCTTACAGATCTTATTTTGTTGTTGTTGTTATTATTATTATTATTATTTTCAGATCCCCTAATTTAACACCATTAATTTCAAAATAAACAATTTTTTTTTTTAAAAAAATCAACTTTGGCAGTCATGATGGTCGTCGTGCCACCCACAACCCCACCATCACATGGCAATATCCCCCTGCCGAGCTGCTGCCCACACCGGTGGGAGTGGGGCCTTTCACCTTTCCTTTTTATCACTTTGTTTTTCTCTTCGTAGCGGCTAGCCCAACTGACAGTCCTTGAGGAACCGTGATTCTACCGGTAAGTTATAAATTAGTTCCTTTTGTTTAGAGAAACGAATTAATTAATTTTTTAAAATTAATCACTTAATTTTTTATATTTTAATTCAATCAATAATTTATTTTTTCGTCAATTAATTCTGTTGAATTATTAATTTTTATTTTTATAATATAGTTCTTTTGATTTTTAGTTGAGAAGAAAGAAATAAAGTTGGTAATTTTGAAAAAGAAAGTTTACTAATCTAAAACATTGATGAAAAAATTAAATTATTAATAAAATGAAAATATAAAATTAATTAATTAATTTTTAAAATAAAAAACTAATTTATTCATTTCTTAAAATCAAAACGACTAATTTATAATTTACTCGTAATTCTACATAACTTTATTTTTTTCCGAGTACTTCAGCATCTATCTTAGCTTATACGGCTGTCCCATCAAATCATCGGTCGTTCAACTCCAATCGTCAACCAGAATAGAGTAGATTTTTTTCCTTTTTTCTTTTTTTCAGTCGGAAACAAATATTTTATTTTCCTCAAAAAGAATCAAATGCATATTGATCGACGAAGAAATAGCAATTTTAATAGTCAATGGCGTTTGCTCATTCATCAGTGGTTATAAGAATACAACATTCTGCCTTACTAAAAGAAAATCTCATGAATTCTTTATATTTTAATTAATATAGAGAAATTGAGTGGGATGAAATTTAGGAAAGAAATTTAAGAGTAATTTTATAATGCATAGGGAGTAACTAATGACATGTATAGTGGTTACTCCATTGATATACTTTAAAGAGAGAGATAGACACAAAAAAAGAGAGAAAATGAAAAAATAAAAAAATTTGAGCGGACGTGAAAATCTTCTTATCACTTTTGATGAGCATAGATGTAATTTCATTATTTTTTTATGTGTTTATTTCTCTCTTTAAAATGAATTCATGAAATAACTATTATACATATCACTAATTACTCCTGATGTATTATAAAATTTCTCAGCAAAAACACGTAGAGAACAGCAACTAATCATGAAAAAAGATGGCATCTTGTTAAAAGTAGACGTTATTGTTAATTAAAAAAAACTTAATTGATTCATGATGATAAATTGATTTAAATAGAGACAAAAATTGGTAGTAGGGTCAACATTGTTGGACAGATATGGAGGTTTACCAAACCTTATCACGTTGCAGTGAAAACTCTGTGCTGTCACGAGGGGAAGAAAGTGGATGAACAGATGAAAGAGAAAAATGAAGGAATTTAGAGATTGCAAATTATGAACTAAAAAGTGCAAGAAGGATTTTTTTTCCCCTTATAAACCATCCAAATTAATTTGATTTTTTCAAATTGAAGATCAAAGGAAATGAAAAGTTAAATTTTCTTAGCTAGAAATTCCAAATATATGAGGACTAGAGATGTTAATTTTATTTGATATATTCGGTATTTGATATCATTTGATCTGGTTGGATTAAATTTTTATTTAATTTTATCAAGATCAAATAAAAAATTAGTAAAATTTGATATGATTTTGATGTGGGTTCGTTCGCCTCATCATCATCATCATCCTAACTCGACCTAGATTTCAACCTAGATTTTTATTTTTGTTTTGTGTGGAATTGTAATTTTATCATGTTAGGGTTAAAATCTTTTTTTTTTTCTTTTCGTTTCCTTACCTTTTCTATTATGCAAGCAAGGGAAATAATAATTAATGTAAGTGTGAGTTTGTTTTTCTAATCAAATTGAGGTTAATAGTAGAATAGAAAAATGTTATATTAAGATTAATGTTCAATTTGTCTTATTTTTGTATTTAAAGTCAATTTTCAATCAGTCACATAACGAGTTTTTATCACAAAAATCAAATTACGTGATTTACACATAATTATTTTTTAAAAATTCCTAAAAAAAAAGGTAACTTTTCAATCCAAACTATGCTATTGTGATTCAAACTTTTAATTCAGAAAAAGGAAAGTAAAATCTCATTATTTTTTATTTTCTCTTTTATAATTCAAGATATTAAGTTTACCTCTTGGGGTTACAAATACTTACCTTCAGGGATTAAAAAAATACCATCCACACGAGAACAAGAAGATTAATGAGAATTTTACTTTTCATAGTGGATGTTGAGATTTGAATTTTAATGACAAAAAAAAAAAAAACACATCCTCTTCGTTATCATGCCCAATCATTTATATTATTTCTCATATAATCATCATTCCAACCTCCTCATATTAATTTTGAAGAATTCTTTAATCCTAAAACGGATAACCTATTTTTAACACACACTATAAACTAAAATTATGTAAAATAAAAAATTATTCAGTTAAAATGAAAATTGTTTTCCAAACAGTTTAAAAACACCTAAAATTACAATAAACTTAAACTAAAATCATTGATTACCATTCACTGTGCTATTTGAAATATTATTCATACAAAATCATATGCATTGCTACTTCATTAATGATATTTTTATAGTTTTAAAATATTTTTAAGATATTTATTATGAAAGTTTTCATAATATTACATTCGAATTTTTTTTAAATACTATTTTTTTAGTCCGTAAATATTTTTTAATTGATTTTGATCTTTTTTTGTTTCATTTTGATCACTTTGGTCCTTATTTTTTTTCTCTAATGTTTTTTAATAAAAAATTTATGAAAATATAAAAATATTTAATTGAATATAAAATTTTAATTAAAAAATAATAAAATTAAATGAATTTTTATTTGATATATCTTAATAGACGCATAAATATAGCATAAGATATTAAAATAAAATATTTTTTAAAATTAATTTTATGTTTTTATATGCTGCGGGTAAAAAAATTAGTTGAGAATCTTGAGAAAAACATGGACAAAACTGTAACTAGGAACTGGTCTTAGCAGTTCCCTAAATAAACTACAATTTTACTTTCCCAGATCCACCAACTCCCTAAAAATACCCTAAAACGCCTATTCTGGCTCACTCTATCTAACTTTCAATCTTCAACGTCCGTTCCTTCTCTCTAACCTATTTATACCCGTTCTTCCTCTACTCTACACTCGCTCTGCCCTTCACTCTTTTCTAAGCGGCTGCTATTTTCCCTCCGTTTCTAAGAGAGTGAAAGTGATTAATCTTCTCTCTTTCTTCTACAATGGCTTTGCTTGTCGAGAAAACTACAAGCGGTCGTGAGTACAAGGTCAAGGACATGTCTCAGGCCGACTTCGGCCGTCTCGAAATCGAACTGGCCGAAGTTGAAATGCCTGGATTGATGTCCTGCCGTACTGAATTCGGCCCCTCACAGCCATTCAAGGGAGCCAGGATCACTGGCTCTCTTCACATGACCATCCAAACTGCTGTTTTGATTGAAACTTTAACTGCTTTAGGTGCTGAGGTTCGTTGGTGTTCTTGCAATATCTTCTCCACCCAAGATCATGCCGCTGCAGCTATTGCCCGTGATTCGGCTGCTGTGTTTGCCTGGAAAGGGGAGACCCTCCAGGAGTACTGGTGGTGCACTGAGAGAGCTCTTGACTGGGGCCCAGGTGGTGGTCCTGATTTGATTGTCGATGATGGTGGCGATGCTACTCTCTTGATTCACGAGGGTGTGAAGGCTGAGGAGGTGTATGAGAAGACTGGTGTTTTGCCAGATCCAGCTTCGACTGATAATGCAGAGTTTCAGATTGTTTTGACAATTATTAGAGATGGGTTGAAGACTGATCCCAAGAGGTATCGCAAAATGAAGGAAAGACTGGTTGGTGTTTCGGAAGAAACTACAACGGGTGTTAAGAGATTGTATCAAATGCAGGCTAATGGGACTTTGCTCTTCCCTGCTATTAATGTCAATGACTCTGTCACCAAGAGCAAGGTATTGTTTTTTAGATCTGGGTTTTTTTCTGTTTAGATCTGTTACGTTTTTTGGTGTTAAGTTCTTGATTTATGTTTCAGATCTGATGTGATTTATAGTGGGTTTTTGAACATAAAAATTAGGTTTTAGATCTGACATGATCGGTGAGTTTTTGTTGTAGATCTGATATTTACTTTATTTGGTTTTAGTTTAATTCGTTCCTTGCTGTTTTTTTTTTTTTCTTAAACTCAGTTTCTAGATAAAAAAAAGTGAACTTGTTTGATAGATTTGCATTGATATGTGGTTATTGAAATATGCTAGATTGAAAGAGAGAATTTTGCCAACTATCGTGTGGATTTTTTGTAAGATTTTTTTTGAGGTTTATAATGAAAAGATTTTGTCAACAGTTCTAAGCTTTTCTTTTGTTTCAAGATGCAAAAATGTGCCAAACTTTCTAGTTGTGTTAGAATCTTCTATGAGACTTTGGAACTTTTGCATGCTTCATATTTTATGACAACTAGCAAGCGTGGGGTTACACTATTAATTGATCTAATTGGTAATTAGTACTCCACAATTTTTATCAAGTTTCATTGCTTGATTAACGTGTCATGCTAGATGTATTGAATATGGTTTTCAATTCTCAATCATTAGCTGTTGATCAACATGACTTCCAAAAAATTTGTATGTGATTCTGCTTGTTCCTTTTCTCTGTTCTGGTCTAACAATTGCTCTTGGTCTTTCTGTGTACAGTTTGATAACTTGTATGGATGTCGCCACTCTCTCCCTGATGGTTTGATGAGAGCAACTGATGTCATGATTGCCGGCAAGGTTGCTGTCGTCTGTGGTTATGGTGACGTCGGTAAGGGCTGTGCTGCTGCCATGAAACAAGCTGGAGCTCGTGTGATTGTCACTGAGATCGATCCCATTTGCGCCCTTCAGGCTCTTATGGAGGGTCTCCAGGTCTTGACCCTTGACGATATTGTGTCCGAGGGTGATATCTTTGTCACCACCACCGGTAACAAGGACATCATCATGGTTGACCAAATGAGGAAGATGAAGAACAATGCCATTGTCTGCAACATTGGTCACTTTGATAATGAAATTGACATGCTTGGACTTGAGACCTTCCCTGGTGTGAAGCGCATCACCATCAAGCCCCAAACTGATAGGTGGGTCTTCCCCGATACCAACTCAGGCATCATTGTCCTGGCTGAGGGGCGTCTCATGAACTTGGGTTGTGCCACTGGTCACCCCAGCTTTGTGATGTCCTGCTCATTCACCAACCAGGTGATTGCTCAGCTTGAGCTGTGGAACGAGAAGGCATCTGGCAAGTACGAGAAGAAGGTCTATGTCTTGCCCAAGCACCTTGATGAGAAGGTTGCTGCCCTTCACCTTGGCAAGCTTGGAGCTAAGCTCACCAAGCTCTCCAAGGACCAGGCTGACTACATCAGCGTGCCAATCGATGGTCCTTACAAGCCTGCTCACTACAGGTACTGAGAGATCGAAGTCGAGGAAAGCCATATGATTGGACGGAGATATTGTTTCTCTTGTATTTTTATTATTATTTGTCCTAGATTATTAGGCCTTGATTTTTGTTTTTTAGAATTTGTGTTTTGGTGGGGGAAGAGTTGGGAAGAAAAGGAAGGAATCGGTCTCGCTTGAAGACCACATGGGATGATTTAATAAGGTTTTGGATGGGGTTGTGTGGGATGCTATTGTAACTGCTGCAATTTGAGTTTTGCTGCTCCTGCTGCTTATCTTTACTTTTCTTTTAATAACCAAAAAGGAAAAAAGATATATTTTATTTCACTTCTTGTGTTCTTTTTCGGTTCCCATCATTTTTGCCCATTGCATTTTAGTGGCTTCTAAGCTAAGGTAAATTCCAGCAAATTCCAGCAAATTCTTAAGGTACTGTAAAGTCCAGTCTGATCTCTGGTTCCTAAGCATCCTGTGATATAGGAAAAATGAAGTACGGGACAAGGTTTTTTTATTGTTGGTGGGCTTCACAAACTTTGGCACTTTGCCACTGCGAAGCAAGAAAAAACAAGGCATGATAAACGAACTAACACTACCAATGTTAGCAGAATATAATAATATATCAGAAAACAGCAAAAGTCAGTAAAGACAGGAAATCGCAAATAACAACATGTGATAAACGTCAGTTCTTGCTTGCCGGTGTCGTGACTTGCAATTATTGTTTTCAAAATAAGATAAAGCATCCAGACAAGAACTGTTGTTCGTCAAAACCAATTGGAGGAAGATAACCCATTGGCAAGTTGAAACACCAAAAAATGATGCTTTCAAGGCTGGCTTAAAACTTGAAAAGTAGTGTCTGTTGCCAAGAATTCTTTTCATGGCTACTTATAAAGAAAGTCGGATCTATTTTCCCTTTATCTGCAGGACACCGAAAACAAAACATGCTGTGGAAACTGGCAAAGGTTCGAGGAAATTCTTTAATCGTCTTTTAATAATGCCCATAGCCTGTTCCTGCCATGGGCACAGAAATGAGAAAGTAATGACGAAGCCTCCTCTTGAAGGTGGCCGTGGTTTGTATTCTTGGGCCAAGTGCTTCTAATTTGTTTCACTACTGAGCCCATTAGTAAAGTGAAACTGAAAGAACTTTCAAAAGGAAGGAAACTAGTCCGCAGATTCAAGAAAATTTGGAGGTAATCCATGAAAAGAAAGAAAGATAAACCTCTTGAGAAGTTGATTGGTCCTGCATTTCAGGACATGATTTACCATTTTGGTTACAGTAAATTGTGTTGGATTTACCCCAATTCCTCCTATATATATATATATATATATATATATATATTAAGAAATACACAACGGATGATAGTCTATTCCTCAAGGCCTAAAACTATGATATTGAAAATGCATAGGGCTCAAGCAAGAGCTTGGAGACTTGTTTGATGTTTCCAGAGGTAAATGAGAAGAGCCTGATCGTTTGAGGCAACATGGTGACAGATGTGGGCTGGTAGTTGGTCAGGGAAAACAAGGCTGAATGGGCAAGAGATGGTGCAGCTAGCAGGGGCTCAGCACTGAGCAGAATGGCTGCCATTAAGAAAGTTGTTCAACCATTGCTGTAGGCACCAATTTAGGGACTTAAAGATATATAGCAAGGACATGGGTCATAACTCTTAATAAAGCAACTAGGTAGCTTGCATTAGGGATTTGCAAAGAGAACCTTCGAGCATTGAATTACTAGGCAAAGGATTTGAACGCATAGTAGGAAAATATATAACAAGTTTCAGATTCCCTTTTGATATCTAATGTATTAGTGTATGTGTCCAAAATGCAACCTGTTTGGATGGTTTGATTTATTGTATTATAGTATTTTTATATTAATAAAATAAATATTTTTATTAATTCTTGTTATTTTCAATTTAATAGAATTAGATAGAAGTCTATATGATATGCATCAATTTAATGATTGATCAATTGATGTAAGATAAACATTAATGCATTTAAATGATATCATTAAATGTCACAAGTTGTAGCATTGTTAAGAATGGACATTGACAATATGCGGTAAGATTTGTGATTACTATGCTCTTGCTATTAGATAGCGAGCATGAGATCTCACACCTATTGACATGGTAATACCAAAGCAAACACTTACGTGAATAATGTTAAAGAACATATATCACTCGGGCATAACTCGTCATGAGAACCCATTTGGTTTACTCTATGAGAAATCTCATACGAGATAGGTACAACTAGTTTTTCGACTTGAAGTAATCATAGTTATCCCATTAAAGGATCGATGTACTTTGACATTTATTTCGATGAGCTTAGTAAAGAGCTACATGTGGGTGATTCATTGAGTGTATTAGGAATCTAATGAAGGCATGTAGATGATTGAGATAGAATATGTCATTTCTTATATGCTAAACGAGTTATTACATTGCACTTTGATGAATGTTTGCTAAAAAAAATATGTGACCATAGTGGAAGTATACCAACAAAGTATAATTGGTTTACTTGTAAGCTAAGATATTTGAAAATCGAAAAAAACTTGTGAGATCATATTATGATAAATTGACATGAAAACTGAATTGTATGAAAACCTTTCTCGTGAAAGTTAATTGTGGATTAATCATTCTAGAGAATTTGATAGTAATGATGCCTTGTTAGATGTCAATTTTGATTTATGTATCAAGAGATAAAATAAGTGTTTTTTATCTTTTTGATACATTACCAATATGTAAAAGAGTCTATTGAGTCATACACATAAGCTTAAACATTCACATGATAAAAGAGAAGCAAAGGTTATTGGAAAAAGTTTCCTATTTTGGAAAGTAAGTTTTTTATTTTATAAATCATTTTTCTTAATTGAAAGTCAGTTTCAAATTTGGAAGACAATTACTTAAAAAGAAAATTAGTTTTCTAATTTAGGTTTAAGGGTAATTTGAATAATTATTTTCTAATGTGGGCTTTACTAAAATAATTGTCTCAATTTATTTAGATGGTTCAAATTAATTGATAATTAATTGGGCCAAAAGAGTTTGAGTCAATAGGTGTAATTTAAAAACCCGTAAGATATTTTGATGAAAAAATAAACTTGAGTATAATTAGATAAGGCTCATGGTTTATAAAAATAAGGTTAGACAAAGTACATATAAGCATCACACACACACACACACACACACACACACACACACACACACACACACAAGAAAATAACAAGATAGAAAACATTTTTCTCTATTAAATTAAAAGTTGCCCCATCTCTTCCTAACAAGCCAAAAATTGACACAAATTATCCTAATAGTATTTCTAGAGAAAAATTCACTATGCAAACTGGTTGGAGTTAGCTTATAGTGTGAATGTTTGAGTTTCGCGATAATCAATAGAACCTAGATATTTGAACGGATCCTTTCGATTGAATTGTTTCCGGATTATAAGTAATCACTCGCCTCAATCTGATTTATGTTTATGTATAATTAGTTAATTCAATGACATAATTTTGAGAATCTTAAATTGAGAAACTTTTTTTATTTATTTCGTATCTGCATGATACTTCTAATGGTCAAAAAAATAAAATAAAATAAAAGTCTTCTCGTTCTTTGACAAATAAACCATGAATGATGAATCCCAATAAGTAACGTCATTAGAAGTAATCATTTAATTTGAAAAGGACATTTGCATGATAGATGGTGTTAGGATCAGAAAATCCGTTTTTGTTTTTTATCTGAGGTTAAGGTGGAAAGTTTATCTTGTTCATGGTATCATGATTTTACTCTGGAGAGAGTCTAAAGCCATGAAGCTGAAAATTGCAGCAGGTAATGCCCAGATTCAAAACTTCCTTATCTGTCCTGCACTAAAATTCTACAGAAACACCAAGAAAACTAGTTAAATTTCGATGCATAATTAAATCAGAATAGCTAGTGCGATAAAGGGCACTGCAGGCATTCCCATCCAGCGCGCTGCTTGGTTTCGAGGGACAAACACGATCAACTATGCTTCCCTAGAAAAGTAATAACCTCAAACAGTTCTTGGCTTCCATAGATCGATCATTGCAGCAAGGATACAGAGTCACTACTCACAAACAAACACTCCAAGAGAATATTCATGCCGGAAAAGCATCAAAAGTTATTGCCAAAGTTAAGTCAGAAACAGATTAGTAGAATTGCAGGAAAAGCATTTCACGCTAAACTGGTGCTGACGAATATCAAGGGATAGCCGCGCCAGGACATTTTCTCTGTTATTACCAAAGTCGTGGAGAGACAAAACAAATATGCAACCATCAGCAAGCAGTAAATCTAACTTTCACATTATTCATAGATGTTGAAATTGCTACATTAAACCTTCGCTGCAATTTAGAACTTCAATGGCAGAGAGCACTTTCAACAAACATGATGAATTGAATCCACTCTACAATAGAAAGCACACACCCAAGTTTACTATTAATGGTGAAGAAAAGGAAAGCTGGCACATTATACGCATTCCAGTTCTCAGATGTTGAATTTACCACATTTTGTTTGCCTTGCCTACTTATGTTTTATGAGCAAATAACGTTGGATAAAACCTACACTCTATACCTCATCCACAAGAACTTCTGAATATTAAATATCGCAAAAGCACACAAATTATAGACAACTCTCACCTAAGACATAAGAAGCCTATGAACTGCTATGCAGATGCATTTTGCAAAAGTAAAGGAAAGCAAGAGATAAAAGGCAAAAAAAAAAAAAAATCACTACTAAGCAGCAGTGCAACATATAGCAATTGCTTTCACAAATTTGGGAGAATTCCTAATATCAATACCTAGAAAATGAAGTTAGTGCAAGGTAATAGCCACAAACTCTTCATGGAAAGTTTGGAATGGTAGAAAATAGCATGATGCCATCTACATGATGTTATCTTGTTTCCAACATCAGGAGGCTAATTACAGCAAGACTTGCATCTAAATAAAGAACTGCATCTCAATCAATAAGAAGTTGTTGGGTGGTGATTCCTCATGGCTTCAGTGTTCGGGCAGAATATGGCGAGATTGCAGAGGAAGTTAGATTTACAAGCACCTAAAGTTCGAAGTCATTTTTTCCTTTTGTCTATTGATGCAATACTTCTACTTGGCACTTTTAATAGATTATCTTCCTATAGAAATCTTTGAATCTAGGCAAACCTCCACTTTTCATTCCCTAGGTTCTCACAATCTATCTGGAAATTGCATTTGCTTTGCCTCCATAAGCATATCTGGAAAAAAAAAAAAAAAAGGGTTTTGTTGATGATCACTTCCAAAATTAACTTTTGTCTTTTGCTTCCACAACCTTTTATTTCTTTAATTGATATAGAAATGATGCACAAGAGTGTAAACCATCAACCAGGTCTTTCCCCTATTAATGAAAAGAAAGATAACCTCAAAATAAGTATCAACTAAATAATGTATAAAAGGACACCCCAGATCTCCCAAAAATTGGACTAAGATTTTCATTCATATAGCAGATCAAAACATGATTCTCTTAAATTTACAGATACAACCAAGAAAATCCCAAAAGGATACAGAATCAAGAAATGCAGTAACACATTACCAATTCCATAAGATCATGTCAATTTTAACAACTTTCTTCTAATTGTTGATGTCATTGATGCTTCTTGCACACCTTGTTATGACCTCACAACCTCTTGTATAAGGATGAGCCTGTCTAGCATTACAGTTATAGTACGATGCACCTGGTTTATCACATGGAACCATGTCTCTCTTCAGTGTCTCATAACTTATGTACTTCTTTCGCATCAGCAACACTCTCCTACTGATCTCTGACTCCATTTCTAGCTCTTCAAAGCACTCTCCAATTTTCTTGGAGCAACCCTTACTCACAATGACATCAATCTCACTGGTTTTCAGTGAATTGACGCCTAAACCTGAATCAGCATTGCAAATTAAGAAAAGGGAGAGGAGGAAAAGCAGTGAAAGGTATAGTAGTGACGAAGTATTGGGGAGAAGTTTGAGTTTGGACATTTTTTTTTTTTGGTTTTCTTTAATTTGGTTGGTGTTACTGTTTTCTCCTGGCTGAGTTTTCTTGTGGAGGTGTGTAAAAGTGAGATTTCACGTGGATGGTTGGGTCATTACATAGGACAAGACAAGCAAATAGTTCCCTTCACAGGTGTTGATCCATTTTTGTTTGGCTTCCACTAACATATCAAGTCGTTTTAGCATGCATGGAAGATCATCACTGACCATTTGACATTAAAGTCCATTGGTGTTGTCCAGAAGGCTTTGTTTTTTATTGTTATGGTAGTTTCTCTTTTTTTTTTTCTTTTTTTTAATGGTATTTTTTAGGCTACATAATCAAGGAAGCTTAAAAAAAAACATCTGAAAGTGATTCGTAACTCCGTATTTTATTGAGTGAGTTCAACTCAATTTTTTTCCCCTAAAAAACCCAAAAAACATAATATATAATTGTTAAGTTGTGAAAACCGATATGGATAGGAAGCCCGTAGTACGTAACGCTACGTACAAGACGATCTCAAAGATAAAGACTTCGGGTTCTAGGAGATGCGGATTGAAGATTATATGTACCAAAAGAAACACAAACCCCTATTATGAAAAAAACTAGAGAGGATGAAAGATATTGATTGAGTTCTATTGGATTGCCAAGCTTTAAGTGTTATTCAAATCGATATTGACAAAAAAGTTACTTTCAACATTGTGAAAGAAAAGATCATAGCAGATTCGATGATGACACTCGTTAAATATGTTTGAAAAGCCATCCGCCTCAAATAAGGTATTTTTGATGTGTCGATTATTCAATTTAAAGATGATAGAGGATGTGTTTATGACTAATCACATCAATGAAGTTAATGTGTTAATAAGTCAATTAGAGTCGGTAAGCATTGTATTTGATGATGAAGTTAAGGCATTGATTTTGCTATCTTTTCTATCCTTACTCACAATGACATCAATCTCGCCGATTTTTAATGAATTGACACCTAAATCCGAATCAAGCATTACAAATTAAGAAAAAAGGAGAGAAGGAAAAGCAAGTGAGGGGTAGAGTAGTGACGGGGTATTAGGGATGACCACTTGACAAAGAAAGTCCATTGGTGTTATCTAAAAGGAGGTTTTTTTTTTTTCCTTTTTGTTAGATGGTTTTTTTTAGGCAAGAAAGCTTAAAAAACATTTGAAAGTGATCCATAACTCTATATTTTAATGAGTGAGCTCAACTCAATTCTCTTTTTTTCCCTCAAAAACCCAAAAAACATAGTATATAATTGTTAAGTTAGGAAGATTGATGTAGATGAAAAGCCCGTAGTATAAAATGTTACGCACATGACGATCTCGAAGACTTCGAGTTTTAAAAGATGCAGTATTGAAGATTATTTATATTAAAAAAAGCTACACGAACCCCTATCAAGTAAGAAGCTGTAGGGGATGAAAGTTATTGATTGGGTTATATTGGATCGTCGAGTTTTAGGTGTTATTCGACCGACATGGACATAAAACGTTGCTTTCAACATCATGAAAGAAAAGATCACATCGGATCCGATGATAAGCACCGTCGAACATATCCGAGAACCCATCCGCCTCAAACAAGGTATTTTTGATGTGTCGATTATCGGTCTAAAAATGATAGAGGGTGTGTTTACGACTAATCATATTAATGAAATTAATGTGTTGATTAGTCAATTAGAGTCGATAAGCATTGTATTTGACGATGAAGTTAATGCATTGATTTTGCTATCTTCTCTACCGGATACTTAGTTTGGAATGGTAACATCGTTAAGCGAGTTCATTAAGGAATGAAAAACTAAAATTAGATGATGTTCGAAATTTCATAGTCAATGAAGATCTTCGCATGAGTGAGTCGTGGATCGATGTGAACCCCATAAATCAAGTGTTTAGGAACCCACAAGCAAGATGAATCATTTACCGATGTGAACCTCGTAAATCAATTATTTAGAAACCCACGAACAAGATGAATCATTCCCAAGAAAGCTAAATCGATTTTTAAACACATAAACCTTGACCCAATGCCTATAGAAGAGGCACGAAACAAAGAAATAAGAAGGATATTAACGTTTCATTCCTAAAACGATGAGAATGAAAGTGACAAGTCATGTTTGGAATGCCATAATAATTAATACATTCTTGATATGTTCGAAGTTCAATGAAGAACCCAAAGAGAGAGACTCTCAAATTCTCTTTTTTTCAAAAATTATATTTTTTTTCCATTCTTCCCCGAATAAAAGGAACAAGCCTCTTTTTTATAGTTGAAATACCTTCTAAAGTTTAAGAATACAAATAAATGCCCACTCTTAAAATATAGGAGATAATCGAGTTGTCCCGATTCTTAGTTCATCCTAATTAAGAAAAAATAATTCAAATCCCCAACTTATTGAGAACAATTAAATAAGTCCTATAAAATTGGTATTCATAATCTAAAAGAAATAAGAAGGAAATAAAATAGATTATTTAGCAAATAACTTAGTAAATAAGTGTTGTAAGGTAGAATCCCTTCAAAACTTAAAATAAGCCGATAAATCATACTAATTAAATTAGCACAACCTTGACTTTCTTTATTCTCATCGAGGAAACTTTAGGTTCTATTTTGAGTATTGATAGCAGAAGAAGGGACTTTCAGTGGAGTTAGAATCATGGTTATGATAGGTCAAAATAAAAAAGCGAAGGGAAATCCAAAGACCCCAAAGACATCACTTGCTAGAACCGTAACAAGAATAAGTACTTTAAAAATTAATGTAAGGCTAAAAAAAATCGGGATGATGACTCTACATATGCAACGACTAATCAAATTACAAATTTATTAATTTGCGGTATGGACAGATCCCATTGAGTCTTGGATTCTATACTCGAGGTACGTTGTTTTATTCTATTCCATGCAAATATTTCCTACATAAATATATTGTAGAAAATTTCGAAAAGGTTTATCTTGCAGATGATGAGCATCTAGACATTATAAGAAAATGTATGGTTAGTATTAGAACTCGCTAACGAAATTACAATAGAAATTGCCTAATGTTAGACATATTCCAAGTCTTAGGAAGAATATGATTTTATGAGTAAACTTGATGACGATGGATACCTAATAGTATTTGGGAGTGGATCATATATGATCATGAATGAGAATATGATTATAACATGAGCCAACAAGGTCGGGAGGTTGTACACAATTGATATAGCAAGGAATACAACAACGGTGATCAATTCTAATGGTGATAATGGTGTAATATGATGGCACCAAAGGCTTGGAGACACGAGTAAAAAAGGTTAGAAGCGAGTTAGCATTTAAAAAAAAAGTTATAAGAATTGAAAGATGTTGATGTCGGCTAATGAGAGGCTTGTATCTATCAAAAGCAAAAAAAAGTTCATTTTCTCGAAGTCTAACAAATATTTAAAGAAAGAAAACTCGGAATTAGTGCATACGGATATGTAAGAACTAATCCCTATGACTTCTCTTAGAGGCTCACAATACTATATCACTATTATTGATGACATTACTAGAAAGGTATAGATTTATTTAAAAAAATAAATAAATCCGATGTGTTTGCTATATTTAAAAAGTGGAAGGTTGAAGTTGAAAATTAAACAAGTCTAAAGATCAAAGCCTTGAAGTCGGATAAAGAAAGAGGGTATGTTAGTATAAAATTTAAAAACTACTATTCAGATAATGGGATTGTAATGATCAAGATAGTTCCTATGATATCGAGCAAAAAGATGTTGCTTAAAGGATGAACAGAACTTTGAATGAGCAAGCATGAAGCATGAAATTGCATTCTCGCTTGCCCAAAGCATTCTAGATCGATGCGAGTGAATATAATAACTTACCTCATAAATAGAGGACCTTCAATTCCATTGGATTTAAATTACCTAAGAAGGTATGGTTAGAAAATAAGGTAAATTTCACACACCCGAGAACTTTTGATTATGTTTCATATGTGTATGTAAAATCCGATGATAGAGATAAACTTGATCCTAATGCTAGAAAATTTTACTTCATTAGTTATAGTTCGATAATTTTAGTTATTGATTTTGAGATGATCCGAATAGAAAGATTATGAGGCATAAAGATATAACTTTTAATGAGAAAATATTGTATAAAGACAAGCTTGGGATAGATTCTACTAGTGCGAGGAACCGGTCGTAAATAAGTGAGATTGAGAATTCAAATGACAGAGAAGGAGAAGCTAAAGTTGAACCAAAATCAGTAACTCTTATTCCTCAACTAAAGAGATTTGACGGAATGTTTAGACCCACTCAAAGGTATTCATCTTTCTTAAACTATTTACTTTTTATTGATGCTCGGAGAACCTAAATTCTTTAATGAAGCAATGCAAGTAAAAGATTCTATCAATTAGGAGTTAGTTATGGAAGAAGAGATGAGGTCTTTTGAGAAGAATCATACTTGAATTTTAATAACGTTACCGTAAGGGAAAAAACTATAAACAATAAGTAGGAGTATAGGAGCAAAGAAAAGCATAATAGTAGTAAAAGATACAAGACAAGACTAATGGTAAAGAGTTTTCAATAGAAAGAGAGGGAATTGATTACACCGAGATTTTCTCTTCTATAGTCAAGAAGACTACTATTAGCCTAGATGCTTAGTGTTGTTATTGTAAAAAATCTCCATCTAGAGGAGTTAGATGTCAAAATTGCTTTCTTATATGGTGACCTTAAGAAAGACATATACATGGTACACTAGAAGACTTTGAAGTTTCAAGGAAAGAAAAACTAGTGTACAAGTCGTAGAAAAGTCCGTATGGTTTGAAGCAAGCTCCTAGGCAATAATACATGAAATTTAATGGATTTATGTGTGACAATAGTTTTAAAAGATATGAGATGGATCACTATTATTATATCAAGAGGTGTGTTACGAGATTTGATGATTGTTATCTTATTTTGTTCTCTTGAATATTGATGATATGTTTGTTATAAGATTTAACTTGAACGAGATTAGTAAACTCAAATAACAATTAGCAAAACAAGTTTGAGATGAAAGACTTAGGAATTTTAAAGCGGCTATTTGGAATGAGAATCGGTAGAGATAGGTTAGAAGGTACATTGACTTTATTTCAAGAAACGTACATTCGAAAGAGCTGAGCAGATTCAACATTCAAGATGGAAAGATCGAAGCACTCATTTGGGAAGTTACCTAAGGCTTTCAAATGAGCAATCATCAAAGATAGCCGAAGAGCAAAAAAAAAAAAAAAAAAGGTCTACAATTCCTTATGAATCGATAGTTGGAAGCCTAATGTGTGTTATGATTTGCATAAGACCCGATATAGTTCGCGTAAAGGGAGCTATTAGTAGGCATATGGCAAATCCAAGAAAGAAGTATTGGGAAGGCGTAAAATGGATTCTTCTCTATCCGAAAGATACTTCGTGTATGACTATTTGTTTTAAAAAGAATAATATTGTTCTATAAGAATTTGTGAATCCAAACTTAGGCGGTGATCCGACAACATGTTATGTTTTCATTTTAGGTGGTACTACTCGTGAGTTGGGTATCTCAACTTCGAAGTATGTTACTCTTTCCATAATTGAAGTTGAGTATATGGTTATTTCGAAAGTTGGTAAAGAAATGGTTTGATTGAATAATTTTCTAAAGGAAATGGGTAAGACATAGGATGACAATGAGCTTTTCAGTGATAGTTAAAATGCAATTCATCTTGTCAAAAATCCAATCTTTCATGCAAGAACCAAACATATCAAGTAATATGTTCGAACAAGATTCTAGGATTGAAGAATTCAACCGATATTTTGACTAAGATAGTTATTGACTAAAGTAGTTATCATTAACGGACCGAGGTTTTATAATGTTTTAGTTAGCTTTCACGATTAATGATGAAAAGATATTACATTTAGAAGATTTGAAATTGGTTAAAAAAAAAACACTTACAAAAAGTTTTGGTACTATTTGGAGATTAGTCTCCAAGCGAGAAAACCAAACAAAAATACTAATTAATAGCAAATGAACCTAATAAATTATGTCAGGAGTTATGTTGTTTCATTGAAAGTCCTGATAAGGCAAATGAACCTAATAAATTGTAGGGAGAAGATGATTGGATTGTATAAAATGCATGAGCAAATAAATGAGGTAGAGGTCACAGACTCGCAGCCCTAGCTAGTCCAGCTACTAGGCTATTATTTAGTGGGTATCTGTGATTAAAATGAGTACCAACCCGCCCTCACAAATTCTGGAAACTTTATTGCAAAGTTTGTTCGATGTATTGAACCCTCTCAGCTGCTATAATTATACCAGTGTCTACCCACCTTTGCTTTTCTGCCTGTAGGAAAAAGCTTTGACTTTTGTGCTGAGACTGCACTGGTGTGGGGTCAAATGCTTGCTTGGGCCTGACCACACAACTCATTTCTAGGATACAAGATTTTGGCAAGCAAATTCTAGAGAGTTTATCGAAGGCACCGTTAGATTTTAACATCTCATTTTAAGGTTGTGAGAAACCACATTCAACGTGGACATTCTATGGCTTCTTGGGCCTCCATGTTTGTGCATTTTGAATGTTTTTACAGGGACAAGCTTCTTCAGAATTGCATGTCTGAACTGTCCCAGTTAATGGGTTTGAAGTAACTCAAAACTCACCTGCCTCGTTCTGTTCTTTTTTTCGTCATATGATTGTTCCATTACAAGAATTTTGTGTGGAGGAGGTATAGATTGTTCTATAGAGAGGTCATACACTTGACATCCACAGTTGTAATGCACTTGTTAAAGTAACATAATTTGGGCTTTTTTCTTCAGTGACATCCTCAAGACCTGCTGGTTCATATTAAGGATTTGCATGTGATGCCATAGCCAGAAATAACACTACTTTCAGAAAGATCAACAACCCACTAAATTTGTTTGCTCTAGGTGGGCAACTGGGAAGGCTATCATTGTATTCCAGTAAGGATTCCAAATACCTAACAAGTGTGTATGGAATGAACACATAATATCATCGCATTTGTAGAAAAAAATATAAAAGATTGCAATAGCAGCACTCAAGTTCACACTACTAACGAAAGTACTAGAGAAATGAATTTTGAATAAATCAATAAACTTGTAGAAGTGATGCCAACTTTCTTCATGACAAGCAGCAACTAGAGCCACCTACCTTCCAGCGGTGACAAATAGAGAATTCCGTTTTTCTTTTCACACTCCTCTTTCAAGGAACATACTTTTTTGTCAACTACAAAGACCAAATCCAGGGACAAGTCATCCCAATACACAGTTCCTATGCTTTTTTGGTCACAAAGAAAACGATATTGCAGCAACAGTACCGACTAGAAAGAGCACCGTATCATGATGCATGGCAAAACTTACAGCGGTAGAAACATCCTTCTTAGAAACAGCATCATCAGACTCAGGGCTATCTGCTTTAAGCATTGGTGCCGGTGCCGGGGGTTTAGGGGTGAATACATCCAAAGGAAGTAGCACCTTGTCGACCTGATATATAGCAAGATGGGTATCCGAGTATACAGTGTTTGAGATAGTGGTGTTGGTAAGTCCTGTAGATATGTTCAAAGAGTTCCCACTAGTGGTAACGTTAAGCTCAAACCTTGTACCAGATCCAGCATGTGTTTTTAAAGGGTTACTCACGGTATCAAATTGGGAAGACGAGATAAACATAGGGACAATGTGAAACTGCATCAACTCGACCATTTCTTGATCAGTTAATGAGTGGAGAGTGCCTGATTTAAGGGTTGAAAATGCACTATCACTCGGAGCAAAGATGGTCAAGCCATTGTTGGTGTTGCCAAGCTGGGAGTTTAAATTGCTATCCAATTGAGTGGATTTCAAAAGGCGAATGAAGGTCTTGAAGTGGCCAGCCTTTTTGAGTATTTTTATGACATTTGTGGGGCCGGATGGTGCAGGAGCAGGTGCAGGTGATTGGGCTATGGTTTTGGTGAAATTGATGGAGAGAATAAGCAGATATAATGAGATCAAGAGAAGATGTAATTGTGTCATCTTTTCAATGCTGTTTCTAAACAGAGGTCAGCTGTTTTGCTTGCAAAATGTAAACGTGGGAGTGCTTTTCTGCACAAGTGTTAGATTTACAAAGAGAGGCCTTTTATCATAGAAAGAATGAAGTTAGGTGTAACTTGCAATTTAATATTAGTAACAAAAATTAGGTGTTTAGTGCCTCACCTTTCACGAAAAAAGGGGAAAGAAATGAATGGACAGAGATATAACAGCAACTTGCTTGCTTAGAGTGGAAGAAAAAGCAGGTTTAATCGATCTTAAAAGAAAATTTGCAAACAATGGTGAGATTGCAAATACCAGAGCTATCATTGTTGAAAAAAGTCATATATAGGGAGGAATGGACTAAATTTAACTTTTCATTATAATACGGTATCGTGGTTAGTTTTCATGGCATTTGACCACCAAGACTAGCATTTCACTGAGTTTTGTTTGACGAAGGATGTAAAGTACAACATAATTTAAAACAGAGGACTGAAAGTGTAAGGTTTCGAAAAGAAAGCATGAAAAATAAGAGCAAGTATAAAACAGCAAATGGGTTTTTAAATTTAAACATGCACCAACATGGTATAGAACAAGTTTTATTGTCATTATAGCTTAGGGCATCAAGCAGGAAAAGGGGAAAACCTAGCTGAATGTGCTACTGGTTAAGTGAAGCAGAAGACAATTTCCAACCAACAAAAAGGATCAGCCATAGCCTACTATTCCACCATTTAAATCTGTACCATACTACACCCACAATTCAATTTCCCACATCAATAACGCAAAAAGCATGCTATCTTTTTAGAAGGGTGGCACTCAGGTTCGAACAATAATAGCAACTACAATTACTAGTGGCATGTCAATATTATATTATTCAAAACAAATAGATGATTTCATGTCAAGTTATATTCTACATGTTACCAATCGTAAATTTTTGAAAGTACCAAAGGTCTGAGAGGAACCTCTGCAAACCTTTCGCTAAGCTGTAAGACAAATGTGATGCTCAAAGAGAAAGCTGCTCCAAATTTTTAACATTTCTTGGCACTCCAAAACCCATCCTTCTTTCATCCTGTTCATCATATGAGTTTGCCCTGTAATTAGAAATTGCCTCTTCATTGTCAGAAGAGCCAGGTCTTTCAGTTAGGAACTGTTCCCAGAAAACATCATTCACTCTAGCTGGAACTGATGCAGGTGCTTGATTGTTATTTGGGGTCTCCTGGGAGGAGGATAAAGTTGTGCGCTCATTACCCAGATTTATGTTGTTTGGAATAACTCGCACATCAGAATCTTTGTTACTCTCATTAAACCTTGAGTCTGGAGATTTGCCAATTTCCTGGCCTAATTGAGGCATCCTAGCTAAATAAGGATTTTTGTTGGCTTGCAAGGAAGAAGATGCCAGACTAAGATTTAGTTGACAGGAAATATGACCATCAACATCTTCATTCGAAGTCAAAATCGCCTGCAGTGAATGTAGTGCTGGGCTCGCATTTGCTGGTATTTCTCTTGGGACATCTGGGTTTACTTTAAATGTATACGACGTCCCAGTGTCTGAAAGTTCCAAAGTTTCAGGTGCCAATAGTAAACCTGATGTCCTAGTTGGTGCATCTTTTGGATTCCCTTCAGATATTTTCCTTTGAGGGCTTCCCCATCTTCATTGGAGCTCTGGGTGCTACGTGAAACCAAATTAATATCTGAAACAGCTGGTGATAATTCCAGTGTCAACTTATTTGAGAAATCTTGTTGGATGACATTCGACTCAGGTCTAGAACTGCTATGATTTTCCACAAAACTATTTTCTGCAACTGGCATTGAGTGATCAACTTGAGGCAATCGTCTCTTCTTGCTATATGCTGAAAAATCCATAGATTCAATCTTACGAGCAAGATGTTCAACAAATGTAGGGTTTTGAACAGCCTTCTCTAAGAACGACAGCAACTTTTCCTGCCTCTGCTGCATAGTATCTATCTTCTGTGTTAGATCTTCCACCTGAAGGGTTGCAGATGACCGCTGCTGTTCAAACCCTAGAATACTTGCCTCGAGTTTAGCTTTATCATGCGAAAGCTTGTCTATTTCTTCCTCATATGCTGCTCTTTCTGGATCCACTAAAGAACCTTGAGGGTGACTGTGACTGTGACTGTGACTGTGAATTGGTTTTCTTCGGTGGATATTCTTAAGCAGATGCTTTTGATCTTTCACAAAATCTTCATTGGCAAATTCCCATCTCTCAGGATCAATCTTTCTAAATCCCTGTTAACAAATTATGTTAAAGTTGATTTTAAAAAACCAAACTCCTCTACACGTAGACCATAGCCTAATTGGAGTCAATAAAATCTGCCCCCTCCTTTCTCTCTTCAAAAAAAAAAAAAAAAAAGAAAAGAAAAAAAAACTAAGCATAATTGAGCTCAAGACCCTACGAAAGGAATCTAAACATCTAGATTAATACCTTGGAAAATGGGAGTTTCTCTTAACAAAAAGCATGCACGATTTATATTATTCCAACTGAAGAGTTGTTAACAAAATACAAGGCAGTTGGCACATAGTCAGATAAGTGTTTTATAAAGCAACGAGAGATGAGAAACTTTAAAATCTAATGGGGAAAGAGATTTCCCAGTCAAAAGAAAAATGAGCATGGAAACAATACGAATTCTTCACTATGCTAATCCATTGCAGATCCAACCATCATTGATTACAAGGACAAAGTTGCATTCCATCTCTGAATATAAAGGCCCTTCCTTCATAGCTGACAATTATAACATGCATGACACGCAGAAAAAAATTGCAAATTTCACTGAAATCAAACATCGTTAAGTTAACCCATCTATATTTCCTATCCCTTCTTTTCCTATTTTTATCGAATAATTCACAACCATTCTTTCGAAATACATGTTCTGTTCCAAAATCCAGCCACATTGGGAATGATCTATAACTGTGAACTTGTATTTCAGCATCTGATAATCGAGCTAATTCCATTGTTAAACCAAATCAGACACGCTCTCTCTCTTTATGATGAGGGTTCGTGTATCTAAAACAGACACTCGGATAACAAGTTGACTCTATAGTCACTATCCTCCAATCAGGAATTCAGGATTATTAATTCTTCCATTTCTTAATCTCCCCATCCCATTAAACTAATTCCTCAATCCACGGCCAGCATCTAAACCCAAACCCTGCCGAATACAACTAAGTATCTCCACACTCCAACAAAATGATAAACCAATTCTGTACTTAAAAGGCCCTGAAAACAAACATTCTTCACTACCAACATTCAATCTACCATGACATGAACAATTTTAATTCAGAAAAACACAATTTACTCATTCTACACAAAGATTCAAACATGTAAAAACGAAAGAAAAATAAAAATAAAAACTGAAAAGAAGAAAAAGAAACAGAATTTAGAGCACTCACATAAGTATTTAATTGTCTGATAAAGCTAGAGAAATTATTGTGCTTGAAAAAAGTAGGAAGCAACAATCTGGCGAATTCTGGAGGGTTCCAAACAACAAAGCTGTTTTTGTTCGAACTCCAAGACACGATCTCGTCTGTCGATGAATCATCCACCATGTCATATGTCTTTATCAAGAACGGCGCTGGTCCTCCTCCACCTCCACCGCCGCCCGCGGTGGCCGACGATGGTCCTGCTTCCATTTGATCGTTCGGTCGATGACAGAAAGATTACGTGTTGAAATTTGGGAACCTACGTAGAGAAAAAGGAGGCTGTTGGTGTACAGTTCGTTAGTTATCGGTTTTTAATGTGACACGTCAGTTTTTTGAGGAATTATGATCCATTTCTGTTTTCCTTGACTATTTACTCGGTTTTATTTTTTCGTTTTCTCTGTGGAGTAAAACATAATTTAGTCCCTCTAGTTTCGAATAATGAATTATTTAGTCTCTCTCATTTCAAAAACTAATCATTTAATCTCTTACTATTAAATTCTTGACAAATATGTTAAATTTATATCTAATATCTAAAATACTCCTTTGACAAATAAACTCATCCCAAAAGTAAACAAACCTCACTTTTTTTCTCTTTCTTGTTATTTCTGTCATCTTGCTCTCTCACTCTCTTTTAATATTTTTGTTTTGTTTAGTTTAATCTTCATATCTCTTGATACTTGGACAATGGTTTTGTTTCCATAAATAAAACAAACTTCATACTCTCTATATCCGTCCCTTACTATCTTTGTTATGGTTTCTAAATAATAATATTCTTTCTCACACTCTTTCTATCTTTTTGTCTTTCTCTATAATTTGTTCTTAGTCACAAAATTGACTTGTTAAGGTTAGTTTGAACTTGTTTTTGTTAGTTTTAGCATATTTTCAAAATTTATGTTAGATGTGTTGAATTTGGATTGTTGGTTAGGGTTTTTCGGATTTTTTAGGGAACGAGTTCAAAATATAAAATAGAGTTTTCATTTTATGTGTTAATATTGATAGAATGTGTCAAATTTTTGAATTATTTATTGCAATTTCGGTTTGTAAATCTAGGGTTTGTAAAATTAGAGCTTTTTTATTTAATTTTTATAATGGGTCTTGTTAAGTCTCAATTTATGAGTTTAGGAAATAAAAATAAAAGATTGGGTTTAAGAAATACAAATAAGAGAAATAGAAGAAGAAAAGGAAAAAAAGAAAAGAAGATAAGAGAAGTCGAGAGATAGAAGATAATGAATATAAGTGATAAAGTAGAAAAGAAAAAGTGGAAAAATAAAAGAGAAAAAGAAGCATAATTTAGGGTTTGACATTAGCTTTATATTATTAGAAGCACTATTTGGAAATAAAACATATTCAAATTGAAGAGAAAGTTTAGAGATTCGATTGAGCTTTTGCATTTTGTTTGAATAAGTCCTAGTCTTCGTGGTACTTGGTTAGTGTTTCCTGATTTTTCTAGATACGCTCATCATGGTGAGTAACGTGACCTAATTTGTCTCTTTTCGTTAAGTTTGTAAAAGGCTATTTATAAGCCAAAGAATGTTCAATAAGAAAGCAAGTCATTTTCGGAATACTCGCATTCCGTGTCTTCTATTCTTAATATTGTGGTATCGAGCCCCCATCTGGGCTCGATAAAATCAAAGTAGCGATCTTTGAGTTTTTGCAATCGCAAAGAAAGATGACTACCGAAGGGAATTTTGTGTAGCCATCCATTTCTCGCTTTGATGGTCATTATGATCATCGGAGCATGTTGACGAGAGAATTTCCTGCGCTCTAAGGAATTATGGGGGCTGGTGGAAGCTGGCTATGAGGAGCTAATGAGTGGATCGGTGCGGACATGATTCACAACGGAAGAAGCTAGAAGAATTGAAGTCGAAAGACCCGAAAGTGAAAAATTTCTCTTTCGGGCCATAAATCGTACGATATTGAAGACTATTCTTATGAAGAAAACTTCCAAACAAATTTGGGACTCTATGAAGAAGAAGTTTAAAGGGAGTGCTAGGGTCAAAAGGTCACATCTACAAGCTCTGCAGAGAGTTTGAAATCCTAGAGATGAAGATTGGAGAAGGAGTTTCTAAGTATTTTTCAAGAGTGTTGTCGGTGGCCAACAAGATGAGTACATATGGGGAGCGGATGCAAGATGTCACGATAGTAGAGAAGATTCTCGGATCGCTAGTGAAAAGTTCAATTATGTTGTCTACTCAATTGAGGAATCCAAAGACATCGATCGGCTCTCCATTGATGAGCTCGCGAGTTTTTTTATTGTTCATGAGCAAAAATTCCAACGGCATACGGGAGAAAAACAAGCACTCAAGATCGATTATGAAGATAGATTTGGTGCAAGAGGACGGGGTCGAAGTGCTTACGGAGGCAGAGAAAGAGGGAGACGCCGACCCTACAACAAAGCAATCGTGGAATGCTTTAAGTGCCACAAGCTTGGACACTTTCAACTTGAATGTCCAAACTGGAATAAGGAAACCAACTATGCTCGAACTAGGAGAAAAAAAGAGATGCTTGCTCATGTCATATGTAAAGATGAATGGTGCTAAAAAAAGGAGATGTTTGGTTCTTAGACTGCGGGTATAGCAACCATATGTGTGGTGACAAGAGTTTGTTCGCCGATCCGAATGATGGCTTCGGACAGGAGGTAAAGTTGGGAAATAACACAAGAATAGACGTGTTAGGAAAAGACAATGTGAGATTGTAAGTAAGTGGCTTTACGCATGTTGTTAGTGAAGTATTTTTTATGCATGAACTAAAGAACAATCGTTGAGCATTGGTCAACCACAAGAAAAAGGGTTGGCGATTTTCATCCAACATGGAATGCTCAAAATTTATCATCCGGAGAAAGGGCTCATAATATAGATTGAGATATCAGCAAATCGAATGTTTATGTTGATAGCAAAATCACTACCACGAAGCCGGCTTGCCTTTACACCTCCACACAGGATATGACACACTTATGGCATTATCGTTATGGACATTTGAATTATAAGGGGTCGAGGATTCTTCGGTTTAAGAAGATGGTACATGGGTTACCTTAATTCAAGAATCCAACAATAAGTGTGTGCTAACCGTATGATTGGAAAACAACACAAAGATCCAATCCCAAAGAACAACAATTGGAGGGCCACGGAAAAACTCTAACTTGTTCATGCAAATCTTTACGGACCAATCTCTCCTATCTCTATCGGTAAGAAGAGGTACATTATATGCTTTATTGATGACTTTACTAGAAAAGCATGGACTTATTTTTTGGTAGAGAAATCGAAGTATCAATCATGTTCAAACATTTTAAGAGTAGTGCTTGAGAAAGAAGTAAGAGGATATATCAAATGTTTGAGAACGGATCGAGGAGGTGAGTTCATATCACTTGAGTTCAATGAGTTCCGCACGGAGCATGGGATCAAGAGGCAATTGACTCGCAACATATACTCCATAACAAAACGGGGTAGCAGAAAGGAAAAATCGAACCATGATGAACATGGTTTGATGCATGCTTTTGGAAAGGAAGATTCCAAATACTTTCCGGCCGGAGGCGATAGAACTCGGATAATACATATTCCGAATCGGAGTCCTATATTGGTCGTGAAGAATTAAACACCCGAGGAAGCTCGAAGTGGAAGCGGACCCTCGGCTGAGTACTTTAGAGTTTTTGGATGTGTAGCGCATGTGCATGTTTCGGATGTTAGAAGGTAAAAGTTAGATACAAAGAGCCTTGTTTGTGTGCGCTTGGGAGTAAGTGAAGAGTCTAAGGCATATAGACTCTATGATCCAACTCGCAAAGAAGATTGTAGTTAGTAAAGACGTAGTGTTTGAAGAAGATAAATCTTGGGATTGGGATAGGAGTTATGAAGAGCATATCATGGTTGATTTGGAATGGGATGATAAATAAGATAATAAGGCGAGTAAACACGGAAAATAAGGAAGCGAGTAAGTGAGGAAGGAGGAGTCACTAAACCGATCGGTAGTCCCTAAAATGGAGAAAATGAAGGAAGAAACAGAGTGCTTCCAAGGTGGATGAGAGATTATGTAACCGTGGAAGAACTTTCGAATGAGTGGGAAGAAGAAGATGTAAATATCAATTTGGCTCGTTTGCTTCGGATCCAAGCACATTTTGAGGAGGCAGTGAAGCATGACAAATAGAGGATAGCTATGGACATGGAGATACGGGCAATAGAGAGGAACAACACATGGGAACTCACCGATCTTCCTAAAGGTGCAAAAAAAATTAAAGTGAAGTGGGTTTATAAAACCAAACTCAAGGAGAATGGAAAAGTGGATAAGTTGAAAGCTCGTTTGGTGGCAAAGGGGTATGTGCAACAGCAAGGAATAGATTATACGAAGCGTTTGCACCGGTTGCAAGAATGGACACGAGTGAGAATGATTGTGGCTCTAGCAGCTCAAAAAGGGTGGACTCCCTATCAACTTGATGTCAAATTTGCCTTCTTGCATGGGGAACTTAATGAAGAAGTGTATGTGGAGCAACCGAAGGGTTATGAGCTGGAGAACAATCATAAAAAAGTTTACAAGTTGAAGAAAGCTTTGTATGGATTGAAACAAGCTCCACGAGCTTGGTTCGATCGTATTGAAGCACATTTCATAAGTGAAGGTTTGAAAAGTGTTATAGTGAGCACACTTTGTTCATTAAAACTAATAAAAGAGGTAAAATTCTCATTGTCGGTTTATATGTTGATGATTTAATATTTACCGACAATGATGAATTGATGTTTATTGAGTTTAAGAATTCCATGTCGAGGGAGTTTGATATGACCGACTTGGGGAGAATGAGGTTTTTTCTTTGCATAGAAGTTTTGCAAAGATCGGATGGGATTTATATTTGTCGGAGGAAGTATGCTTTGGAGGTGTTGCAGAGGTTTAGGATGAAGAACAACAACTCGGTTCATAATCCCATTGTTCCGGGTTGTAAGCTTTCTAAAGATGAGAATGGGGTTCATGTTGATGAGACTTTGTTTAAGCGGATGGTGGGATGTCTCATGTACTTAACGACCACGAGGCCGGATTTGATGTTTGCGAGTAAGCTTGATTAGCAAGTACATGGCCAAACCAACCGAGTTGCACTTGATGACGGCTAAGAGGATACCGAAGTACTTGAAATGAACTATTGGACTTGGAGTTTTCTACAAGAATGAAGGGTGTGAAGGTTTGGTTGCATATGCGGATAGTAACTATGCAGGAGATATAGAAGATAGGAAAAGTACATCGAGCTATGTTTTCATGTTGGGATCCGGAGTCGTTGTCCGGTCTTCGAGAAAGCAACCTATAGTCACACTCTCAACCACGAAGCGAGTTCGTAGGCTGCAGTGCTATGTGCAAGTCAAGTCTGTTTGGATGAAGAGAATAGTTGAGAAGTTGAGTTTGGAAGAAAGTAAGTGTACTACAATTTTTTGTGATAACGGTTCCACAATCAAGCTCGTCAAAAAATCCTATGTTACATGGTCTAAGCAAGCACATTGATGTGTATTTTCATTTCCTTCGTGAGCTCACACGAGAAGGAGCAATTGAATTGGTTTATTGTGGAACACAAGATCGACTGGCAGATGTGATGGCAAAGCCCCTCACAGTGGATGCATTTCATAGGTTTCAAAGTCGGTTGGGAGTCTCGTCAAGTTCTCGAATTAAACTAGTTGTCGATGATAACTAGTTTAAGGGAGGAATGAAGAGAAAGTTTAGAGATTCGAGTTGAGCTTTTGCATTTTGTTTGAATAAGTCCTAGTCTTCAAGGTACTTGGTTAATGTTTCCTGATTTTTCTAGATACGCTCATCATGGTGAGTAACGTGAGCTAATTTGTCTCTTTCTCGTTAAGTTTGTAAAAGGCTATTTATAAGCCAAATAATGTACAATAAGAAAACAAGTCATTTTCGCAGTACTCGCATTCGTGTCTTTTATTCTTAACACAAATAAGTACATCTCATTACTTTACTAATGCAAAATTGATAGAAGGATTAAATTATTAACTAAATTAAAAGATAAAGCTAAATAAATAGTTTTTCAAACAAGATGGATTAAATAATTCATTTCTTGAAATGATAGAGACTAAATTATAATTTACTCTTTCTTCGTGTGATCAATTTGATTGTTTGTTTTTTCTTAACAAACATTTTGTATTCTCTATTGAGTAAATTAGAAATTATCTTATCTAATTTTGAGAAACAAACTAATATTACTCTTTGTTCTGTAAAAATAATTATTTAGTTTTTTTTTTATCATCGTTGATTATATTTATTTAATATTTTATATTTTATAAAATTTCTTAGTTTTTCATCAATTTTTTCACAATATCTATTTTTTTGTTTTTTTTAAATACATATAAAGAATGAAAAAACTAAATAATTAGTTTTCCAAATAGAAAAGACAAATTAATTTATTTTTTAAAACTAGAAGAAATAATTTATAATTTACTAGCCAATGTTAAGGGAAAAAACAATTTGTGATCTTGGGTTTAATTAGGTTAACATACCAAAATAAATTCCGTTGATGATGGTTTTAAAATCTCAAGTGATTGGAAAGAAAAAAAAAGAATTTGATTCGATATTTTTGGATTTCTAGAATGGTTTTGATCATGATTTGAGATTTAAAATGGTTTATAAACTTTTTTTGAATGATTTTATGGTGTTTTTAAGTAAAAATTAATGTATAAAATGGTTGTGGAGGCTAAAACAATTACCATCTCACCTAAAAGCTTAAGCCGATAGGTGAGACCCTAGAATATAATTTATACTAGTCTCTAACACACCGCCTCAAGTGAAAAGCTCCAACATTTAGGCTTGAAACTTGCATAGGTCCACATTGTCTTATGCTTAATACTTAAGAAATTAAAGATGGTGAGACTTGAAATCATGACCACATGGTTAACTAAGCTCCGATACCATATTAAAGAACCATCTCACCTAAAAGCTTAAGTTGATAGGTGAGATCCTAGAATATAATTTATATTAGTCTCTAACACCGACGACTTGCTAGTTATTAGAAAATTAGAAAAGATGATGATTGGATGACACATCATCCACCTTCCTCCTCCTCCTTTTTTTCCTTCCCTTTTCTATTATTTATTATTTTCTCAAAATCAATGTTAAGTTTTTTTTTTAAAAAAAAACTTGTTTTTACTTTAGTCATTTGATTTATATGTTTATATAAAATAGTCTTTCAACTTCATTTGTATTACAAGTAAATCCATGAATGTAAAAGGAGGAGAGAAAAGGTTGGGAATAGACTAGGGTTTGGTTTTTGGATTTCTTGGGTAGATAAAAACTTATTTTGAGAGTCCAAAGAGATTTTTACACGTTGTTCGCATCATTTTATGATGTTTTTAGGTGAAAATGATGTAGTTTGGCATGAGAGCAAAACATAGATACCCTAACCCAATATTTTTTTAAAAAATATTATCAACGTTAACAATAGATTGATATGTAGAAGAAGAATTGATCTAAATAATAAGGATTTGATAGTTAATAATTTATCTTTTATCGGTTTATATTAATTTTTGATTGATTATGCATCTCTTGCTTCAGAATTGATCATGATTCTTCGACATGTATTAAGAAAAAATAGATTCAAAGTAGTAATAAAAAAAAATATAGTGGACAATAAACAATAGTTATGAACTTATTTACTAAAATTAAGCACTCTTCCAACATTGATTGTTCGAGCATATTTTCCTAAAAATCTAAATAAAATAATCAATAATTGGAAGAAGACAAGAATCTATACAAGTTTACTCTTGTAATCCAAAGACTCGTTATAGATGTTGAAAGATCCACTCTTCGAAAGAATACTAATATTTGCTAACTGTAAAACATTAAACAATATTTCTTTTACAAAACATAATTTCATGACTCTCGGCTCATCAACTATGGTTCATGTTAGAACCACGCTACGAGAACGTATTTTCTCGTAAATTTCATGATACAATTATGAAGTGTACTCTGGTTTTAATCAAATTCCCAACATCCCACTATCAGAATATTTTTTTTAAAGCCTAATTTGCCTCTGGCATCAATCCATTAAATTATAAATTAGTCATTTAATCATTTAATCATTTAATCAATGTTGATCACATTTAATTTAATGGTGTTTTATTTAAAAAAATATTTTTTTCTCATCAATCTTTCTATAATATCTATTTATTTATTTTTATTTTTTAAAATAAAAAATAGAAAAGAATATAAAATAGACAATAACATAGAGTAAAATAATAATACCTTCAGTTACTCGACAGAGTGAGCCACATAATTCCCCAAAATAAAAGAGCAAAACAAAGCACATTAAAAGGGGGTCAACAATTGTCTGTACTATAATCAATTGATTAATTAGTTAGTTTTTTTTCTTTTTTTACCAACTTAACTATTAAGTGGTGTACTGAATTAATTTATTTAATATGCATTTTTTGATGATGGTGTCACCAATCACATTAAATAAATTACGTTCAATTGATTAATTATTTTTAAAAAACTTTATTTGTTTCGTTAGTTTCTTCTTTTTATTATAGAAAATATTTATTGAAATGAAAAAACCATCATTTTTTATTACAACAAAAATTAATTAAAAAATTCAATTTTTTTTTCTAAATTTAATAACTGCTTTGTGCAGTAAAAGAATTAGAAAAAAAAAAACAACTAACAGAATCAATGAAAAAAAAAACATGTGTAGTTTGATAATGTAATTTATTTAATATAGCGACCTCACCAACCAAAAGACTACATTAAAAAAATAGATTCATCTCAATTAACATTTAAATTAATAAAAGGCGTAATTAATTAATTACTTATAGTAAAAAGGATATATTAATTACTTTATTAATTAATATATACTTTATGTAATAAAAAGATAAAAAAATAAATAGATATTATGAAAAATCGATGGAGAAAAAATATTTTTAAAATAAAATAATATTAAATTAAATATTATCTGTACTGGTTAAAGAACTAAATAATTAATTTTTTTAAATCAGAGAAACTAGTTAATTGTTGCTCTAACCTAGAGGGACTAAGTTATAATTTACTCTGATTCCTTGGACCAAACGTTTTGAGAGAACATAGTTAACCAAGAACTTGAAGTTCCTGTCGTTCGATGCCTTCATGTTGATGCTTCAAAAGCTTTTACATGGCAATAAAATAAAATAAAACGATACTTCCCTTGATTTTTATTTTTTTTATTTTTTTCCTCATATCCCAAATTTAAAGATCCAAAATTAATTTTAAGATTCGAACTCAAAGATTAGAATCATTTCCGTTCGAACCAAACCTCTAGAATGTACCCATTGGTTTTTAATTCGTCGACAAGGTAGAAAGTAATGGACGTTTGCTCCCTCCATCAAAAGAGTTAAGCGCAAATCCAGAGAGAACCCTTACCAGCCGGCAGTAACCAAGCTGAGACCTTTCTTTTAAGCTCAAGTTAAGGTTCTTGCCTTCTCATGTTCTTTACTAGCGCAACTTATGCACTTTGATTGACAAAAGGGCTACTTTCTTCACCGGTTTTTTAGATTCCCAGCTATTTTTTTCTGCTGTTCTTTGCTGAATCATGTGGGTTCTCTTTCAAGAGAAGATGATGGAGAGGTCAATCATCAGAAAGTGCTGCAACAATCAACTCTGGCTGGTTATTCTCATCTCCTTTGTTTTATGCTTTGTTTTGCTTTGCTTTAATTATTCAGCTTTAACTGGAAACCAAGATGGGGTCACTGCTGTTTTGGCGGTCAGTAATGATGAAAATTTAATCACTGCCCAGAAATCAGAACCCCTTCAGTTTACTAGTAGTCTCAATGAAACCCTCATTAGACCAAACATAACAAATTCTATTACCGAAGAAACTAGTAAAGATCAGCAAAGTGTGGAACAGAAACCAGTTGCAGATTCTTGTTTAGGTAAGTACATTTATATTCATGATCTTCCTAGGAGATTCAACCAAGAACTGATTGATAATTGCGAGTCAATCACTGTTGGGACTGAGCATAATATGTGTCCTTACTTGGTTAACTCCGGTCTTGGTCGTGAGGTAGAAAATTCTGAAGGGGTTTTGTTAAACAAGAGTTGGTACTCAACAAATCAGTTCTTGTTAGCAGTTATTTTCCACAACAAAATGAAGCAGTACAAGTGCTTAACCAATGATTCTTCACTTGCATCAGCAATTTACGTTCCATTTTATGCTGGTCTTGATGTTGGTAGATATCTTTGGGGTGTTAAAGCATCAATAAGAGATCAATCTTCTTTTGATTTTGTCAAGTGGATGGTTTCACAACCCGAGTGGCATAAGATGTGGGGTAGAGACCATTTCTTGGTTGTAGGGAGGATTTCATGGGATTTTAGGAGACAAACTGATAATGAATCTGACTGGGGCAGCAAGCTTAGGTTCTTGCCAGAATCTAACAACATGTCAATGTTGTCAATTGAATCTAGTTCCTGGAACAATGATTATGCTATACCATATCCAACTTGTTTTCATCCATCAAAAGACAGTGAGGTACTTCAATGGCAAGACAAAATGAGAAGGCAAAAAAGGCCATACTTATTCTCTTTTGCTGGTGCTCCAAGGCCTGATCTCCAAGACTCAGTCCGTGGCAAGATCATTGAGGAATGCCAAGCTTCAAAGAATTTGTGCAAGTTGCTGGAGTGTAATTATGGTGTTAACGGTGCTATTACTTGCGATAATCCAGCTAATGTGATGAGGTTGTTTCAAAATTCAGTTTATTGCTTGCAACCTGCAGGGGATTCATACACTAGGCGATCGATCTTTGATGCAATTTTAGCTGGGTGCATTCCAGTTTTCTTTCATCCAGGCACGGCTTATGCGCAATACAAATGGCACTTACCAAAGAACTATACCAAATATTCTGTGTTTATACCCGTGAAAGATGTTAAAGATTGGAAAGCTGGCATCAATGAGACACTGCAACGAATTCCGGAGGAAAGAGTAATGTCTATGAGGGAGGAGGTTATAAGGCTCATTCCAAGGATAATATATGCAGATCCCAGCTCAAGACTGGAGACCTTTGAAGACGCATTTGATTTAGCAGTTAAGGGAATTCTTGATCGAATAGATAGAGTTAGGAATGTCATTAGAGGTGGGGGTGATCCTAGTGCTGGTTTTGCAGATGGTGATGATTACAAGTACACATTTTCTGGGTATATGTAGAAGAAACTCGAAAAGAGTTCTTCAATTCATCGCAATATGATTTTATCAGTCCATTTTCTTCAGCAAATGGCAAGCAAACAAGTACATAATTCTTTACTGTTTGTTGCCTATGGTATGACACTTGAATCATTATTTAATGTCATCAAAACCTTTGCATCTTCCCTACCTTGTCATTGAACAATCTTTCTTTTTTCCTTCCCTTTTGACCAGATTAGACTCGATCTTCTTTATCATTACTGCGTTCAACCTTTTTGCCTTCTCAAGACCACTCCACTATGTTGTTAAGGCTAATGCTCCTTTCATTTTCACTTTGCGTCTCTTACATGAAACCTCGTGAAGGCCTCACCGACACCATGTGAGGGACCCATGAGATGCTATGTCTTGTGATATCTCCATCAACCAAGGCAGTAAGTTGACCCAGACAACGAAATAAATGAGCTATAGGTCCGGTTGGTAAAGTCCATTGCAATCGCCTAACATCATGGTCTATCTTGGCACCTGATTCAATAATGTCACGGTGATTGCGTGGTCAAATTAAATATTGTAGACCACAAATTTCTCTCCCAATGTCTATACTTTTGTTTTGGCATAATTTGAGGCAGATTATTCTCCCATGCGTGTCTTAAGAAAAAAATTGAAATTTGATTTAACTAAAACGGACTGGGCCCAATGTTATAAGCCCATAAACCTTATAGGTTCGACGATAAAAATGTTTCCGAGCTAATTTTATGGATCTAAGATTAATTTTTCAGACATGATATGACTTTGAGAATTTATAAATTCTCTTATGTCTCGATATTAACGGCATGGAATAAATTTTTTTCTATTTCTCTTTAGCATGATAACATCTTAAATTGCTAGAAGCCTATGGTACCAACTTCTACTTTTCTGGCAATGGGTTATGATTTAGTAAAAATATTCAATAACATCTTAACTGATGTGTTGAATCAATTTCTTTTGTTTTTGGTTTTTTTTTTTTTTTTTGTGCTACTTCTTGGCTGAACTTTTAGTATTGAACTCATCTATCTTTTAAATTGCTAATTAATTTTTATTTTTTTGAAAATGTTACATTACATTAACCATAGAATTTTTTGTGTGAAAACTACATTCTTTATAAATTTTTATTTTACTTTTTTTTTAGTATGGATGAAATTTTGTTTTTGATAAAAGAGTAACTTTCTTCGAAATATAAAATAAGTAATCTTTATTGGCAAAGTTGATTGAAAAAGAAGGTCAAATGAGAAGAAGAAGAAATCAATTATCCAAATTCATAGATTTAAACAGTAATAATCTTGTTCTAAATAAAAATTAAAATGTTAAATACATAAAGTGTATGTCTAATCCATATATATATATATATATATATATATATATATATATGTCAAATGACCGTTCGACCTAAAAGCTTAAGTCGTTAGGTGAAGTCCTAGATATAATTTATATTATTCCCTCAAGTAAAAGTTCTTGAGGCTTAAAATTTGTACAAGTCTACACCTGTCTTATGCTTAACTAATTAGAAGAGAAAATGAGAATGGTAGGATTCAAATTCACAAATGTTTCATCTTATCCAAAAGTTTAAGCTTATATATATATATATATAAACTCGCAAATTTTTAATTTAAAAAAATAAAAACATGAGTAAATTATAAATCGATCTTTTTAGTTTGAAAAACGAATTAACAAGTAATTCTGTTTCAAAAATTAATTATTTGATTTTTTATTCATTTTATATTATTTTGAATTTTTTGTGTTAAAAAATAAAAATTAAAAATTACAGAAAGATTGACTAGAAAAGAAAATTTTTTATAAAATAAAATAATATTAAATTAAATAAGATCAATACTGATTAAGAAAGTAAACAATTAGTTTTTGAAACAAAATGAACTAATTTATTTATTTTTTAAAACTAAAAAGAATAATTTATAATTTACTTATGATAACATAAGATAAATTCTATATATAAAAAATAAGACATGAGAGTAAATACTAAATCCTCCTGCGGTTGAACTTCATAAATAGGCTAAAAACTTGAATCTAAATCCATGTTGAACCTTTTAACCTTAATTTCGTACCAACAGCCTCCAAGTCCAAAACCATAAACCCCAGCACTTGCTCTTTCCCTGGTCCCTGCAAGTCTGCAACTACAAGGGAGCGAGAGCTCCAAAATCAGGAAGACGACCCCAAGAAAATATGGCCACAAACTCAACCTTTCAATTGTTCTCTTCAGCAACCGGAGTGTCAGGCTTCTTTGATTCTTCTCCAGAGCCTCCTCTCCCTCCTCCTCCTCCTCCAGTTGAAGTTCTCTCCTCTGAGGTATCATCTGTCTATCCATCAATCAATCCCTCCATCCGTCAGTACATAAATACATACTGATTGATTTGAGTGTGATTTTTTCAGGTTTCTTTGAATGTCAACTGCTCTGTGGAGCCAGTTAACTTAGAAAATGGTCTTACTTTACTCAAGGTCAGTTTTTCTTTTTCGCTCTTGTTATAAAGCTTATATATATATATATATATATATATTTTGAAACTTGCTTATTGTCAGTGTTGCTTGATAGAGATAAAAATTTTGAATTTTGTTTTGGTTAATTTGAAATATAAGCAAATTGATTTTTGGGTTTTGATTTTTTTTTTTTTTTTTTTTTAGGGAAGGGTTAGTACTAAAGAGGTTTTTGGGTTGCCTAACTCTGATTTAGTACCTGGTGTATATGAAGGTTTGTAAAGATTGATCTTTTTTATTGCATTTACATAATTTATTGTATTGTTTTGCGCTTTCTGTGTTTTGTTTATGGATATGTTTGTTTTTTTGGGGATGCAGGAGGATTGAAGCTTTGGGAGGGTTCGCTAGACCTTATTAGAACTCTTCAATCAGAGGCTCGAAATGGCCATCTATCATTTAGTGGGAAGCGAGTTTTAGAGGTGGGAACATATTTTTCAGGTGATTATATACTACTACTTCACATTGCTTCAATACGTGATACTATGGTTTGGCTAGAGTCTGTTGTTGTTGACTGCTTTAAGTTTACCCTTGTCGATGCATGAGTCTAATTGCTGCTACTTTGATTGTTGAAACATTATGCATTTGGGGTTCCTCTCAGTAGATTTTAGCTGTTGATCTTGTGTCGTCTACTCTACCAATATGATTGCGAGAGATGGGTAAACTTAGTGTGGTTCTAGGTCCCCCTTTTGTTTTAAATGTGAAATGTAAAGCTGGTGTGAGAGATGAATTTCGCTTTACAGAATCGTGCCTTTAGGTTTTAGTATGTAAATTTGCAATTTTAAGGGAATTTACTGTAATTCTTGTCAAGATTTAGCTAAGAATATCATGGAAGGAGAAATTTTTGGTCATAATGAGGATTGTGAAATGTTATGAGACATATTTGTTTTATTGCACCATCTCTTTGTACTTGTTTCTTTCTTTCTGAGTTTCTGCACTTGTTTTCAGCTTGGGTGTGGTCATGGACTTCCTGGGATCTTTGCATTCCTTGAGGTAAATTTGTGCATCTTTGATGTCACTTTTTATACGAAGTTCCTGATCTTGGAAAATCTAAATCTTTCTTGAGCTTCTTGTTTTGTTGCATCAGGGTGCAAGTGCTGTACATTTCCAAGATTTCAATGCTGAAGTCCTTCGATGTCTCACCATTCCCAATGTAAATGCCAATCTTTCAGAAAAATCTCACCGTTTTGCATCAGAAGATGCAAGTTCTGATACCGAGGGAGAACTACGTTTCTTTGCTGGTGACTGGAGCCAAGTCCATCAATGTCTTCCTCATGCGCACAAAAAAGAAAAGGACCTTAGTTGCAGCTCAGGGCAGAGTCCATGTTCTGGTTATGATATTGTTTTGATGGCAGAGACAATCTATTCAATCTCTGCTCAACAAAATCTCTACGGCCTTATAAAGAAGGTATTGCTTGATTGTGTTTCTGGTCATTTTCTTTTTTCTGTCATGAAATTAATAGTTTAGAGCTCTAAAAGTGTTCATTTGCAGTGCTTGAGCCATCCTGGTGGAGTTGTATATATGGCAGCCAAAAAGCACTATTTCGGAGTTGGCGGAGGAACCCGACAATTTCTCTCTATGGTAGAAAAAGATGGTGAGCTAATTCTTTTGAGATGTTTGTACTATAGCTTGTTATGTACAATTGAGGTTGATTCTCTCTCCCTCTATTCTGCATTTATGTGCTCAAGCAGTCTCTCCTTTTTAGCTGTTTCATGTACTACCATGCATATATTAAACTGCTTCTGCATAACATTTAACCTAAGATTGACTTATGTAAATGCATGTTACCTTTCTCATGTTTTATCATAAGGATACAGCCTTGTAGGTTTCTCTATACAGCAATATCTCAGTGGATATCCTTTCTTTTTTAATTAGGTGCTATGACTGCAAGTCTGGTTGCTGAAGTTGCAGATGGCTCGTCTAATGTCCGAGAAGTGTGGAAGCTCTCGATTTAGTAGATCAAAAACTCCAATTAAGTTGGATCAAATCCTCTCAATGTCCAATGCAAGATGTGGCCACTTGAGCTCCTATATGCGGGTATCGAATTCAATAAATGATGGCTAATATACTAAGAACCTGGCTGGGGATATTTATTGATTAGATTAGATGTCTCTTACTGCATAAACTTTTTTTTTTATTGTACTTCTTCTGAGATTGTGCGCCAAGACTCGCATAGCTGATCACAAACAGTTGCAATGAACTTTTACTGAACTTTGTCCGAGAATTACATTTATTTTACTTTAGTTAACAACCTGGAGTTTGGCTGGACATCTTTGTTTCATGGTTGTATATATTTGTGCTATTCTTAGCATTTAGCAGTCGTATTCCAGCTTGGTATTTTAGAGAAGAGCTGGAGACAAACAGACTTCATCTTGGCCTCGTAATCTATCACATATGTTTTGAGTAAAGCCTTTCACTACCTGCCTGACCTTTTCCTCACTTCTATAAAGCTTCTCTTCTAACAATTCAAGTTCAATATCCGTCCATTTCCACCGTTCTGGGTTCTCCCAATCCTTGGACAATTAGTCGACTTTCTGGGCAGAGAAAAGGCCAAACACGAAAAACTCATAAGAAATGACATGTAAGAAGCCGAGGAAAGACAATTCTTGTCAGGTATCCTGGCTTTAATGCTCCTTTCTTAATAGATTGCTGGGTTGAACGATGAGTTCTTTGCTTCTTTATGCTAATATATGATGTTGATAAATTTTGAGGTTATATGTGTGTGTGCGTGTGTTTAAAATTGGACATTTCGAAAGAACTATCACATTTTGGATATAAATACTCATTGTATCTTCCCCAATTCCTGCTCAAGCAGTTAATATTGGGACTCTTTAATCCTATTCCTCCCTTGAGTCCTATTCTAAGATACTTCCTCAGTACAAGCTTCTACTCCTCCACGGTGAGGCCATGATGGAAAATGTGCCCCCAAAGGAAGGTCACTCGTTTTAAATCAACAATACACACTTAAAGATTCCTAGTAAAATTAATTTGCTAGGATTTGAACCTGTGTTCTCATTTTTACGAGAGATTACTATCATTAAACTATAAGCTCTTTTATCTAAATCAGAACTCTTAGTCGTGTTCTAAGGCCAAAATGATGGGAGGAGTTTAAGGCATGGGGTGGTCTGCATCTGACTTCTCGACTGCTATAATTCAGAGGGGATTGGTCTTGAATCAAGACCAAAAGACAGCAATCTGTCAAAGTTCTCAACGTCCGTGTCACGGTAAGTCAGTAACCACACTAACCATATTATATATGATAATAACAGGGTTGAGAGAGATTTTGCCTGGAAAGAGGAAAAAGATTCAGAAAAGGGGCATTCCGAGAATCGAACTCGGGACCTCTCGCACCCAAAGCGAGAATCATACCACTAGACCAAATGCCCAGTGCATTAGGATAGCAGTATAAATATTATAAATACTAACGATGACATCATGATCGAAGTAATTTTGCAACTAACAACTTGCAGATAAGCGGATACTTTATTGTATATATTATTTCGTTTTTTTTTTGTTATTGGATTAGATAACTCAATTTTCATGTCTTACATTTAATACTTGCTAATTTAACGCATGTGCATTGCGCATATATTACTGTACTATTTTATCGTTTTTCTTTATGTTTGTAAAAGATATTTTTCAATTATTTATAAATTAATTAACTTTAATATTTATTAAATTAATATATTCGAATCATGAAAAAAGTTTAGGAGTGCGCTCAAGGCATTCCTTAAACAATATCTAAATGCATTTATTGAATTTCATTTATTGTTGAATTTCGATGAAAAAAATAATAAAAATTAAGTATTTTAATGAAAATAAATGTTACTAATTATAAACATATTTATTTGGTAATATTTTTAAGTATTTATAATAAATTCTATAATAAAAAAAAATATAGATTGATTTGTGGTATTAAATAATTCTTAAGAAATGTTCTAAAAGCATCCATTAGTTGGATCCTTAAAACATATAAAATTAATTTTCTTTCAAATTTTGAAGCCTATAAATAAGCTTGATTGGTCATTAGTTAGTGTATAAGTATTTTATAGAGATTGAGAAAATTATTTGAAGTTGTCATCTCTTTTATTCATTATTTTATAATGAATTCATTTTCCTATCATCTTTCTCTTAAATTCTACTATTGTTGCAATTTCTTTTATAAAACGTTATCAAGACAAAGCTCTAATCAATCGAGATAATAGATTATGAGTTATGTATTTACAAAAAGACTCAATCTTTTGTTTCTATCATTGGATTTTTTCTACATAAGTACTCTATCAAAAGATCTAAATTATTTAGATCATCAAGAGGTGTGTATTTAATTTATCATTTACTTTAAATCTAATGATACGTAATGTATACGTTTGAAAAATTGAATGATTTAATATATAAAATTTAATAATATAATGTATGTTGTTTGAAAATATTTAATTTTATTATTATGTTTATTCTTATTTTCTAACATTATTAATATATATTGCATTATAGAATTTTTATCATATCAAATATCATAAACTTGATGTTGTAGCTCTCGATATTTCGAACAAGAATTATTAATTATGAGTTCTTGAATTTGAGAGAATATTCTTTACTTTTCATGCTTCGAATATGCTTCTACAGTAGCAATATCGAAAAAAAGGATTTTAAAAATATTATGAATTGATTTTATGTTGCTCGAATAAAATAACGAGTTATTGATAAAAAATCATAAATTCCATCCGAATAGTCTAATCCATTCTTTGAAGCGAACAAGACAACTTATGATAATTTTGGATATAAATGTGATCGTGGCCATAACCATTGTCATAGTTGAAATAGTTATTGTATAATCGTGGTATTCATAATAATACATATTACCACAAGAAGTGGGCAAACTATAGTAGTCATAATAATATGTATTATCACTAGATGCGGACAAACTATGGTGATCACACTAATGCATCTTACCACCGAAGTGGGCAAACTATAAAAAAATAAAAATAAAATAAAAATGGATTAAGCCATCATTTTGAAAATGAAAATTGGTATCGCATAAAGAGACATTGATCACATATCCGCCCTATGCCAAAACATCTCGTTGTGCTTTATCAAGCAACATTGAAAAAAAATGAGTAAAATATAGATGTCAATTTTATATATCAAAATGATGATAATTAAAAGTAATAATTTGTTAGCTTTTCTATTTATAAATAAGTTGCTTTATATTTTTTTTTATAATTTCTATTGCATAGAGATATATATAAATTTATTTTACTATTTATTTATTTTATGTTAATATTATATATGATAATATCAATCTAATAAAAAACTCTAAAAGAACTACTATATTGTTACCTGAAAATATAAATTTTGAAAGCTCTAGAAGAGTGAATATATTATTACTTGAAGTGATAGAAGTTTAAAGGTTTCAAAAGGATAAATATATTATTATCCGAAAGGATAAATTTTATAAATGATGCTTTATTCTCTCTAAAGTCTCATAGAAACTTATTGAGTTTCAAAGATATTTGTATAGATTGATATCATATCAAAACAAAAAATATGAAAAATATTGAATTTTTGAATATTATAATTACATCGGATAGAAAATGTGTATTGAAAAAATTACTCGTTTTCTCTTCTAGTCTTTATTTCAAACATTGGAATGATTGAAATAAATGATATAATAAATTAGAAGTTTACTAATTTAAATACTTTTACTATTTGATATATTGTTAACATATCTAGAAGCCTATTGAGTCATCTCGTATAAGTTTAAGCATTCACATAATAAAAGAGAAGCAAAAATTTTGAAAAACGTTGTCAGTTTTGGAAAAAAGTTTTCAAAAATAAAAAGTTTCATAAAATAGAAAGTTTTCTATTTTAAAAATCAGTTTCCTAATTTGGAAGTAAGTTACCTAAAAAAGAAATTAGTTTCCCAACTTAGGTTTAAGGGTAATTTGAAAAATTATTTTCTAATATGAGCTTCCTAAAAATATCTAATCCAATTTATTTGGACGATCCAAATTAATTGATAATTAATTAGGCCAATATGTTTAATTTAAAGCTTGTAAGATATTTTGATGAGATAAACTTGAATTCTGGATAAAATTCAAGGTTTACAAGGATATGATCAAACAAGCCCACCCACACTGCAACTCATTGTCCTAGGAGAATAAGGATGCCGCCTCCTATATAAATAATGGGGAGAGAGGTGGCAAAAGGAAGATTACCACACACAGAGTAAAAAAGAAAAAAGAAAAAAGAGAAAAAATGTTTCTCTCCCAAAGCTAGAGTTGTCACAAAAACTCTAACTCGATTTCCTTAGAAAACAAATTAACTATACATAAGGTCCGGAGTTATCACTCCGTGATTTCGTGGCTTCCTTTATGAGTGTTTTAGGTACATGGATTATCGATAGAGATTGAATTATCGATAGGGATCGGACACTTGGACAACTACTTTTCTCGCAAAGGCTAAATTAAGAGGTAATCTTTTACTTTCGTTTTTAATTCATGCATGTATGATTAGTTGATTCAACGGCTTGATCTTGGAAGCCTTAGATAGAGAAAATTTTTTATTTTATTTTACACCTTCATAGGATGTATGATTCTTGACGACCTTCAAATTGTCCTTCGAGCATCTTCGAATCGACCAATTACTACCATAGCAACAATCAATCAATGACAACACACATTAAAATACTATGATTACAACTGATTTGTAGGTTTTAGATAATGCTCTCTAGGTTTCTCTCTTCGAAGAGAGAGATGAATACGAGAGAGAAAACATTAAGAGAAAAATTTGACTGTTTCTGTTGAGTTGACATGTGGGGTTTAATTATATATAAAAAGGTATTATTGTCATTTTGTTGGTCACAAGATTGAAAATACATCAATAATAAAATAGAGTGTAAAGTGTAATATTTGAAAAATGTAGATGCTCCAGCCATCTAAATACAGGATATTTTTAGTAATTTCCCCATGATTTAAATCCAGTTTAATGGGTTGGAAGCACCTCCTTTATTTTATTTTTTCCGTGGAAGCACCAAGAAACAATTAGCATTTATGTTTTATTTTAAAACTTTTTAAGAAATTAGAAAAAGAAGTGAGAGAAGTGGCCACGTTTTAATTTGCCGCAGTTTTAGGCATGACATCAATTAGTAGGTGGCCCTTCTCCGCTTTTTCCAATCTCTCTCTCTCTCTCTCTCTCTCTTACAGAATGACACAAAATCGACATCAAAATTTTAGGTGCATGATTTAATCTGAGAAAATTTGTTCAATTAGTAGGTGGGGCCTTCTCTGCTTTGTCAAAGTCGTTGGTCCGCCATGTAGTTCATAGAATAAGACGACCGATCCTGACTTTTATATGGGAGCGAGGCTAAAGTTAGGAGTGATGTTAAACGCTTAATAATAATAATAATTACAATATAAGTATAATAATTTAAAACTTTTTCTCAATAAAATATATGAATTTTAGTTTTTTATTTAAAAATATTGATTTTTTCAAAACTATAAATCATGTAATTCCCTTCAAATGCTTGCAAATAATAATTTTTTTGATAAAAAATTCATGTCTGTGTGTTCTTTCAGTTTTCACGCCTAAAACATTCTGTTTTTCTGTTTTTTTTTTTTTTTTTTTTTTTTACGAGCAAACCTAATTGGATTTAGTTTCAGATTTTATAACTAAAAAATAATATTTTTTTAAATTTTTTATCAAATTTTGAAATAGTGGATTGATGTGGTATTTTAGATATAACGAGCATTTCACCGGTTAATGAAAAAATTGCTAATGGACGACACGTCGTGTGTTGGGCAACAAGCTAGTGACATATCTTCTGTTTGCCTCTTCTTCTTCTTCTTTGTTTTTAATTTTTTTAATTTTTTTTCAAATCTTGAATACGCTGGTCTGGTTCTCCAGGCCCAAGCGCACGAGCCAGAGCTTTAGCTTGGTTTTTAACCAGTAATTTATTTTAATAATTTTTTTTATGGATTATTGGGCAAAAACTATAGAAGATCAATTTTTATCTTTTGGGTTTTCACACAATCTGGTGAGAGAGAAATATATATGATATGTTTTCATATTTTAAAGTGACATATATTTCAGATTATATTATTTTTATTATTTATAATTTAATTTTTCAGTTCGTCATTTCTTATAAAAATTCTTATCCAATTAATTCAAAATTATATTGACTAACAATTATGATTGTTTTTCTCTATCTATGGATTTTGAAATAATTTTTTGAACATGATTATTTCTTCTTTTTAAAAAATAGGTTGATATAATTTATATTGATTCTTAGAGTTTTTAAATTATACTAGCGCGCACGCGCACACACACATATATATATTTGAAATACATTTTTTGAATTAAAAATGTGTTTGAGATAATATGTCTCAATTTTAAATTTTTTTTAAATAGTTAATTAATAATTAAAAGTCGAATACGAAAAAAAATGATGATTGCTTTGCATGTGAGGTATATGCACAAGGACTAGCCATATATGACCTAGAATTAAAATATTATTTAGGAAAGAAAAAAGAAGAAGAGGAATTCACCTGTTTTATTTGCCTCTTATTCATATAATTTATCGAAACTAATTTTTTAATAATTTTTATTTTAGTCTATCAACTTCAAATTTATTTAATATATTCTTTACAAGTTAACATTTTTTAAAAATATTTTTCATTTTACATTGCACACTTTGAACCCAATCAGTATAGCTATGATATATACATATTATAGAAATACAAGAGATGCATGAAATCTATATATAATAAAGAAAGAATAAATCATAGTACAGGACAAAGAAAGACATTTAGTGTGAGAAACTAAAATAATTTTTTTGAGGAGACTACATTTTTTATGCTCAACCATTGATTTTTTTTTTCTATTTAGGTGCCCAATATTTTTTTTTTGTTTTAATGTCTCATCTTTGATTTTTTTATTTTTTATTTGAGTGCTCACAACTACTCGAGCGTATCTAGAGTTGATTATCATATGATAATTTTTACTATCATATGGTATTTTTGAACGCTACATGACAACTCTCGTAGAACACATCAAGCACAATTGAATCTCGAGTGAATTTAGGTACCAAAACAATAAAAAAAAATTAAAACTTAGATAACAAATCATTAGAAATTAATGATTGGATATCAAAAATATCATTCTCTCTTTACCTTTTTTGTTAATTTTTTTCTTTACTCTTTTGTGTTATTTATTATATGAATTTTGGACTTCATATGAGAAGGGAGCAAACCCAACAATTTTTCTCTTTCCAACTCATTCGAAAGGGTTTCACCTAGTCTGTTTGTTTTTGTACAGAACTCAAACTTTTTTCTTGATAAAAGCTTGGTCATCATATTCGATCCATTTTTGTTGGCAAGAATCTTCTCAACAACAAATGACTTCATCTTCATAGCATTTTGAATTTATTGATATCTGACCTCAATGTGCTTTGATAAAAAATGAAAAATAGAATGTTTATTGAGATTGATTGCACTCTAACGTACTATCGCAATGAATTACAAAACGCTATTGCTTTAGTCCAAATTCATATAAAAACTTTTATATCCATAGCAATTCTTTACTCCCTTTAGTAAGAGTAATGTATCCAGCTATGGCTCATATTCACAGTATTGATGTCTTCATTAAAGATGATTTGGTTTTCTCCATCTCCCATACGCTTCAAGAAGAGAACCAATGTGCTGACAGATTAGCTGAGATTGGAGCCAACTAGAATATGGCTATGAGAGGTGAATTGGTTCCCTCTGGGTTTGATTTTGTTGATGCAGACGGATCTTGCTGGTGGTGTCTCCTTTGAGAAAAGCTATTCCTTTCGTTTTATCTCTTTTTCACCATATGTATGTTGTTGGTAAAGGACATAATCATATACAATGACTCCAACTTCAGGCATACGTCAATATTCTTGCCAAGAATCTCGTATGGACCCTCGTTAGACAAAACAAATTAAAGTTGCATAGCAATCGAACTTTTAGTATTTGCATCCACATTTGCCTTTTGGTCCCCTGTCGACTGTCGTATCTATAAACATCTTCTCCAATGCCTTTTGCAACCCTTGTTATATTCGAAGGATAGCTCGTTTTCATTTGTTGTAACTCAGAACAGTGGGTATTATCAAATTTATCAAAAATTTTGTAAATATTTTTATTCACAATGATAACTCTAATGCCAATTGTTAGGAATATTTTAATATTACATACAAAATTCTTAGGATTAAGACCAAAAAGAAATTGAAAAATACAATGTAAAATCAGCATACATTATATGGGTTTGTTCTAATGCCTATCTTCAATCATGAAGTTGGATCTAAGATTTGACTGTGTCTAAAATAATGGATATGAAATTTTAACTATAGATTATGTTTCATTACATCTCTCTAAGTTCGAAATGAAAAAGAAACTCAATCCTAATTTTTCTTTTTCATTTTGAACTCAAAGGGATAGAGTAAAACAGATGGATCTAGAAATCATGAGCTACCTTTCTTTTCTTATGAGCTGAAATGTTGTTGCATTTAATTAGTCCTTCCCCTTGCCCTCATGAACAATATACTTAATATAGCCAGAAAAACCAGATCTTAAATAGAGTCTAAGTTTCTCTCATTAAACTTTATGATAGATCAGCTTTTGCTCAACAAAAAATGAAAAATATAAAACAAAAATCAAAAGAAAACAAAAGCTTTGGATCGTCAATCATCAGACCTACAACGATAGTACTTGGAACAACCGCGAGAAGGAGGATTAGATGGAGGTGGAAGACAACTACTACTATAAGACTGACCCCTAGAACCACCATTACAAGCTGGTCGGTCTGGCTTTAAAGTACCAGGTGATATATACTTTGTCTTCTCTTCAAGAAACCCTTTACTATTATGAGATGGCATCAAGAACTCATATTCTTCATTGCATTCTGCTATCGAACCATTGCATTCCCTAGTTTTCGACGAAACCTTGTTGCCAAGCTGCAATATTGTAAGGCTAAAGATCAGTACAAGGAAACAGAAACGTTGGAAGGACTTTGGTACCATCTTTTGTCTAGTGATAGTGCTTGCCTTCCTTTTCAGGGTGAAGCACTTAAATATAGAGTGATGGATTAAAATGGGAATAGTTTTCCTATCTGTAAAGGGGGTAGTTAGTGGAAAACGCATTAGGGATAAGCAGAAGGAGTGAGGAACCGCACTTCACCGAACCTAGCTATGATGGTGTCACATTTTTTCTTTCTTTTCAAGTCTTAGTTTCAACTTGGCATACTTATTTTGTTTTTGCTATTGATTTTAGCTAGTTGGACTTATTTCGGTTTCACATTTTCTTTGTTGAAGTCAAGCTAGTATGCTTATGTTGAAAATTGAGATAATTCCCTGTAAGAAAAGCATGGTTGATTACTGCATTAGCTGGCACGTATGATCATCAAACGGTAGATGAGAACCAACGAAAAACTGTAAGAAAATCATGGTTCATTGCAGTAAGAAAAGATGAATCGCCAGAACAATCAGAAGAGTAAACGATGATGTTAGGAAAAAAAGGGAGAAATGTTAAATACGTTAATTGACCGCCTCCTTTAGTTATTTGAATATCAAGAGATGAAAATATTTCAACATCCAATTGCTAAGCAGATTAAGAGTTTTTTGTTCGAAGATAAACTTGTAAGCTGCTTGTGCAAGGACAAGAGGGGAGTAATCAAGAATTAATGGTCCAAGATGGGCTCCTTGCTAAAGAAAATGGCCGTCATTATCCTGGTGGAGTCATTGGATAAGGTGTACTCCCATGATTAAATAGCTTGTAGGCCATTGATAGTTGTCTTTAACAACAAGAGGTTACGGGTTCAAATTTTAATAATTAATTTTGTTAAAAATCTTAAGTGTGTGAGTTAAACAAAATATGTACTCTCATACAAACCACATATATACCACATCATGTCTCACTAAAGTAAAAGCAAACAGTACCTAAGAATGCAGTTTGAATAGAAAATAATTTAGTATTTTAAGTAAATAGTTTCGGATTCGAGTGCTTATGCAGGTTAAAAACTCTTTGAATATCTATTTTCATCTTGTGCGTCTAACGGAACAACGAAAGATTAGTCTTGACTTTTGAATCCGACATACCTTAGGATTAAAAAAAAAAAAAGAGGAGTATAACATAATTTAGTTTTTTAAGCAAATAGTTTCGGATTCAAACTTTAATAGATTAATTTTATTAAGAGCCTTAAGTTTGTGACTGTGTGAGTTAAAAAAAAAAAAAACTCTCGTACAAGCCACATACTGCCCGACTAAAGTAAAAGAGAACGGTACTTAAGATTACAGTTTGAGTAGAACATAATTTAGTTTTTTAAGTAAATAGTTTCGGTTTCGAGTTTTTATATGCGTAAAAAAACTCTTTGAATACTATTTTCATCTTGTGTATTCGACGGAACAAAAAAAAATTAGTCTAGACTTTTGAATCTGACATACCTTAGGATAAAAAAAAGGGTAAAAGAGAAAAGAAAGTTTAAGGTCATTATACTACCTAATCGCAGTCATGAAAGGAAATATTAATTTTAGAGAGCATATAATCTTCATTGATTAAGCACAAGAGATACTTTTGGACTGAAAAAGAATCTTACATAGAAAAGAAAAGAAAAAAGAGATGGGAACAAGACATAAGTAGATGGTCATGATACTAAGATGAACTGGGTAATACTTCCTAGTAAAAAAAGCCATCAAAGAGTAAGAGCTTAGGAGAAAAGAATTCTAACTTGGTATCAGAGCCCAAGTTGGGTTCCGGCCTCAACAAATCCATACCCTTGGACATGAAAATTTAAAAAATATAATGCAGTTTCGTTACTAGGAATGATTACAAAATGTTGAATAAGATGTATTTGATTTCAACAGATAATCCAATCCTGCTAATATTGCAGAAGTTGAACAAAATGTATTTCGATTTCAACAGTTGTGTGATGCCTGGAAACCGAATCCTACTAATAACAGTTTTATGTCGCATATGTTATTATAAAAATGATCGTGATAACGAATTACAGTTTATCGTTATAGTAAAATAACGATACAATAATCGATATCATAAATACATTAACAGTTATTAATAAATTTATTTTAATTTATTTACTTTTAATAGTTTTCCTATGAAATATAATAATAACTTTTCTAATAATTTAGTATCATATAATAATAATTGAATTTATTAAAAAAAAAATTAATATCACTTTTAATAGTTTAACATCACACAAATAATAATAAAATACATTACAATTTGAAGACATAAATTATAAAACATTCATCCCCAAAAAGGATAGTAATATATATTATTATTTTTTGAATAATAATACAACTGACTGTTAAATAACATTGTTATTTTCGATATTTGGATGAAATAGTTTGTATTAACTGTTGGATTTTCTATGTACTGCTAATCAATTTTCTTATTATTGCAAAGCTCAAGAACATAAAAATAGACCCTTAATGACAAGCTATTATAGAGAAAAGAAAGTTCCTGAAGAGTAAATTACCCTCCACATGATCAGATTATACACCAACTAAGGAATGCTAATCAGGACCTGCACATGTAGACCTTTTCGCACCCTCTGTGGTAAGTATTTGATGGTGGAGGTAGGCAACTATGATAGGGAGCTCCTCTTTTAGCCTTGTCACAGACCGGTGCATCGCGCTTCAAAACGTCAGGAGTAATATATTTGACAGCTTGAGCAGCAATTCTTCGACTTGTCTCCGACTCCATTGATATTTCTTCCTCTGCCATTTGATCACTACATTCTACCATTGAACCACTGCATTGCACTTCTTCAGCACTTACTTGCATAGCAGAAACTCTAAACTGGGAGATCGGTTCTACAAGGACTAGAACTAAAATGATAATTGCAAGAAAAAGTTGTAGAGGATGAATATCTGTGTTCCTCTTTGCTTCCATTTCTTGATCACAAGGTATATTTCATTAGGCTTCCATTTTATATGGGTACCACGCAGTCTTTATCGAGACATTGATCAATTATTGTGTACTCCTGTCAGTGTTAGCATTTCCTCAGATGACCTGTGATGACCAAAGGGTTTATGAAATTTCCATGCAAGTAGTGCTTCGATGCTGCCTAAGCTTGGTTTTTCTCTTTAGAGGAAAGTCCAAGGATGCTGTAATAGGTTTCTCATGGTACATGTGTTACAACTAGAAGAGGGGTTTGATGGAAATTCTATGTTGCTGCATCTAATTCTGTGCTATACATCTATTCAATTCACGTGAACCTACAGCATTTTGATCCCACCACCCACACTTTTCTGTCATCTTTCTTCTGTTTCGACTCCCACGCAGATACATTTGTCTTGACAAGCCTTGACTTCCGTGGAAGAGAACAACATCATTTTATTGGACTAGAAATCTGCCAAGGAAGATATGAAGCCAAAGGCTGGCAAGTAGGCAAGTGGTGCTATCTGGCCACAGAAAATGATTTGTGAAGAGCTTTGGATGGTAGATTTGGTACCCTGCTCAGCACCAGTTAGCAACAGTGTGCATCATCTGGACTTTTTTGCTGATAAATAACCTATTTTTAATGAATCAGAGAAAATTTTATTAGCCTATATTTAGGGGCACGGGCGCAGCAGATCGACGCAGGTAGCTAAGGGCACAAATACAAATGAAATGTCTAGGCACAAAAACTAGCAAAGAATCGAGAAAAAATGGCCATGATGGCCAGATCAACAATACGTTCATGTTGATTATGAAACTGCAATTATTATTTGTTATTAAAGGATTAAAGCATAAACAGGAACATAGTTACTCATCAATCAAAGAGTAACCTGCCACAACGTGCCATTGCAATGTACACATTGATATTATTACAACTTCCTAAGATCTGTTCTCAGGTAACCCCTCATTGCCAAACCAGTCAGGATGCTTAGATCCATATATCTGATGTGCAGTCACCTCCTGGGTATCTCATCTCATGGGCTAGGGAAGGACCATCCGGTTCAGCTGCAAAGTCTACAAAATAGTTCAGATTTATTGCGAGACCACCTTTCTCAGTGTCAACATCTATCTGTAACATGTGAGATCCTTTCTCCACAAGTTCTGGATAAAATTGACGATCCCAGGCACTGAAAAGGGAGTTGGTAACATAAAGCCGCTTCCCGTCTAAACTTAGCTGAATCATTTGAGGCCCTCCTCTCAGTCGATGTCCCTAAACAGAAATTATGAAGCTTAACAATCTATACCACATGGTAAGTTAAGGTTGACTCTTAGTAAGATGCAAATAAGCTCTAGGAAGCTATCCAAATCGAAAACATAATTACATCAGTGTTTTCTGAGCCAGCATCATACACTGAAAATGAAAAGAAAATTGTTTTCCATCCCAAATTCCGAATAATTAACTCCCACTTTACAATTGGTTCAGTAGAAAAATGTAGTATCGCCAATGCATGGGCAAGGTAGTTGGTGGCTTGTGCATCATGTTGTCCAATAACAATTGTATGTATTGCCAAAGGTACCAAGTAGTTCATCTCTTTGACAAGAAAGTACGCCTAAAAAAGGCATATCAAACTTCGTTGGTTCGAAAATTTCCACACCAAATGAGATAGCACTATAGCTATTTGCTATCCAACAAATGCATATCTTGCTTGAGTTTCTGGTGTGGAAAGTATCCCAAAGGCTTTGTGCTAAGGTATGGACCAAATGCATTGCAGTATGGAAGGATAATCAGATCAAAATGAATTTAAATTAGACTCCATTATTACAGCATTGTCAACTGAAATATAAGACAATTTTTAGTAAAGCAGTTACAATTCGTAGTGCAACAAATTAGATATAGGAGTTAGTACTCAAGATTTACGAAGAACATACTGACCTGGATTTCTGGAACCTCATACTGCCAGGTTTTGCCATCTTCACCCTCAGCCACTATAGGGCTTCCTTTCTGGATCAGCCCCCAACCCAAACTTGTCCTTTCAGGACAGGATTTTTAGGGTCCTCAATGTTGTATTGTCTGACATCTCCGTGTAGCCAGTTGACAAAGTACAGAAACCGATCATCAAGAGAGATGAGAAAATCAGTTATGAGCCCTGGCATTTCTGGAAGAATCCAGTTTTGCACCTTCAATGGTTTCACTGATATTGCCACCTGAAATGACAAATGGGACTCACTGAGTATTTTGGGCAGTGAAGTCATGATAGAATGACATTATCCAACTAACAGTATTGTTATCGACATTAAAAACAAGCATATTGTCTACCATTTGCATACCTCATGGCTCCATGATCCATCAGGGGTCATGAAAAATCGTACCATGTTACTTGTTAAGGCACACCCAACAAACCCTGTATCTTTAGAAGGATCGTGCAGGAACCTTATCTGCAAATCAGTGAAACTGGGATATATCAGAAATTTTATTTGAAGTTTCACGATGTCTTAGTAGCAATGACGAAAAGATATAAACAACAAGCGAGTTGGTTCATGCATCATAAACAAAGAAACACTGGTGTATCTAAATCATAGGAATCAAGTTGCTAACTATATTTACAGAAATCACCTCCAATGGCAAGAGTCCTGTACTGCCAAGATCCAATGTTTGTTTCAGTTCACCATTTGGCCAACTGTAGACATGCAAATGCCTCCCGTAGAGACCATCTGAAACATGTTGCAGATTAAAGCCTTTAGTGAAGGCTGCAGGAGCTCCCCATGATGAGCTAATCATGGTGTTGTGTCGAGGTTGGTACCAGAAATCATAACCAAACATCGGACTGTGCCCTGGTTTCTCCCACCTAATGAGCATGAAGATGATTATAAAAATCAAATTTTCTAACTCTTCAATCCAATTTGCATCTCAAAACACTTTCAAGCGAATCAACCAAACATATGCATTAAATAAAGCAAATGAGTTAAGAGGAATCTGTTTAGTTTAGGGGCATGGAAAATTACCTCCCCTTTACGTTGAATTCTGAATCAAGTAGAAGAAATCCATTTCCCTCTGCATTTCCATCTTTATCTCCCAGGCATGATACCAGGACATCTCCAGAAGCAAGGCAATGTGATGTGTGTGGATATGCTAATCCTGTCTTATTTACAATATCCGCAGGCTCAACAACTTTATGCAATGAGGGAGCCCTTGGATCTTTTTGGGTGTCAACTGCATAGATGCGACCAGATCTGTTGGAAATAGATTGCATAAGAAACTTATTGGTGTTTGTTTTTAAAAATGAAATGACTGCTGACATGTAGGTGGCAAAGTTAGTTCTTGGTAGCACTGCATCACCTTTCAGATAAGAGTGGTAAATAATGAATCTCAAACCACAATTGAAAAGTATTTCAGCTGGTAGCGCGGCATAATATTTCTTAAATGAAATCTTCAAAACTTTAACGCACACATGAATGCTCACGACCCAACTCTTGATAATTCTTAAACAGCGTGGTTAATTTTTTATCCTAATAATGAGTTCTTGCATTCGTTTTGATTTTATACTATGAAAACATCCTCCAATGACAATATTAGTACTTCTGTTGTTGATTTATGTTGTGGATCAGCAATATAGAGGAAGGCAGCAGCACAAGGAGGGAAACTAAGATCTTGCGGATATTTATTTATTGCTTTTATTTATTATTTATTAAGAATAAGTCAAATTAGAAAAAGGATATGAGAGTCCCAATTGGTGTGGTATTTTAATTAAGACTTTCTATGTTAGTGTGAGTCTGTCTAGGCAATAGCCCATTAGGTTTGTCTTTGTTTTTCAGCAGCCTCTACTATATAAAGAGTGGATGCTTTCTGAATAAAGGTATCGAATAATTCAGTCAAGAAAAACCTAGGAGAGTTGGTGGTCTCTAGAACAAACCATCCATTGTTATCTGTTCACAATACGTTCTTCACAGAAGAATCGAAACGTGAACAAGGAAAAGCTAATTGATTTCCCCGTTAATCGACCCTTAACGAGATCCTTAACTTGGGACCATAACAATTTAATGCCAATATCTACGTGCGTAGTTCCTAGTTCTCACCAATGCATTTCTCTTTCATGTCCAGATTAAAATTCAAAAATAGAACATGTTGATATCAAAATAAACTGAGCATCTCACATCAACGAAGGAAGGATCAGATAACGCCTAGCTGCTGATGGATCTCCATGGCAAGAGCTGCAAGAATTCCACCCTGAATGATGCAGTTCATCTCCTATGTTCGGCATAGGTAGCCTGTGGATAACTTTCGAATATGTAGGTGAGTTGGGATCCACATCCAATGTGGCTAGATAATCAGGCTTCTCTATTCCCGTTCCTGTATAGATATTAAAAGAATTAAATTCCTTCTCATCACTTAATTTTCATTAGCTTTTCCAAAATGATAATATTAAGGAGTTAAGATATAACTCAAGAACATTTATGCATTTAAATTGATCCATGAATAAAGGAAGGAGCTTTAAGAGGCAACCGTTAGAAATGGTAGCAAGTCTCTAATTCTAGTTGTTAAGCCATGTAATTTAAGAACAGACTTACATCTTACATTCTGCTAAAATCTGAGATTTACTGTATAAAATTAAACTTGCGGTGTTTTCAAAAGTAAAAGATAAAAGGATAGCGTTCCAATATTTCTTTTAAGGTAAATCTGGAATGCATGCTAAACGAGTGAAATTTTATAATACTGTAGGAGTAACTAGTGTATATTACTACATAGAGAGATTGACACAAAAAGTAGAGTTATTTTCAATTAATAGGAGATATTACTTTCCTATACCAAAAAATTAAGTCCAAAAAAAGGCCAAAACCATAACCATGTTTCCTTAAAAGCATGAGGGGAGCAAGTTGGGCACATCTATTTCTCCATTTTATGATGGACCAGAATATCCTAGTTACTGCTAGATGGAGATCCAACCGAAACCTTTTACCAAAATGAAAAAGGCACATGAATTCTTGTATCTCCATAGCTCACTTTCTTTGTCTATGAACAGTCAAGCACCTGTGACCTAGAAAGATCCGCAATAGCATTCTTTTGGCCCCACCGAAAACAAAGTTTCATCAACTCCCCCAATTATGCATAAAACTCCATAAATTAACGTGATCTGAGATCATAACTCTGAAAGTTAAAATCCCAGAGAACAGAAATTTTTGGTGACAGTCTGACGATATACACTGCTGATCAAGATCCGAAATCATAACAAATTTTCCGATAAAAGTAACCAAGAAAACCACTCTCATCCATCAAGAAAGAAATTACAAAACTAACAACGATTAAAGGAAATAATGGGACAGAAAAAGAAACAAAGTAAGTTAATAATAATAATAATTACCAGCGTACACACAAGTGACATAGAGAAGTGACTCCCTTGGACCAGACATTGCTTCAAGAGGAGTAGCATAACCTGGTCCTTTGTTGCAGCATCCATGGGCATTAGCACTCACCACTTCTGTCCCTGAAGCCATCTCTCTCTCTCTCTGGAAAATGATGATGAGCAGCTAGAAAGAAGTTTATGACAAAGAGGATTAAGACATGCAATCTTGTAGAACTCCCAGATGTTGCTGTTTCTATCTTCAACTGAAACTGAGGTGGCAGTACTATTTTTATTTTTAATTTGGCCTTTTTTTGTGTCCAGGGGGGATGTATCGGTAATTACGCCATACCTGTGTTTTTTTTTTTTTTTTTAATATATTATCTTAATTGAGATTCATCTGAAGCTGTGGCTGAGAGTGACTGATTATGTGGAAGATTGATTTTGTCTTCTGAAAAGTATCTTCTTCGGTTTCCGGCTTTATTCATACATTAATTTATCAGTGAATTATAAATTAATCTCTTTAGACTAAATAATTCTATTGTTTCAAAACTAATTAATTAGTTTTTGATTAGTATTGATTATGGTTAATTTAATATTATTTTACTCTAAAAAACTATATTCTTTTCCATCAATATTTATAATTTTTTTAATTATTTTTATATTTCTATTTATTAAAATAAATAAATAAATTGAAAAATAATGAAATCAGTTATTGACCAAATGGTCTTCCAAGGTCCAAGCTTTTAGCTCATTGTATTGGCCAATTAAGATAAAGACCAATGAGGCATGTGATTAAGATTACCTGAGAATATCTCTAAGTAATTTTTTTAACAACATGATGATGATTACTACCATTAATCTACACATAAATCCCGAAGAGAATATATATATATATATATATATATATTATTGAAAGCAATGAAGTTATTTTAATACATGATTTGTTCTATGTAATGTGGGTCCGAAGTAGATGCCATGTGCAAGAGTATATATCTATATTCACATCCCAAAATTAAATTCAGAAATTAGAAGGTACATACAGTCAATGGACGTAGCATAATAATAAGATGCTTGTTTAAGTTTAATTCTTATTATTTTTAGATAATTAATCATAATTATTTTTCAATGATATCATAATTGAACTGTTTGGATTCAAGAAATAATCGAGTAGTCAGCTAAAAATTAAATGTGTTTTAATATCAGTTTAACTTATAGAATTATAGATTTAATCTCAAATAATGTGAAAATTGATTTGAAAATATTCCTATATATATAAAAGTACATTTAGTGGACCAAATGCATAAATATGAAAATAAAAAGTTAATACTTTTTTAGTTTTGCTTATCAGAAGGTTTATTTGGTTTTAAATTATACAATAAGATATAATTTTTTTATCATATAATAATTAAATAAATTAGAGTTATACCTTTTTTTCTAATTTTTTTTCCTATGTAAATTAATTAAGGACATAAATTATTTTTTTAATCAATACTCTCACGTGTCCTTATATAATAGATCAAGTTACGTACTATGTAAAAATTACATATTTTATTTAAATTAATTTAGTAAAAATTTTAACTAAATGATATATTAGAAATCAATTTAAAAAATAAGGATATATCAAATTTTTATAAGAATAAATTGAAAATTTTGCTTATTATATAAGAAGATGTGAGGATATTAATTTTTTTTTTTTAATGTTAAGAAAGAATCGGAGGATTCCATGGAAGATATGTCAGCTTTGATTTGTCTAATCGCATCTTGACCGATTAAAAATTGGTTTAGTTGTTCACGTGTCAGCTAACTAATGGCTCTGTTTGCATTTAGCCTGATAGTTGTACTAAGTACATGGAAAGGGGTACGACATACACGTGGGTTGGAAAAAGAATGCTCTTTTATTAGTCGTCAGATAAGGAGTACAATTAAAATTAATTAAATCTAATCTTCAGATTAGTTTCCAAGAGAAAAGAATTATCTGAGTTGAATAAAATAAAATAAAACAATGAGTACTTGAAGCAGCATAGAGCTCACAAGTCCACAAAACAAGAAATGTCAATTTTTTTAAACACTTAAAAATATCTTCAAACAAGTTTTTTATATTAAAAATCATCATAATTATATTATTTTCTAAGAACGTTAGATTAACTGAAACTTAAAACTTACACGAGTCTATTTTCTTAAAAAAAATTTTAATTTAAAATTTACACATATTTATTTCTATTTTGTATTTAATTTTAATTAGAAAAAAAATGAAACGATCAAAATTTGAATTCATAATTATTTAATCTTCAAATATTTTTTCAAACAATCATCTCAACTAAAAAGACTTAAACGACCACGAAAAATCTTATAATATAATTTATATCATCTTCAAAAAAAATTTATCATATTTTATACATGTTATTTGTATAAGAATTGATATATTTTTTAAAAATTATAATCTTTTTTTTTTTTGAATTTGAACTCCTATGAAAAATACATCTACTTAATATTAAGTTAATTGCTTTGATATTATATATATTATCATAAATTATTATCAAGGCAAAATTCTTATAAATACATAAATCTTTTTTCAAAAAATACCTCTAAAAACTAGCTAGATTGAAGTCACAAATATCATATAAAATTATTATGAGTTACGACAAACTAGTCTGTTACACTAAAGTCATTAGGTCGAGGTTTTTCTGGACACATGAGGTGATGCTTAAGTTACGACATTAAAATCATCTATGTTATATATATATATATATATATATATATATATATATATATATATATATATATATATATATATATAATTTCCATATTTGTTTTTTTTTTTTTTGACATGTTCGAGCCACTGGAGATTTAAAAAATGTATCAACGAATGACATTGGAAGCCACCGACAAAGACAGGAGACCTTTTTTTTTTTTTTTTTCTATGTAGGCGTCGTGAGCTTGTAATTCAAGGGGGAAAAAAAATCTTTCATTATTCGTTGTATGCTCAAATGATATGTTTATCTAACTTTTTTTATTTAACAATAATTCTGATATATATATATATATATATATTTGCCATTGCAAAACTAAACAATACACACTATGTAGTTTTCCAATTTTAGTAATTTAATGTAAGATTAAGAATACTTCACCAAAATCATAAACTGTTCAAACTTTTTTAAGCAAAAAAAAATTATAAATTAATCTTTTTAATTTTTGAAAAATAAATTTATTAGTCTCTTTTGTTTCAAAAAATAATTATATATTATTTTAACAATATTAATCATATTTAATTTAATATTATTTTATTCTAAAAAAATGTTATTTTTTCTCATCAATCTTTCAAATAATTTTATATTTTTTTAAAAAAATAAAAATAATTAAATTATAAGAAAATTTAAAATATAAAAACTAAATAATTAGTTTTTAAAATAAAAAAAATAATTTATTTCTTAAACCTAGAGGGACTGTTTCATAATTTACTCAAAAAATCTTTATGTTCTTAAAAAGGAAAAAAAAGTACTATTACAAGACAAAAGATAGAGTAACCAGTGAGGAACAAAGTGAGACGTAATCTAAACAGCTGTGATTTGTCTGATGGCATCTTTGGCGGATTACAAATGGCTATGACACATCAGAGTCTGGAGTGTGCACGTATCTACTATTTATCTTCTCTGAATCTCTTTATCAGTGGCGGACCCCAGTAGACTGCTACAGGGCCCTGCCCCCTCCCCTCCAATTTTTTTTTCCCTCCATCATGGAACATCCCATGCTATACTCAAAATAATTAATTTGCACCATCCTAATTCATGCTTTAATTGTTTTTTTTAGAATGCTTCAATTAGAATTTTAATTAACCTATGAATAAATAAGTGTATTTTTACACAAAATAATTAATTTGAGAACTTAAATAAATATAAAAATATACTTAATTATTTCTACATAAAATATTTTCTATGCACGTGAAAAATTTATCTAAGTTAATAGAATATTCCTACACCTTTGAAATAATTTTTCTATACCCATTAGATAATTTTCAAACACATTTAAAATATTCAAAATAATTAATTTGCATGAAAAAGCACTATTTATGCATTGAAAATATTCACCGAATATCAAAAAATTCATCCAATGGCATAGAATAATCTGCACCCCTCTACCAAATATTCTATGCAAATAGAATATTTTTCATGCACATTTAAAGTACTCAAAACATTTATTTTGCATAAAAAATTATTATCAATGCATCCAAAAACAAATAAAACATTCACCCAAAGACAGGAAAATTATCCTAAGTACACCGAATATTCTAGCACCCTCATGGCAACTATCTTATGCTCACGGAATAGTTTTTATACATGCTTAATATATTTTTAATTCATTTAATAACGACTTCGAGATATTACAAAAGGATTGAGATACTAATTAGAATTTTCATCTAAAATCTATTTCCGGTTTGATAAATATGTTTAGTGCAATTATATTTGAGCATCATTACAAAGTTGACATATTCAATACTCGTGATAGATTATCAATTGTAAAAACTGAATAATAGATTCAATGACCACACGATAGAGCTACTCATTCTTAGTTCGACTTTAAATCCTAGAGAGATTGGCATATTATATAAGATTGATGACATTTGTAAGTTGGTATAGAAATTTTTCGTTCAAGACTTTATTGATTATGAAATGCCGCAATTAAGGATGCAATTTGAGCATTTTAATCATGTACGAAATCTTTTTAATTTTGAAACATTATCAACTATATCCGATTTGTGTCAATGATTGATGAAGACAAGAAAATTTAAAAGTTATCAACTTGTTTATAAAATGATGACGAGTTATTATGGCTCTTTTAGTTTCTACGACTCATGGAGCGATCATTTTCAGCTATGAGCATAGTTAAGACTAAGCTTCGTGCTAAGAAGAAAGATGACTTTCTTTTCAATTGATTGTTAGTATATAATGAAAAAGAAATTGCTGAAATTTTTAGTATTAATTCGCTTATAGATGACTTTTATGACTTGAAAGAACAAAGATCTCTATTTTGAGTTATTGTATTTTGACATTATTTTAAAAAATAAATTGGTATGTTATTTATAATATATAAAAATTTATGTATATCATGATAAATTTATAAATATTTATTTTGGCTCGTGTGAACATTTGG